GCACCCAAGGTCGTTGAGCAATAAGGGATCTCTTTTGCCAGTATCTACTGATACACGGGTTCTCAGAGAAAGGAATAATTCCTCGTCTCTTTTGCAAGCACCCTGAGCAATGCGCCACGCGGGTCACTTTCACGTCTAGTAAATTAAGCATGAATTTGAATAACAGTGATTTACATTGTCTTAAGGATTAAAATATTTTTCCACGTTAAGTAGATGAGGAGCCATCTAATAAGCGTTTATTTGAACATTTAACCTCTACGGTCACAAAAAGTAAGGTAGACAACGTTCTTCATGCACGGGCCGAGGCCTTACCGTCCTAGTTATATCAAACAGAAATGCCGCTGATTATTCTTATGTTCAATCAATGAGCGTATTTTAAACATAATTTTTTTATCCGAATAGTATTTAAGTACACATGACTTTAAGAAAGATAACTGTTGCAAATTAGATTCAAAAAGTATTTATTTATCATAATAAATTGATAAATTTCTTATTCATTTTGATTTGTTTGTTTTTTATGAAAAGTCATACCATCGAAATCAAACAAATCTATTTTTTTATTAATAATAATGAAAAGTTAAATACTGTGTTACACCTATCAATATATGGTATAACAAGAGGGAATTTCCGATCTTGCTGTACGGTACTTTGGTGATTAAACTTATATAAAGTCTTGCAATCAGATTACATGCATATGCATATTTATCTCATTAAAATAGACCTATATTTTTACTCCTCTTCTATACGCTTCAATACATCAAGTCCTTTCTTTTTTGTCTATTCTAGTTGTGTTTTTATTGTTTTTATGATAATATTCATGATTCATTTCATGTAAAAATTATTGAAATTTAACAACCTTTTTGGTTTCTTTTAGTTTTCCTTGTGACATATGTTACATATATTTAATTCATATTTATGTAACTTTTTGGATGATTATAGTTTTCCTTGTGACAGGTGTAACATATAAAAGTACTTAATAACAGATAATACTGTTATATTTATGTTTTTAAAGTTTCATTGGCATTTGTTATAAATACTCTTTTTCAATTGCAAAAAACCAATTTGCCATTATCATGGGCCAACCAAACAGAACAGAGCAGAATTTAAAAAAAAAATAATGAGACTAGTTTGCATAAAACCTATTGAAACTAGATATATTAGCTTGTCAAGAGGTACATGAAACAAAAGAATTATAATTTAACGAAAGCTATAGCAAAGACTGTGCCAAATATAAAAAAAATGATCGAGCTACTGCGAATTTCATGTTACTAATCACATGAAACTATTTAAAAAAAATTTCAATCAGCTCAGCAATGCAATAAATACAGTACAAAAGTTTTAAAATATTCAAAAATTGCTGCTGCAATTTAGAAATTAAGAGTTTGATTAAAATATTTCAGTTCAGCTCAGTTTATTGAAGTCGAGAGACATACATCTCATAGACAATATTTACAATCACACATTTTAACACATGTAATAATGAAAAAAAACATACATCTTTACACATGTACCCGGTAATAATGAAATAAACATACAACGTACATGTACAAAACATATAATATTTCTGATAATCTATAAATTTTATAAAGGGACTGTTCTTGATGCACTTGCTAATTGCAAAAATTTTCCTACATTACATAATTCTTATATATTCTGTGTATAAGTAACTCTACCAAATTGAAGACGCTTGGTCTTCGGGAGTAGTAGGTTTTAATGTATTTTTGTCTGAACGTGTTGTAATGTGGACATTTTAACATAAATTGGAATTCATCTTCTATGTTACCTAATTGACAAAGACTACATGTTCTATTATTTCTCAAAGTTTTATTATATCTTTCTTGTTCAATCATTAAGTTATTCGCAGATAGTCTTAATCTGGTAATTGTCACTCTATATTTTAGATGTATTGGTTTACATAAATAAGACTGAAGGGTAAAATTATCTACAAGGTGTTGATAAATGAGACATTTTGGTGATTTACCTAAATCTGACATAATGTTTTGGATAAATTCGTCACACATTCTCTGCTGTAAAATATCAATTGTGTTACTGTTTATACAATTGCTATCGAATAGTTCTGCAAAACCTAGCCTATGAAATTCATTTTTTAATATTTACAATCCATTCATCATTATTTTCTAACCTTTCTTGTAAAGACATGCTAGAATTTCAAGGTGTCTACTGTAGGATGGCCGATATGAGCCGTCAGATAACAAGAGCAGCTCTATTATGTATGCAGAACTAATTGACTTTGATGATAGTATTGCCAGTTTCATTTTGTACATGTACAGCTTTGTTAATGACAAAACGCTTGTAGTTGTAATATCAAAGATTACTAAAAATGATCATCATACCAAAATACAAACGGACATCCTATTACGACATTTGCTGTAGTTCTATTTTACACATTGATCGCAAGAAGGGTGACGACTTGTGCAGTTAACATGGAAAGTATCCTAAATGAGCTGCTTATATTTGAGGGTGAATACACGATTCATCAGCGATTATATATCAAATATATGATTACTGTCTTGAAATATAAGCGATATTTGGGCGAGGGTAAGAAAACGTGATAGAGGGCGAAGTTTGCCGAGCTTCTATCACGTTTTCTTACCCTCGCCCAAATATCGCTTATATTTCAAGACAGTAACCATGTATTTTATATTATATCATTCGGGCTACCGAGGTTTTTAAAACTTTTTAAATGTTCATTTTCAATTTCATTTCAAATAAATATAACATATAAATGGAGTGTGGAAATACATGACTGAAATGTACATCAATTAAGATATACAACATGTACAAACAGTTAAACGCTCTGCATCGTATTTAGTCGCCTGTGTGGCTCAGTGGTAGGGCGTCTGCTCTGAGTCGCAAAGTAAAGAGTTGAACCTTACGTCGGGGGTTCAAATCTCACTGTTGGAGGTGGAGACCCGTCCTTCAGATGATATTTATACGAGGTCTCGTGTCTCAGTAAACGCTGGCATGAAATAGATATCTTACTGCTCAATCGCCCATAGTACCGAGTATATAGGGCTGTTCAATAAATAATGTCCTGAACTATATGACATACATTACAGATATCGTATGACATTAAACTTGACTTTCTCTCATTATTGAAAAATTTATAACAAATATGTGACCACTTTTCATCACATAGTTTTATCATGAGAAGCTGGGAAACAAGGGCTTTTCGAAACACTGCATTATAAATGAATGGTAAAGAATCAGTAAACAAGAGTGAAAATAAAAGCTTCATTAAAGCTGGCGTAAAAGGTAAAAAATCAAAAGAAATATTAAATGAAATATGTGACATTTAGAGCAACCAATGCCTGTTTTATAGACAAAAGAGCAGTTGGATTTCAATGATAAAAAAATATATAATGGGCAAAAAATGCGTCGACAATTCAGTGCCCACAAAAATTATAACAACTCATGTACTGTTCGCCAAATTTCAACAAATAATATTTGATGCTGTATGATTGACTTTAAGACACATAGCAAATTTGATAGACATCACATCGGGGGTTGTTTACACTGTATTTAAGAAACGTTTGGCGGTAAAAAAGCTTGATACTCAAAGGTCACCCTATATTTTGAAAAATGAGTGAAAATGACAGCGTGTACGAAATTCTTAACAATTATTTTAAAATATCAGTAGTTGTAGTTATCCGCGTTTGTTTTATTTTCAAACAGATATCGGAACATGAATCTATCACTTAAAACCCTAAAAACAAAATTTACCATAAGATGTACTTGATAAAAACGGCGAATGTCTGAAAAGTGCACAGGTATGCAAGAGCACAAAGACAGATTTATATGTAATTTTCTTAAAGATTAGTGGTAATGTTGTTCAAAATCGTATTCGGAGAGACAGTTTAATTTCTGGTAAAATTTGAAGTCTAGAAAGCACTTCTTTTTGGCCAAAAAATCAAAAGGTTTATTAGAGGAATGACCCAGAATCAGGAATCCACTACACTGATATATTCTTAAAAAAAGGTCCAAAACCGCATGCCCTGAAGAGTAAAGGGGTTTTGTGTGATAAACAGAAAGTTAATGTTTTTTATCATTAACAATTTTTGACAGACGATCTTTGACACCTATATAACTTGTTTCAATTTCCAAACTTGGAAAAAACACCTTTTAGAAGGAAGAAACAAGTCCAGGAAATCATTGGATCTTCCATTTTCCAGTATACTGAGGGACATACCTAAAAACGATCAGAAATTAGATAAAAAATGCTACGGACATGTATTTTACTTAAAAGAGATTAAATAATAAAATCATGAAGAATAAATCATTGAAAAGCGTCTTTTACTTCTTTCTGAGCACCGAGGACATTATTTATTGAACAGCCCTCGTATATAGGTCAAAATTTGCAGGCCTCAACCAGCAAGTGATGGCGTCTCCATATAAGTGAAATGAAATATATCGGTATAATGAACAATATTCAAACTCTTTTTAAAAAATCCTTCAAATAATACAAATATGGAGCAAAGCAATCCCGGGACTCCAAATTATCAGAGGTAGAAAGGTCCCTAGACTGGTCCTGATTTTTAAAAAGAAGGCTAGAAATAACTTCTAATGGCAAATAATTATTATTTGGTCCAGCATAGTTTTTTAACCTAATTCGAGTATGCTGAATCCGAAAAAAAATATGCTGGCCTTCATGAAAATGACGTTAAAGAGGTCAAAATGGCGATTCAAAATGGCGTTAGAAGTATTTTTTCTATAAATCGGACCAGACTACCATGGAGGAGCATCACCTGCCGACTGGTCACACCGGCAGTCTGTTCCTTGTCACGATCAGGAAATAATCTGAAAAAATGCGTCGACAATTCAGTGCATAAATAATGGTCTAACAATCTGTATGAAAAATGTCAGTCAGCATTTGACTTATAATGATGGTTTATATTTGCAGACAAGGTCATTGTATCCAGAGAAACGAAATGATTATTCATATTATTTATGTTTCATCAACTTTTTTATCAATAACTTACCTCAATCTTTTAAGAAATAGTTCATACAAAGAACATGCACTTGCGTATCGAATCAACTGATAGCTTTAAACCCTATGATGAAGGTATACTGCTGCATAAGTAAAGGAAGTTGACGATTGAAAATTAAAGTCATTACATTTATCATCAAGCTTGGTTGTCAGACAACCACTAGCGTCTTTTTCAAGTAAAATATCCAATATGAAACAGATGTGTCAGACTCACGACAAGAATGTCAAACAACAATCAAACAAACAATACATATTTTGTGAAAGATTTGAACTATAGTAAATCAAACTTCAAGTAACAAAGTTTTCACTGTAAAATTTTTTATTCATTTGACAACATGCCTACTAATAAACTACGATGTTTTAATTTCTACCAATAAAGTTTTCATATAAACTTGACCAATGGTATTTATGCTTTTAATTAAATTTATTTATTTCGTATTCGTCAATGAAAGAGATGTATAGCGGTAAAATTTGAATTGTAGACTGACAAGACAACGTTCCTTTTTATTATGACGGTCTTCGTTGTTAGTCACGTGATTTAAATACCAGGTCTAAATTTGTTACTTCCTTGTTGATATATAAATAAAAAAAGGAAATAGGAACGACATCTTCTCGTTTATGCTGTAATCACAGTTTGACGAAGGTTTTGTGTGATAAATGAAGAATGAAATGTAAGTATACTTATATCTGTTATATTTCTATGACAGACGATCGCTGTCTGCGATGACATCCGGTATATAAGCCGTCACAACATTACCGTAACATTCATTAAATATGACCACCGGTTCTAAGTGCTTTATAAGTGGACTACTGTGACAAGGTGTTTTAGTTTTATTAAACTCATCTACAGTGTTTTACTACACTAACTACAGGTAAATTGGATGGAAAAACGTATGCAAGAATACTGTGACAAAATGGGAACAGTTTATCACATAATTGTTAGCATTTGTCGTCTTTCCTTTCTACTCGAGGCATGTTTAATTCAAAGATTAATCAGCTGTAAATAGAATGAAGTGCGATTTTAAAGATGATCTATTCGTGTACATTAAACTGACTTAAGGCAATGATTCACCCCTTCACAGATGAATAAACCCAACCCAAACAAGCATCTGGATTTAGTAGTGATTGCGCTTCCTTTAAGTGTTTTGTTGCTTAAGTTTTCGTTGATATAAAAAATGTATATTTCGAATCTTCGGCTTGTTTATACTTCCTTTATAACTGGCCTCGTCAGCTAAACTTTTCCGAGAATAAAAACATCAGAGAAAAAGTGCAAGGATTTAAAATACTAGAAAAAAACTTCTACCCTTAGACTTTTACCTCATGTTTTCATGATTTCAAAGAATACTGTAGGATCATCATTGTTAGTGGGTGACCAATGTTAGTGTATTTCGTGGATCACCCTTACCCACAAATTTACATCCCCTTGAACGTTCATTTTGTTAACATATTGATTCACTGAACCATGGTATTAACGAGTAGCCCATGAAATTACGTCCCCACGAACAGGTCAAATTTTGCTTATCCACGAATATTGACCCCTACAAATTAAAAATGATTTCACTGTAATGTCTTACTGTTTTTCATTCTTGACGAGTATGAGCAACGATACGCCCTCGATAAGTGTTTCAAGTTAATGCACGTGTTTTGAGTCGTAAACTACAGAAGATTACTTTAAACTGGGACATAGAGATATTAATTTGTCTAACCTAAATGTATGAACGGTGTATTTTTTCCTAAAGGATGAATGATAGTATCTTGAATTATATTTAGAAATTTATTACAAAAGAGGACTTTAAACTTTTATTATTTATTGACCAGAGGATAGCTATTTTTAAGTCCTCTACCGGAAAACCGAATTGGGACTATATGTTGTCTGTCTGTCTGTCTGTCTTTATGCCAGCCAGTCTACCTTTCGTGGTTTTCCCGTTTTTTCTAGGCATAAGCAATCTTTTCCGTACATTCAAACATCACTTCTTATCCTTTGTTTCTTTCTATCCTCTATTTTTTTCCAAAATGATTCAAATCGTAATAAGGTATTTCAAAATATTGTCTAATTGAAATACTATAATTATGTTTTTGGGACAAGGAAGAATGGTGGAAAAAGAAAATTCAAACCAATCGATCTAAATATGAGTCAGCAATTTAGTATTGTGTAACAAATGGATCAAGGTAGGCCACATTACAACAAGGTAAACAAAAAAACTCAAGAACCACTAGTACAGATAAGTCAGGATAAATAAAAGTCAGGCGGACAGTGTGCTCCGTTATCTCTGTCAACAGAATAAAAAGAAGGTTATTATTTTAAATCTTTGTAAGAATATCTATGTCCAAAACTCGCAATGGATTTTAAGAAATAAATGTGTCAAAGAGCAAGGAAACCTTCAATATTATTTACGAGATGGAGTTATTCAAAATTTTACCATGTAATTTTTATAATCTTAAAGACACTTAAGTGACTTGAATGTTATACACTTGTAGTAGTTCGTATATAATATCGAGATATGCATTTTATAAAGCGGTAAACAAACTCACGAGTTCTTTTTTCGAAATCGATTTTTTTTTAATTCATATTGAATGAAGTTTAAAAAATAAGTGTTCAGATTAGGTGTATATTCAATTTTTTTCCCTGTATTTGGTCCAAAATTTGTCATATTTCATTCATGATTTACATCAATCCTTCGTCCTTTTTGTGCATTTAAATATCGAATCACTCTTGTTTTTATAGTATCTTTTATGAATCAATTTTTTTGTTATAATTTTGTCGTTTTTTTTTTTTTTTTTTTTTTTTTGGAAAAGCACTGCAATATTAGTTATCAGTATATGTATAAAAATGAAGTTCTATGGTCGATACAATGACCTTGTAAGCAAATAAAATCTAGCATTAAATCGAATGCTGACTGACGTTTTTCATTATAATTCTTAGACCATTATTTATACACCGAATTATCTACGGATTTTCCGTTATTTCCTGATTATGATAAGGCGCGCCTTGTGAATTTTTACCGGTCGGCAGGGGGACGCTCACTCCTCCAGGGCACCCCATTCCACACCTTATGTTTTAAAGGCCCGTGTTTGCTCCGCTCCAGATTCGTAATATTTGAATGGGAGCTTGAATACTGTTCATTATTTCTATATATTATTCAGATAAAAAGTGCATAAATGTGATCTCGTTCGAATTCTAAGTATTACTTTCAAGATGAATAAACTTTTGTTTTAAAACTTTTTTTCTTTACCTGAATTCAATTCTCATAATATCTTTACTATTTTAGCAGAATTTAAATCATTTTATTTCTAAATCAAATAAATAGTTGAATGTTAGGTTGTTGCTGTGTTAGTACATATTCCCTCTGCTTTGTTTTTTTTTTTTTTTTTTTTTTTTTTTTTACAATTGAATACGCTACGGGAATTTTAGGCAATGTCAAATTGCTTTGGAATATTAATTACCTAATAATTTACATTTAACACGAATTAAAAATCAATTTAAATTTTTTTCCAATTTCAAATAACCACATCTTGTGGTGGTAAATTTGTCCAAAGATAAGAGAGATTAAAATGTAATCTGTCATGTCTATCATGTTATAAGTGCAGTTCTTGTAACAGTTAATCCATCTCATCCTCAAAATGTACAAACATTCAAAAATAGTATGATACGTGCAAAATCATGGGCTTATTCTTCCTCAATAGTCCAATAAAAATAGCATTTAACCCATTAGCAATAAATACAAACAACGTACGTCAAAATCAATGTTAGTTTGATTTAAGTATAACCAGGACATGGCCGGGCATTGTTTTTTGTTGATGTAACCTACAAAGTCAAGTAAAGGAACGATTCCTGAAAGCATGCATACCTAGGCAGAGCTAACAAGAACCTCTAGAACATCAGAGAGGGAATCAGGTGCCATTGAGGAATCAGCATCCCTGTTCGACCGCGGTCACACTTGCCCAGTGTTCCTTCTCATGATCGGACAAGCAGAAAAATCCGTAGTCTATTCTTAGTAAAGATAAGGAAATAAAAGTTCGCGTTAAAAACGTCCGACTTGAGTATAGTTTGTATTTAATTTCAAAGTCATTGTATCGGCCATGGTATTATTTTTTTACGAATACACTTTAAACGAGAATGTTGATGTCCTTTTAACATAAACTTATTTATCAGGCATTTGCCTTATTTAAAAAAAAAGTGTTCGAACCTAAAATTTGCCCTTGTGTATCGAATCAACTGAGACACATTTTAAACTTCAGATGCTGAGGAAAATAGTATACTGTTATATAAAAAATATAATAAGTTGATCATCACGTTTATTTCCTAGTTTTGTCGTTGGCATTAGCGTATTTTTCTAGCAAAATGGAATAAATATAGAACAGCCTGTCAGACTCTGTGGTGTCATTTATTTTGAATTTACCGGAATATATCGTTACGATATAAGAATGGAACTAACTACATGAATTGTTAATTGACAATACGTCAACGATTTAAGAAAAGAAAATGAAAATGTTAATATTAAAACGTCGTTGTCGTAGGTATTGTACCACAATGTCGAACTGAAGGCCATAGCGAGTTACTTTTTTTTCATTTAAAAGTTTTTGATTGAATTAGATTTTTTTTAAATTGGAGATACGAACATCTGTTAAATAAGCTTTTTTTAATTGGTACATGTAGTTTTGTATATTGTCTTATAGTGTAATAAATGAAGTAAAATGACGTGTGGATGCTACTTTACATGAATAAAGAATTATATCTGCTTATAATGGAGAAATAGTACCCATGGGAAATTTAACGGATTGCTGAAAGATGAGATTTTCAAAAACTACATATATATTGTCATTGAATCAGAAACTCAAGCATCAAATCAAATTCGGAAAAACTTGTGTGTAAATTAGCAAAATAATTTTCAAATGACCAATGATGAAGTAAATAAATCAACAACATTGAAATTTTATTGATAAAAAAAACACCAGCTGTCTGGTGTTTAATTTACCACAGGGAAAGATTATATTTTTGAAGTGTTGAAAATTGGTACATTTCGTCGTGATTACTTTCGATAAAATTTTGTCATAAATACAATATTTTAAAAGGTCTATGAAGGCATTTAGTGTTAAATTAAAATTAATATTAAGATCAAGAAGTATGAATATTATTTTCATTAAGTATGAAGTACGAGTATTAAATCTGAAATATATTTTTATTTTTTATCAATCAGGAAAAAGATAAGAAACAGACAAATACTGCTATTGTTCAAATCTACATTTTTGGTTAATATACGTTTTTAAGTAATTTATAAACAAAACATTAATTAACTTAGAAAATTCTGTGTACTTCATGAATTGTAAGCAACACCAGAGATACTTAACCATACACACTTAAAATATTTCCTAGCAATTAAGAATAGGCTTCCTTTCTAAAATAACAAGCAGATAAAAGCTTGACGGAAAGCTATTTTTGCTAGGTTTTTTTATATACTCTTCTGGTTGCTAAAGGATATTGAAATATTTTTGTTCAGCAATTACATATTCATACATGTTTATTCATGTCCATTGTTTTAATCAACGTAAAATTTCCACTGACGGATATTCTTGTAAGGAAGTGATATATCCATGCACTCAATCTGATTAAAATCAGATCTTTGTAACGGTCCGAAATTCTGATGGTCGCTGATTTTAATCAGATTGTCAATGCACTCTAATCAGTATCAATAGTATTGAATATAAGTGTTAAAATATACTTTGTTTGACTAAAAATATTATGAGAAAATAAAAATCAATTGATTGATAAACTAATTTTATATTGTAATATTATTTATTCATTGGAGTATTGCTTTCCAAAAAAGCCATATTGCAGGAAAATGAATTGTAGTAGACACATTTTGAAAGTTCTACTTCAATTTGATGATTTCAATTCTCTACGAATTAATTGAAGGATTTAGTGTTTGTTTGCTGTTTCAGCATTCAAACCCTGATTTTAGAAAAGCACATCATAACTCAAGTAGGAAAGGAAAATTTGAAGTGCTTCAATGTCACACTTTATCACAGTCTCATCATTTTGTGTTAAATTCTACTACCGTTACTGTTTATTCATTCAGTACTCATAATTACATGTTGTACGTCTTTCAGTATGATGTTACAGCTTTGCGTAAAGTACATTACATTGATTTAAAGTTTGTTATTACGAAGTAGTTAATTTATTTCATAGATAGGGGGCATCAAGGTTTGCTTGAATTTCAAAAGGATAATGAGGACTCCCATTTTTTATGGACTTTATACATAAACAAGGCATGTTTATATCTTCTTGTTCACCGTTTAATAGAAATTGTAAATTTGCCTCAAAAAAGAAGGTAAGCAAATGCTATCAAAATTTAGATATGGAAAATATTTCTCACAATCTTACCTTTTGATTGATGACATGTATGTACACAAAAGTTCGCTAAAGTTAATATATATATAAAAAAAATGCTCGAATTTCTGATTGACAATATTAAGGTGGTTTTTCGAGACCAAGTCCTCCAAAATCTATTGGATTTCTAATGGGTACCAATTGCGCCCCGTCCTTAGCAGACCCGTTTTGTGAAGCAAAATTCGTCCGAAATAGTATACGTGAAAAGAAGGAAACACTTTCTGTGGCATTCAACTCGATATTTGGATATATCGACGACGTATTCTCAATTAACAATGGATTTTTCCATTCTTATGTCTAAATGATAGTGAGCTTGAAATAAAAGATACCACAGAATCTACCACATTTGTTTCATACTTAGACATTTCACTTCAAAAAGACGTTAATGGTAATCTAACAACCAAGCTTTATGATAAACACGATGACTTTAACTTTTCAATTGTCAACTTCCCTTACTTGTGCAGCAATGTACCCTCGTCATCTGCAAACGGGCTAATACCTCTCAGTTGATTCGATACGTAAGAGCATGCTCTACGTATGAACAATTTCTAAAAACAATATATATTAATGACAAACAAGTTGATGAAACAAGAAAACCAGCAGTCTCGTGTAAAGTCTTAATTTTGTAAGTTCTATGGTTCATCAGTGACCTTGCCAGCACATGCAATTTATCATTGAGTTAAATGCTGACTGACATTTTTTCAATACTGGTTGTAAGCCATAATATACACACAGAATTGGCGACGAATTTTTCCTTTTTCCCCCGATCATGACAAGGAGCACACGGCGGGTGTGACCGGTCAGCAGAAGATTCTCACTCCTCCTTGGCACCTGATCCCATCTCTATTCTTTTGAAGGTTCATGGTTGTTCTGCTCCAATTTTTTTTTTTAATGGACTTTTGAGCTTGAATACTGTTCGTTATCTTCATATACAGCCGTATTTCATGTTAACATATTTTGTGTAAGGACATTTTATTTGAACACCTAAAATACTCAATGATCAGAGAAGATATACAATACATCACATCTTTTTTTATATTTGGACCTTTAACTGATTAAAGACAGATAGAGGGCAACAATCAACTTAATTGTATGTCAAACGAGATGACTTTTTCAATAACATTTTCCATCTTCATCTGTCCTTATTCATGTAACGTTACCAATTTTTCTGTATCATCTGCTAGGGTGTTTATGTCTCCCATATGATTCGCTACTCAAGAGCTTGCTTTGCATACGATTAATTTCCAAAGTCATGCTACTCGCTGATAAGTTAATGTTACAGGGATATCAACAAACTCCTTTAAAGTCAGCATTTTGTATAAATTCTATGGTCACTATTATGACATAATGACCTTGTTAGCAAAGGATGGTGTGACCGGTTAATAGACAGATAAAGGGCAACAATCAACTTAACTGTATGCCAAACTCCTCCTAAGCACTTGGACCTATCTGTTAAATTTCCAGGGGATTCGTGTTTTATGGGTCATTTTCAAAAAAAGTCTATTTTTTGAATTACATATTTTGAAAAATGAAAGTGGTTTTACTATGATTTTTTCAACTTTATTTGAATAATATAGTAATAAACTACTAAAATCCACTGCATTGCATAAAAGAAAATATTTCTTTTAAAAAATATTGACATTTTATCTTAGTCATTTAAACTTTAATGTCCTTCCTGTTACTTTCATAAAAAGAGCTGTAAAACTCTATTTCAAAATTTTCATCAAATTATCTTTTGTATACCGTTAATAAATGAAAAAATTATCACTGAATGCCAAGATGTTTGACATTCATCTAATATATGAGCGTTTAAAAGCATGTCAAACTACCATATACCAAACAGAAGCAAAATCTACGGGTTTTTCTTCATGAAAAGCCTTATTGCGGAATGTTTATATGCTATAGTTGAAAAAAACATTCTTGTACATTATTTTTGTTATTAGAATAAACAGTTACAGAAAGTTATTTAAACAGGTGCTCTGCCAAAGCAATTTAAACTAGGAAAATATACTGGTAACAGTAAGGACTCGGGTAACAGGAAGGACAAAACAGTAACAGGATGGACAAAACAGTGTAACAGGATGGACAATGAAATCTACATTTTAGATAAAAATTGACTTTTTTTTAACTTTATTGGTTAGGAGAAGAGAAATAAATGTAGAATAAAAAAAATGATTTTGTCAAATCTGGCAAATTTGAGACAATAAAAGATATTTATGTCCATCCTGTTACGAAATTTAATTCTAAAGTGCTATTAAAATATTTATCAGTTCAATTTTTGTTTATTAAAGGTACTCTATGCTGTTGCAAAACTAAGAATTTTTCATAATTTTAAGAAAAACAAATGATGAAACTTAAATAGGTATATAAATACCAGGATAATTTGTCCCTCCTGTTACACTTTTTGTCCATTCTGTTAAAAGAGTGCATGTTTAAGTTATAATGGCACAATTTGAAGCACTAACTTATTTCAATATGATTTACGAAGTTTTTTAACATGTGTTATTAAACTTATATTACTTAGAAAAATAAAAGTAATTGTTTTTATTGTTAAAACTCAAGATATGAAGTCCAGTTTTCCTTACTGTTACCATATTAATGGTAACAGGAATGACAGTAACAGGATGGACATTTCTCATATAAATCACCGGTTATTTAGTATAACGTACTCTTTTTGCATCATCAAGACATTGAAACAGTTTCTTTGTAACTTAGTAAATCTGATTGTTTTAGCAGAATAAACACATATATGTGTTTTTCACATATTTGGATTGTTTACAGATATTTTTGTACATCGATCAACGTTCATTATCTTCACATTTTATATATATACTAGTTTAATTTAAGACCCATTTTTACAATATAAGCTCTACCTTCGTGCATTTTTTGATATTTATGATTGATTGTATGTTGTTTTTCCACCCGTTTGAGAAATTTTTCAGACCGATAGAGACTTAACCATATAAAGAGGAGGGGGTTCAATTTTGTTAACCTTTACTAGGCACTCAGGGTCATTGAGCAGTGAGGGTTCTTTATCGTGCTAACTCCTACTGTGACGAGGAGCCATGGTTTTTGTGGTCTGATTAGAAGGATCTGCAACTTTTACTTTAAAGAGCTGAGTGGATGGCGAAGGAAAGATTTAAAACAACAGAAGCAAATAAAAAGACCTAAAATCAGGCATTTATGTGCAGTCATCCATTAAAAAAAATGTAGAATTACACAGATAATCTCAAACGATTTAAGTGCATTTAAATTCTAAGGGAGTGTAAGCTTTCTGCGAAGAGGCAAGTTTTGATCAAATTTAAAATGGCATAATTTCAAGGATTTTAAAATAAGTTTTTGGTTTTCTTTTAACAGTTCATATTTTAGAAGTTACGACTTTCAAGCTGCAGGTTACAAGCAACTGAAATCTGGTCTTTACTTGTTTTGAAAAAGATCTAAAACAAATGACAAACTCTTATTTTCAGCATTAAACAAATCTTCGTTTAAAATCTTCATTTATTTTTATTTTCAGTTTCATTTATGCATCTAATTAATGTGTCCCTTAAATCAGAAGACAAATTCAAGACACATTTCAACCAAATGCCTCTTGTATAAATGTAAAGCTCAAACTACTGAACACTTGAAACCATCGGACGACTGGAAGAATGTAACAGAAAGGAAACGTCGCCTTTCTTAATGTAACTAGTAAAGATATTTCATTCAAAATAGTCTATTTCTATTTCAACTTGAACGGTAGAAAATAATAGTAATAATTTATTAAATAGGTTTCCTATTACCATCGTAACTTGACTGGAGTTGGTCAGAAACCAGTATCAATAGACCGAGAGTGGAAGAAAAAACTTAAAGCACATACAAGGACATAAATATCTTCTTTTATTTCCGTGTGGAAGGAGGCTATATATATCAAACAAATTGTTTTCAGAATAAGATAAGATGTCAACGATTTGAATCATCTGGTATTGATTTAATTTTAACTCTTCTATTACAGAATCTTATGATTTACACTTTTTTCAAGGCAACATATTCTTTACAAGGTAAGTTTTTGTTTTTGAAAATTTCAATACGGTATTAAAAGTACAATGAAGAAAGAACAATTTTTAAAGAAAAAGTCATACATGAACATTACTACTTGGAACATTTGAAAATTTTTTTTCATATTCTGTTATCAAATTCATTCGTTTTATCGAAACTAAAAACCTTGCTTGAATCATTAAGTCATTATTAAATGTTTCTATTACAGACAATGATTTGAATCGCAAACTAACATGCCTCACGTGTGTCTGTTGTACTCCTCAGAAGATGGCCAGAATTGGCAAAAATATTTCACCAATCTATTACAGAAGTCCAAATTAACTCATACATCATGCAGTTTGAAGGAAACTGCTGAGGACTTGGAAACGACGTTTTCGAAATGTCAGGTGGTTGTGTTAATATTAACCAGTGATTTAGTGGACTCTCTCAGAGAGCCAAACCATCCTATTCATGATAAACTTAATGAGCACCAAAGAGTAGCTGTGATATCTTGGCCTTCTTTGAAGGAAGAACTGACCCAAGTTAAAGGGGCTTTTTCTAACTCCTCACACTGGAGAGAGCTTTTAAGTGAAGGAAGCGCTGAACAATGTAAACAGATTGTGGCAGATCTGGCCGGAATGGTGGACGAACAGGAGGGAAATAAAAAGAAAAAGAGAAGACGTAGAAGAAACAACATCGAGATTTTACCGGACAGAGTACATAAGGTACGTCTCTAATACTTACTAGCTGTAATACAAGGATTTCTTCCTTGTTAGAAGAACAGTAATTTCCTCATTAAAATTATTGGCTTATACCTAGAAGCTAAAAACTAGTTAAGTGCAAGATTGGACCATTCATATACATTATTATTTATAGCATAAACACAGATCTTACAAGTGTATACCGGAACTTTATTGCGTCAGAAGTGAACTAAAATACATATAGTAGGGAGATACAACTTAGCTAAATGGATTACTTGTACTAGCTTAGTATCAACAATGTTACATCTTGAGAAAAAAAAATAAGAAAAACATATTAATGTGAGAATAATACAGAAAGCTGACACTTGGCCCTAGCATTTTTTCAAAGTCATCCTAGAATTGATGGCATCTGTTCCCAATATGAAAGAACAGCTGTGCCTCTCCAATAGTCTCAAGTATATGCCCACAAGTATTAATATATATATTCATTTATTTTGTAGATAAATTGAATCAGTAATTAGATGTTTGATCCATAAAAAAGTAAAGATAACAGTGGTAAAATATCAAATAAAAATCTTTAAATGACGCAACTCTGTAAACATGGAATAACGCACCCTCCCCTGAAATTCAGGAGTTGGGATCACGTGCCTACATCCATTTAATTTCTCTCTTGAAAGTTCCAGCTTTAAACCTCTGACAAATGACACATGACGATTCCATATACTTTAACCTGATCTTTAAATCGATAAAACCTTCTTTATCGTTAAATATAAAGTAATAGACCTGAAGAAAAATACCACTTAAAGTAATTGAAAAACTGAATTACCTCACTTAGTCTCTTCAAAAGCTTTGGAAAAACTTTTTTTTCAGTGCAATGAGAAAATCGCCATCATCTTTCAAGAGGTTCCATCAGGAACGGTCCAGATCAAGCTGGAGGGAGGAGATTTCATTGACTGCAAACGTCAGAACGATTACACGTATACGTTTAAAGCGCCATGTAGGTACTATATAGTAGAAAAGATATCAACATTGCCATGTGATATCATTGGGATAGATAGAATGTCGAGAATAAAGCGTATTTTGTTTTGACTTTTTCAGTGCATGAATTCGGTGTAACGAAGTTAGCAGTGTATGTTGACGCCAAAGTCGCGCACCAGTGTCCATTTACTTACCAAACTCCCTCACTAGAAGCTTTCCGATCTATAAGTTTCCTTGCGCAGGCTTTAGGACTAACCAAAGACAACATGGAGGAACTAGACCGGAAACTGGTGGAGATTTACGAATCCAGTGTTCCTGCTGATCTCTCTCTCCACCAAGCTGCCAGTTCTTACATGATCTCCAATAGGGGTAACCAAATATAATTACTTTGTGCACTTTACTCAATGTTACTCTGTTGGCATATAAGTCTCGATGACCATATGCTATTTTAAAAATGGGTAGTAAAAGTGCCTGTGAATCGTGAAGATTCAGTGTATTTTTATACTACAAGCTAAATAAAAACAAAATGTTCACTTACTGTTAAATTTAGGACATCATCATCATACAAACTTTCCTTTTCAAATGTCTTTTTATCCAAAATTTTTTTAAAAAATCGATCTTTTAAGAACTTTTTTTCCACAAAACATCTACTTTTATGCAAAATTTACGTCTTTACAAAGGAGAAAAAAACATTCATTTCTCAATAACTAGATTTTTTTTTAAATTTTGTAACAGTGGGGCGTAGTGATTTTGGAATCCCTACACTTCTCCATTTCGCTGCCCAGTATGGATTGACAGAACTTTGTTGTGCTGTTCTCGATACGCCGGGTTCTCTGGCTGCATTCCATATAGAAAATAAAGATGGCTTAGATCCGGCTCAAATCGCCGATAAAGAGGGGTTCCATGAACTCGCCAATTTTATAAGAATGTTTGTTGTAAGTAATTTTTCAATTGGTAACGTTCCAATAAACTCTTTTGGCTTTATTTAATAATTGATACACAGTTGAAACATTATCACAACGGAATAGATGCGCAGTAGTTCTAAAGTTATCTATTGCATGCAATCTTCTGTTAAAGTAATAAATGTGGTTTATAAAAAAGCTTAAACATTACAAAAGTTTGAACCATCACGCAATAACTTCAGTCAATCATGCTGCAAATCATGTCCATTCTGAGGTCGGGAAACGTATACCCTTTCCTTTTTGAAAATATTAAAGTAGGATTATATTTTGTTTGTAGCTAATTGTTGAAAAAATTTTAAAATTAATTCACAAATATTGCCTTATTTAAGATCGATATTTTATCATTCGTTTTGAGTGTGAAAACATTAAATATTCAGATTTCATATGAAGGACCTCCTTCTAGCTTTCAGGTAACGACAAAATTCTAAAATCTTTTCCATCTCTGACTGATTTTATGTAAGCTTTTATCTATTATCGATGAAGCGATATTCCTTATTTTTCTGTATCTTCTTTTCAACCATTATAATGCATCATTGTATACCAAATATGTGTTTTACATTTTTTTTTCTTTTAAATTCTTAGATTGTCATGCTCCAAATTCATTGTTTTTATCAGATGTTTATTTAAAACAGATTTTCATATACATAGCTATCTTTATGACATAAGAATTAAGTGAGCATTTGTTTCTAGGGCCTCTTGGTTTATAATTCTAATCTTTTTAACTAAAAATAATAAAAAATATATATATTAGGAAGGCTTCTGACAAATCAGTTTATATTGGTGTGTTAACATTTCCGTTTAACATAAACATTGGCAGGTTGTGCAGTGATAACAATAACTTGTTTGAAAATCAATTCGTTTGATCGAATGCTGACTGACGTTTTTCATACAAATAGTAAAGTCATTGTTTTCATACTGGTTTGTCTGTGGATTATTCCATTTGCATGGTGAAAGCAAGGGGTCAAGTATGAATGTTTTTTATTGTCGTTCCCACCTCATATTTTTTCAAGAGGTGCGTGTTAATTCTGATTTCAATTTGTATTCTTATAATGGATTTTGAGGTCACTGTTTCATCCACACTCAACCTAATTTTATTGTAAGCAATGTTTTTAATTTATTTATTGTTGTATACAATCGGAATTCCAATATTATTCTATTTATAAGACAAATACGGTTCAATCAAAACTTATTTTTAAGTCTAATTTGTTTTGTATTTTTAAACAATTAATAGTATACTATTATCAACTGGAACATCAAATTCAATGAAAAATTATTATCCTGTTGATAGAATCTTAGCAAAATAATACCCTTATCTAGATGTCAATAATTTTCAAAGCTTTTGAGATTCTTTGAGCCTGTAAATACAAAAATTATTATTATTTTTATCTTCATCAGCCGAAATCTTCAAAATGCATGCACATATGAATACATATTTCCTTATTAGCATCTATGTTCATAAAACATTTTTTCAATTATTTTTTTTAAATAATGCATTATCTATACGATGCTGACTGAGGTCTACATTCAAAATTTTAATACCCAGTAAATCATACGAATTCTCGCCGAATCTATCGTAAAAAATTATCACAAAAATATTGAAATAAAGATGTATATACAGGGAATCTTCTCTTTATATAAGATTTATTAGTATAATAGCTGAATATAACAAATATATGAACGCATGCATATGTAGCACAACTTCAAATGTTGGGCTTTCGTTGAACAAGCCTATGGTTACATGTAATAGGGAATATGAATATTAAAATGGAAAACAAACGCCAATCATTAGACTAGCAGTGTTCCATTATGTATTGTTTCTTTCTAATGTACGTAAAAATCATTATTCTTACATATCAAAGATGTTAAAAATAGAATGAAATATTGAGATAACAAACAATATTCATGCTCAAAGTCCATTCAGACGGTGCAAATTGGGATCAGATCAAACACGGACCTCTAAAACATCAGAGGCGGGATCATGTGCCATGTAGGAGGCGACAGGTCATAACCCGCAGGTGCCATGATCAGGAAAAATGGGAAAATCCGAATACAATCCACTGTGTAAATAATGTCCTTACAAATAATATTAAACATGTCAGTCAGCTTTGACTTTTGAAATGATGGATTGTTTTTGCTGTCAAGGTCTTTGTATTGACTATTAGATTAGTGTGACCCTGTCATGATCAAGAAAAATAGGAAAATCCGTATACAATCCATGTGTAAATAATGTCCTTACAAATAATATGAAACATGCCAGTCAGCTTTGACTTTTGAAATGATGGGTTGTTTTTGCTGTCAAGGTCTTTGTATCGACTATTAAATTAGAAATGGTGACTTTAAACGAGACTGGTGACATCCTTGTTTCATCAACTTGATTGTCAATTGCTTACCTCGTTTTTGATATTGTATATACATATGAAAAGATGGGGTATTTTGAAATATGAGTAAAAAATGAACATAAATTGAGAACATGCTCTTGCGTATCGACGTGACGTGACATACCTAACTTGACGTTACAGTCTCCCCCGGGAGAGTGACACCTTATTGGTAATTCCCCTTTTTTTATAAATACATTGTTTGCTTTTGGTAAAGAGGATATATTTCTACGTTAGTAACGATTGAAAAAGTGCAGTAATCGTGTTTATCACAAAGTTTGGTTGTTATATTACTATTAACGTCTTTTTCTGGTAAAATATCAACCAATGAAACAGACTCTGTGATATTTTTTTATTTCAAGCTCATTGGGATTTATCGGGTAGACATATCATTGCAAGTAACTAGTCAATTGATAATACGTTGTCGATAAATTGAAATATCGAGTTGAAGTACATGGCAAGTTTTTACTTCTTCTCAAGTAAAAACTTTTAAATTAAATTTTGCTTCAAATAAAAAAAATGCAGCTAAACCAGAATTTAGTCAAAGCTCTTTACGAAATTTCCCGAGTATAGTATCACTGAGTCACAAAATAACATTGACCTGACGTTGGGCCAAAAGTGGAACTAATTACGAACACTGGGCAAACGTAGTCATCCAATCTGAAAAGGAAAGAGTAACGAACAGTGATCAAACTCAAAAAAATCAACAAACAATACAAATTTATTAACACCGCATAAAATACTGACCATATGAGATTCCAAAAGTGGAATCAAGTGACTATATGGGGAGTACGTATCTCTTGTTGACCGATCACATATAAAACACCAACTTAATTTTAAAGTTTAAAAACTTTTAGAGAGAAAATAATGTAACTGTATATTCCCTTAGGGACAACTTCGGGGACTGTGTTTTCTACATCTACCCGTCCAACTGTCTGTCTGTCTCTCTGTCTATCAGGCATTGTGTTTCATTTGATTTTCGAAACAATTTTTATAAGATGCTTGCTTATTTTGAACTGATTTATTGGTGTATTGTTCTGTCTTGACAGGTTATAAATCCTTTGTATTTAATTCAAATCGATGATTTTGGGCAAAAATATATGACCCATACTTGAAAAAAAAATCCTTACTGCGCATCCAATACCCTCAGAATGTTTGTTCTTTCCCTATGTATAAATAACAAAATATGACGGTGGAAATTTTTAAAGCAATAAAATTGAGTTCAGATAAGCATATATTTTTTTAATGCAGTGTTGTTTTATAGCAATTAATCGGATTTCTAGTATCTTAGTAAGGAAACGCAAATTCTAGGTAGCCTTGACTTCAAGGTTTTCTCTTAAAAAATTCTGAACTTTAATTGAAAAGCTTTTACTGATTTTCATCATGTCGTTAACAGGAGACGGCAGCAGTTATAGAGGTATCAGATGAACTTTATTTATCCATGACAGGAGAACACCTCTACAACAACAGGTCTGAAATCTCAAAAGAACCCCAGGAAGAAAAAGGTGGGTCAATGTTGGTACACGGATTTAATTTTTCTAATAAAGTGTTCTATGTCTTAGTAGTGACTTTATCTCCGTAACCTTACCAGTGAGGCCAATTCCATTTGTGATGAAAAAGTCAGTTCAAAACTTAGATAATTGTCTATGCAACTGTCGTTGTCGTCTTACATTGTTAATAGAATCACTTTTCCATTTAAATCAGCTGAGTACACGTGTCATATGATTTTGTAAATAACATTCTTTGCAGCATAACGTAAATTTTCAATTTAAGAAAATTAATTTACAAAAAGAAAAACCAAAATACTTGCCTCTTTGGAATTTTAGACTATCAGGAAAGAATCTAGCTAGTATGATTAAACGTTACCTGAAAAATGACAATAATAAGTACCCGAAGACTGACTGAGAATACAATTATTTTTTTCTCCAGACAAACAAGAAAAATTACATGCTAGTAAAACTAAGAAGAAATTACCACCTGTTCCTAGAAAGCATAAGTCTGTGATATCTAAGGCTGTGAGTCAACCTATTATAGAAGAAGAAACCGAAGGTACTAAAAGTTATATAATGTAATGTGTATGATAAATAATTCAAATAATTAAAATTTAGGTTAAAACCTTTGAAGAACTGAAATTGCATACAGACTTTATATCTCTCAGTTGATTCCATACGGGAGGGTGTGTTCTACGTATGAACAATTTCTAAAATGAGGTAAGTTATTGAAAAACAACGTGATAAAACAGGAATTAATATCAGCAGTCTCGTTTAAAGTCATCATTTCTAGTTTAATGATCGATACAATGACCTTGTCGGCAAATACAATTTATCAAATGCTGACTGAATTTTTTCATATTGATTGTTAGGCCATTATTAACATACTGAAATGTCCACGGATTTTTTCCGTTTTCCCCCGAACATGACAAGGAGCACACTGCGGGTGTGACCGGTCGGCAGGGGATGCTCATACCTCCATGGCACCTGATCCCGCCTCTGATGTTTTGGAGTTCCGTGTTTGCCCTGCCCCTATTTTGTATTGTTAAATGGACTTTTGAGCTCGAATACTGTTCGTATTCTCCACATACATGTATTTCATGTTTATGAAATGCCTTGTAAAGCTAATATAAATTTATTTCAAGAAAAAAGAAGATGAGATCGACAATTCATTTAATCTGTTTGTTTGTTTTGAACATATTTTATGGAATAAATCAAAGGGATTGGAAACAAATCTTTCAACGTACGAGTTCCTCTCCTTGATTTCATTTTTAATACAAACATAATGAAGACTATTCAAATAGGTTTAGGTTTCAGTTGCAAACTGAACGCATTTTATACAGCTCAGAAAGTTGAGTTGTATCCTTGAGTTATCCTTAACATTAGTTTATAACATACATTATGGTATTAAAGATAAAATTCTTGCAAAAAGAGGACCAATTGTACTAGTAGTGCAAATAAATCATAATATGAAAGAAAGCAATCATAAGAATTGTATAATTCATCATATTTTTGTGTCTTTGTTTTATAAGCAACATAAATCTTTCAAAAAGAGGCATTTACTAGTTCACAATAGCCTGTACGTTTCACAGACTTTTTGAACCATATGTATGTAAACAGGCAGTTGGATTCAGAGTAAATCATTTCATAATAATTAATAGGTAATAAATTTATGCAAAGGTATTGTTTACAATCTAAATAGAATCCAAGCAAGACAAACCTACGAGGAAGCAGTTACCTCCCCCACCCGGAAGACTATCAAAATCAATGAGTGATCAGACGTTACACGTGTTAGAAGGTATGTCAACAGACTTAATTTCCAGTTCAATACAATTGAATTGAAAGTTAGCTAGTACCAGATATTCCTTCAAAATCTTATTCTGTTTTGTAGAAGAACAAACGCCTCAAAAACCTAGTCCGCCTCCTGTCCAACGGAAGCCTATCAAAGAACCAGAACCTACAAAAACAGAGGAGAGTAACCGCGGGAGAGAACCCAAATCTTCTCCAGAGGACAAAAAGAGGAAGTCACCCAGAAGTTTGTCTCCTGCAGAATTTATGGGAATGACTGGAGAGGGGTGTACGTATATTTCTTTTTATTTCCATCAAAACCCTCTCCATCAGTTAGATTAAAATGTAAGTAGTAAGACATGTTGTTTATCATTGTAGTGAATATAAAAAAGAGCCCCGGAAGTTTAGGGTCGTCTTCGTTAGAAGAGCTCATTGAAATCCAGCGGGGAGTTTCCGAGAAGGAGTTTTCTATAGAGGAAGCAGAACAGCTTTATGGTGCTTGGAAAGAGAGAAATCGAAGTTTGAGAACATCTATCAAAGATCGACACAGGGGACTTGAAGAGATGAGGAACACGTACGCTACCGTCATCACGCAAGCTAAAATGCAAGGGGAACGACGATCTATCTTTGAAAGACTAAAAAGTACCTTCGGCAATAGAAAGTCTTCCAAACCCGAAATAGTCTTCCCCCAACCTAATATCAAGGCAAAATCATATTTCCTTTTTCTTTTTTATTTTATAGAGGATCATGAAAAATTCTTATTTTCTACTTTTAAAATGTAAAGTAGATTTGAAGTGAATGACACATTGATGTTTTTATTTCAATATTCGTGTCATTATTTTAGCATACAACTTACGAGCGAGTGACAGATTGGACAAACAGGGCCAGTACACTCAGTTCATCAAGTAAGTTTTATTTCTTCCTTAATTAAAATTAATCACACTTTATCTTTTATGATTCGTACATATTTAGAGAGTGCTTAAATTGAGGTTTATTATGAATCCTATTCCTCTGTTTATCTTAAGAGTCTACATGTTTTTAATTCACAGGTTCTGCATCTGGGTCGTCACGTGACAGTAGGATGAGTATAAGCTCACAAGACAGTGTGTATAACTCCACAGACAGTGAAAGTGAGGTAATGATACGATTCTCCTTGTGACTCTTTTGTCTGTGCTTCCAGTTGAAAGTATATTTCAATTGGAAGTATATTTTAAAATAAAAGTTGTCAAAAATAAAAAAGTTTAATTCTTAAATCACAAAAATCACGTAATAAACAACATTCATCAACTAACAGTGTTTACACAAATGCGCATTGTTCATATGCTGTCTCATATATCAGTATATCTACACTTAAATTCACATATTTACATTTCCAATGTCTTTGTCCGAGATAAAATTACCAAATGTAAATGTACTTTATTTCCCCATCAATGTATTGGCGCGGTTCCAAAAAAAACCACGTGCAGGGCGGGACAAGCAGCTAGATAGAAGCAGGGCTTGGAGCACGTGGATTGGCGGAATCAAAGCATGTAAATATAAGGAATAACTGTCAGATTTTTCAATTTCATGAAGATGATCAATCGATTGGCTTGCGTGATAATTTTATGCATAAACGCCGAAAGCGTTTATGCAAATTATCACTCAAGCCAATCGATTGATCACTTCATGAAATCGAAAAATAAGACAGTTATTCCTTAAATACAGCTACAAGTATTCTGGCTCGTCTTTATTATTGTGAGTTTGTTTAAAAAGAATGTTGATGGAGTACAAATTCTTGATCTTGTACGCTGTTTGATCAGCTGATGTTTGGAAGCTTTATTGCAATATTGCATGTCTCTTCATAATTATATAACTTGTCCGAATTGCCATCCAATGTTTTTTAACTTTTCAAATTTTTAAATTATGTCCATTGATATTTTTCGTTACAGGAAGATGAGTCTTCCCAGAAGCGAGGAAAACCGACCAGTGGAGATACAGTATGTTTACATTATTTTTTCAAAGTTAAAATATTAATTTTATTTCAATAGAAGATTGGAATGGGGAAACCTCTATCCAGTTATCAATAAAATTTATTTATTTATAAATCTATTTTCCGTTTTTCTTTTGATAATGCAATGCATTTTATTATTCTGAAACAATTTTTCAACATAATTTTTAACTTTTTAAATACCGAATGACGGATGAGCAGAAAAGAAATTTAAAGAATTTGTGCATGTGTGTTAATGAATGCCTGTCATCATATTAGTTCAGTGCACATGTATTTGTATTAGATTTATAAATGTTGGTTATTAAAGAAGATCTATAAATAAAATCGACATTTTAACTTTAGAGAGGCCAAATTTATGTATGTATACAAAGCAGACATAAGACCTGCTATGCTTCGCGCGAATTATTATATTGTATATAGAATGCTGCAATCATCGAGTTTTAAATTTTTAGAGTTTAGATTACTAATATTATGTATCATTTTTATGCAGCATGTTTCCATTTATTTCAAATATGGTTTCAATATATGCCCTTATTAAATGAGGTGCAATAGTCATCTTTAAAATATGCTCAAGAGACGAGTATTTCTTTTAAAGAGAGGCCAAATATTCAACAAGCATTTAGATGTGAATAGAAGCAAAATATATGTACGTATTTTAGATTTCCGAACATCATTAAAGGCTTTAAATTTGAATCATAATACATTCTTTAGCAATAAGCATTCTGGGTATTTATGATCTGGGAAATCTGATTTTTTTTAAAAAAATCTTCCTTCCGTTTATATATCACTGTCCACTGATGCACGTTTCTTGTTAGGACAAAATATATTAACTGATATATATGTGATCTTTTGACCATGCAGAGTAAGTATAGCCTACTCTGATTATGGCTGCAGTCCTGCATTATAAATCATATTTAAGCAATGCTGGCGCTTCACGAAAAATGTGCCTACACATGTCGAGTCTGTCTAATTTACACAGCAATAAATGAATTGAAAAACATTCCTTATATTTACATTTTACATATTTAAAAAAATACACTTTAAAATTTGAATCTTTTGATGCCCTAGGCCTACATTGTTGGAGAATAATGTCCGCCGGTTTTCTTTGATCTTTACAATAATCGTGGTAGAATATATTTTCTTAAACGTCTAAACAAAAGTATATACCCTAGTAATGACGTCACTTTAGCACGAAGCTTGAAAATAGAGTACACATTTAAGGTAATGTTGAGATACATGTATGTTTAAAAACAATATTATATAGTTATATCTCGTACATATTTATCTTTTTTCTCTGATCCCATGATTCGAGTTTAAAACAGGACATGAATCAGCTATTATTTTATTTTCATTGTCATTTTTAAGAAAGACCAAATTTATGGGTTTTAACAAATTGAGAAAAGTATTTAGCGAGTACAATGATAGACTCTTTAATACCTCTAAGGTTATCACACATGTGCATGGCTTATTATAGTGTATACTTGCTTTGACATGGATTTTATTTCAAGAATGCTGCGAAAATAGTATCGTTCTTTTATTATTTATTTTTACTTTTTCAACAAAAAGGTTTATCATCCCTCGCTTATATTCATATTAAGTCATTTAACTCAGTTTGTTTGAATTAAATTTAAATTTATTTTTTAAAAAATCAATTATATTGTATTATGTAGTTTCCTGTGTCGTTGAAAATCAGATTTGTTTACATCATTGTTCTCGATCGATCGGAAAAACACTAATACTGCAAATTTCTGCAATAAGTAAATAATAAATAGAACATACGAAATTGAACAGGAAACTTTGCTTTGTTGTACTCGAGTGAATATTAACCTATGGGCGGCGGAAAGGGTAAAAAAGACGTTTATGCAAAACTAACAACTAATTTTATAAACATAATGAAATACAAAACAGACAACCTGAAAAACAAAATCAACAGACTCTGATGCGAAATCAACGAAACCAACGATTATTCACTGAATTGTCGCTAGATGGCGTGCAAAAAACATATATTACCTGAATTAACGCTAGATGGCGCGCAAGTTTTTCTACGTCATCATTATTTTTGTACTACAATTAAAGAGTGAAGGTCAAAAGGCTGAAAAGTAGCACATGTAGGAAATTCCCATGCCTCCCTTTCAATGATAAAAATAAAAACAGCTCGCATGTTTGTGAGACTTTCTGGATATAGAATAAAAGTTTAATGTCAAAAGTTTACAATGATATGCATCAAGGTGCATTTCAAGCATAAATTATGCATAAAAATATGTATTAATATGAGAGGTCATTTAGTTTATTTACACTTTTTAAGCCATTCGGAGGTCATGACGTCAGAAATTTCTTAATAACCAGGGATTTCCACATTGAACACCCCCATTTTTATGTGAATATTTATCTGACTCATTGCTCTTGTCATGTGGTAAAATATATTTTGGAAATGAATCTTTTTCAAAAAGTTACAAAGAATAAAAAACACATGTTTTTACTATATAAGTCTATATACATGTATGTAAGCTAATTGTGGTCCGGATCCAAATCCCGCGAAATTGTCTATCAACATCCATTTGACAAACCTCGGATAATATTTAGCGTCATATGTCGGACTTTCAAACATATAAGAGGCAGCAAGACACATAGAAACGACTGTAAATATATTACATATTATATATTACAAGAAACCAGTAGCAGATTTTGGTATTTTTCCCCATGAGAAAATTAATCCCCTTACGCTCTCAAAAAAGTTCATATAAAATTATTTTATTGTATTCATGCATTACACAATTTGTTGATACATGAAAAATCACTTGCAAGTTGTACTTGCATTATTTTTGTTTTTCTTTGTACAACTAAGTGAACTGTATTAAATTTATTTTAGAATAAGTTAATTTAGGAAGCAATCTGAGTAAAATCAGATCCTTTGTTCCGCTCATATCTATAGATCGCTTCTCGTGAAGCGATCTATGTGAGCGGATCAAAGAATCTGATTTTAATCATATTGATAAAAGGACGTATCATGTCGCACAAATTATGGTTCATATATGTTAGACAATAAGTAAAAAAATAATTTTATCAAACTGCATGTATTGCCCAAAAATTACACAGTTTTCAATAATATAGATATATGCACGGATCTAGAGTTCTAGACACCCCCCCCCCCCACAAACACACCCCTTGGATTTTGCAGAGAATTTTTTTTTACACTAAACCAAGTTTACTTTAAATGACCTTGGACGCCCCCCCCCCCGAAAACGCTAACCCCTCATCAAATAAGCGAATATGCTAAGTGGCTATGAAAAGTACTAGGTTTCTATGTATGAAGCTTTAAAAGTTAAACTCACCTCATCCCTCCCCCAAGTAAGTTTTTCATGTTTGGGAAAGGAGTTTATGTTTGTTTGTTTATTTGTTTGCTTGTTGGGGGGGGGGGGGTTGATGCTTGTCAAGAAAATTATGGGCTGGAATGTTTTTATTGGGGTGGAACCCCACCCCCCTTGGAAAAAAACAGGATTTGCGCCTGTACAAATATGAATTATATAATACAGAAAAGATAAATGCTCTGATGAACAGGATAATCAAGGTTGGTACTGATGCGCAAGAGAGATGATGATAATTTTTTATTTTATTATTATTATTTTTTAGGGGGGGGGGGGGTATCGACATGTCAATATCAATAACTCATGAAGTTTCAGTCAAAGTCTCATAAGATTTTGGTAATTTGTTGATTAAACATAAATTAAAATGTTTGATGATAAATCTTGAAAACATATTCGAAAGGATAGTTTTAATTTTATTCAAAAGTTTACTATGCGTTTTTTTTCCTTTCAGTATAGTTGAAACTACGTAAAAAAAAATTTACACTGTAGCGCTACAAGGATGAGACTTAATCATACTCCTGTACAAGGTGTGGTGGCATCTTTGCCATGATATGTGCAGTAGACCTTGTCCCATGTGCATTTTGACGAACACAGAAAATGGTTCCGCGTTGCAATTAATGCTCTCTAAATGGCCATAAAAATGCATGCTCAAATTCAATTTCAGCCAGGGGCCTACCCTCCCCCCCCCCCTGCAGGTTCAGTGCCCCTAGGCCCCCTACTGATTTTCCTAATTTTTCCGAAAACAGTATCCCCCAAACCTGGAGTATTTGCTGTCCTACATTCCTTCACCTTATTTTTTTAAAAAGCAAAACTAACAGATATGGATACACAGACATCTTGCCTTAATTTCTTTTCTTTATAAGTTTTTTAAAGTTCTCAAGTCATTCCCTAAAATATACACAGGGTCAATGTAATGGATAAAGATGGGTATATAATGTATTATATAGTATATGGTCCCTGTGATATGTATTCCGATATACACTATGAAAGTACAAAAATAATGATGACGTAGAAAAACTTGCGCGCCATCTAGCCTTAATTCAGGTAATATATGTTTTTTTTTTGCACGCCATCTAGCGACAATTCAGTGAATAATCGTTGGTTTTGCATTGGTGATCGTTGGTTATGCATCGAAGTCTGTTGATTGTGCAAACGAGTCTATTGATTTTGTTTTTCAGGTTGTCTGTTTTGTATTTCATTATGTTTATAAAATTAATTGTTAGTTTTGCATAAACGTCTTTTATAGCTCACCTGAGCCAAAGGCTCTTTATCAAAATTTGTCCGTTGTCTGTCGTTGTCGTTGTCGTTTGCGTCGTTGTCGTTGTTGGCGTTGTTGTAAACTTTTCACATTTTCATCTTCTTCTCAAGAACCACTGGGCCAATTTCAACCAAACTTGCTACAAAGTATCCTTTGGTGAAGGGGATTCAAGTTTGTTCAAATGAAGGGTCACGCCCTTTTCCAAGGGGAGATAATTATGAATTAGAAAAAAATTATTGGCATTTTTAAAAAATCTTCTTCTCAAGAACCACTGGGCCAGGAAAGATGAAACACCTGTTGAATCATCCTCAGGTAGTGTAGATTCAAGTTTGTTCAAATCATGACCCCCAAGGGTAGGGTGGGGCCAAAATGTCCGATCAAAGTTTTAAATAGGAATATATAGGAAAATATCTTTAAAAATCTTCTACTCAAGAACCACTGGACCAGGAAAGATGAAACTCATATGGAATCATCCTCAGGTAGTGTAGATTCAAGTTTGTTCAAATCATGACCCCCAAGGGGTAGGGTGGGGCCAAAATGGCCGATCAAAGTTTTACATATGAATATACAGGAAAAATCTTTAAAAATCTACTTCTCAAGAACCACTGGGCCAGGAAAGATGAAACTCGTGTGGAATCATCCTCAGGTAGTGTAGATTCAAATTTGTTCAAATCATGACCCCCAAGGGTAGGGTGGGGCCTAAATGGCCGATCAAAGTTTTACATATGAATATACAGGAAAAATCTTTAAAAAATTTCTTCTCAAGAACCACTGGACCAGGAAAGATGAAACTCATGTGGAATCATCTTTAGGTAGTGTAGATTCATATTTGTTCAAATCATGACCCCCAAGGGGTAGGGTGGGGCCAAAATAGCCGATCAAAGTTTTAAATAGGAATATATAGGGAAAAATCTTTAAAAATCTTCTTCTCAAGAACCACTGAACCAGGAAAGATGAAACTTATGTTGAATCATCTTTAGGTAGTGTAGATTCATGTTTGTTCAAATCATGACCCCCTGGGGTAGGGTGGGGCCAAAATGGCCAATCAAAGTTTAACATAGGAAATTAGGAATATATAGGAAAAATCTTTAAAAATCTTCTTCTCAAGAACCTCTGGACCATGAAAGATGAAACTCATGTGGAATCATCTTCAGGTAGTGTAGATTGAAGTTTGTCCAAATCATGACCCCCTGGGGTAGGGTGGGGCCAAAATGACTGATCAAAGTTTAACATAGGAATATATAGGAAAAATCTTTAAAAATCTTCTTCTCAAGAACCACTGGACTAGGAAAGACGAAACTCATTCTGATTCTTCCTCAGGTAGTGTAGATTCAATTTTGTTCAAATCATGACCCCCGGGGGTAGGGTGGGGCTAAAATGGCCAATCAAAGTTTAACATAGGAATATATAGGAAAAATCTTCTCAAGAACCATTGAGACAGGAAAGATGAAACTCATATGGAATCATCCCCAGGTAGTGTAGATTCAAGTTTGTTCAAATCATGACCCCCAGGGGTAGGGTGGGACCAAAATGGCCGATGAAAGTTTTACATAGGAATATCTAGGGAAACCTTTTAAAATCTTGTTTTCAAGTACTTTAAAGCCATGCTTAGTGATGTTTATAGGGAATCATCCTCAGGTAGTGTAGATTCAAGGTTGTTCAAATCATGACCCCCTGGGGGTTAAAATTCAAGCCCCCCCCCCCAAGCAAACTTTCAGTTCTGATCTGATGACCTGATGTGTCATTTTTCTTAGCCAATTGCTCAGGTGAGCGATGTGGCCCCTGGGCCTCTTGTTACCCTTTCCGCCACCCATATTAACCCCTACAGTCTTTTTTATTTAAATTTATTTATAACGGATCAATCTGTTCACGTAATTATCCTCGTATTGAAATAATGTAATATGTTTTTCATTTTTTTTCTATTTCAGTCAATGGCAAAACGGTTGTCCTACAAAGAGCACTACCTCCAGCAGTCAATATCCGTGGACAAGGATGGCCCCCCTCCCGTACCCCCCAGAGGCAGCAAACCTAAATGACACATTGTTACCACGTAAATATGGACGAACTTTGTACGTGATTATAGAACGAGAGTACTGTAAACAAACTGATAAAATTGGCATGGTGTTTGTCTTTTTTGTGAACAGATCCAACCTACCCAATATTTTTATCCCGAGTCAAGAGAAAAACAAACATTATTCTTAAGATGTCTTTATTAATTTTATTAAATTTTACACGCACATTATATTATTTTTTTTATTAGTGAGAGGATCCTTCCTAACAACCATTGGGAAATCCTATGACTGTTCAGACTGACACATCTAATTCGTATATTCATGAATGTTTACTACATGATAGGGCTGGGCAATAATATCGATATTTCAATATATTGCAATACAATGACAAACAATATCGTATCGCAATACGATTTTGTAATATCGATATATTGGCAATATGCTTAGATTAAAGAATTTTGTCATTAAATATAAAAATGGACTTATAAAAGTTTGTTATTAAACCAAACAGTAAGTCAGAAGTTGTTTGTGGGAACATTTCAGAGCATAACTTAAATGAATTCAACAAGATTTTTTTTCTGTGTTGGTTACTTATCATAGTTATGTACATTCTGCATGTAAATTAAAGTAAATATAGGAAGAAAATGCCATTTTTGTTACATTGAAAATATTGCAATACATATCGCAATACATTTAAAAATATCGCAATACGAAATCTCAGGTCAATACCCAGCCCTACTACATGCAGATGCTGATTGCAAACTGTTAACTTACGTTTATGATAAAAGTGATGACTTAAACTCGACATTGAGAAATGTTGACGACGTATTGTCAATTTACAATTAAAAATTTTCATTCTCATGGCGATGTGATATATCCCAGTGAGCTTGAACATATACAACATAAAAGATACTATAGAGCCTGACACATCTGTTTCATATTTACAAAGTTAACTTGCAAAAGATGTTCTTGGTGATCTAAGAACCAAGCTTTATGCTATACGTGATGACTTTAACTTTTCAAGCGTCAACTTCACTAACTTATGCAGCAATATATACCTTCATCACTTACATAAGGGGTTACGCGAGAGCATGGTCTACGTAAGAACAATTTCTAAAAGGAGGTGAATTATTGACAAACAAGTTAAAAGTCACCATTTCGTAAGTTCTATGGTGATGTAATTACCTGGTCACCAAGTAATTAAGTCAAATGCTGAACTGATGTTTTTCAAGGTAATTGTTAGGCCATTATAAAGACACTGAACTGTCAAAGGACTTTTGCGTTATTTCCCAATCGTGACAAGAAGCGCACGGCGGGTGTGATCGGTCGGCAGGGGATGCTCAATCCTCTTTGGCACCTGATCCCATCTCTGGTGTTTTAGACCGCTACAATTTTGTAACATGAAATGGACTTCTGAGTATGAATACTGTTCGTTATCTCCATATATTCCTATAATTGTTTAACATTTGTCTTCAGATTTTCCGTTTTGACGATCATTACAAAACACACGGTGGGCGTGAAAAGTGTTACTTCTCTAGTGTTCCTGATACCACCTCTGTTTACTCTGCTCATAACTTAGCATTTATATTCCACCATACTTCAAGTTGACGTCCACACTTTTTATATTACTCACAAATATATCGACAATTGCTTCCAAACTTTTTTTTTTAAAGTTCCCAAGTAATCCCCCAACATTTTCATGTTCTTCTTCACCCTGCAACTATAGTCCTGCGGGACACATCATTACTGATGACGTAAATCAAGGTAATAATGAGGACCTTAGTCGTTTATTATAAAAGGACCAACGTTCAGGAAACACCGAAGGGCGTCATAATTTCTTAAATATTATGAGTTATGTAGAGGATCACGCCATCAGATGGACCAGACATGAAAAAGAAGATCTGGACACCTTTATATATATTTATATAAGAATATTTACAGCAGTGAATGAGAAACTTTAGGAGTACTGTACAACATACATGTAATATTCAATAAAAAATGTAAATCAAATGTGAATATTCAGAAACTCCAAAGAACATCTAGAAATCGCAGAGTGATCGATGCAATGACCTTGTCAGCAAATACAGTTTATCAATGAGTCACATGCTGACTGACGTTTTCATACTAATTATTAGTCTATTATTCATAAATACACTGAATTGAGGACGGATTTTCCCGTTATTTCCCAATCATGACAAGGAACACTCGGCGGGTGTGACCGGTCAGCAGGGGATACTCACTCCTCCATGGCACCTGAACCCACCTCTGATGTTTTGGAGGTCCATGTTTAATTGCTCTGCTCCTATTTTGTATTGTTTTATGGACTTTTGATCTTGAATACTATTCGTTATCTCCATATTTCATCTTACCTTTTGTATATGGAGTTTATGTCTCTCATAAGTTGATACTCAAGCGCATACTCTACGTATGAACAATTTCTAAATGACAATAGTTATTGACAAACAAGTTGATGAAACAAGGATAACAACAGTTTCATTTGAAGTTAACAATTAATGTGTCTTACACATCATGGGTCATTTTCAAAAAAAGTCTATTTTTTGAATTACATATTTTGAAAAATGAAAGTGGTTTTACTATGATTTTTTCAACTTTATTTGGATAATATAGTAATAAACTACTAAAATCCACTGCATTGCATAAAAGAAAATATTTCTTTTAAAAAATATTGACATTTTATCTTAGTCATTTAAACTTTAATGTCCTTCCTGTTACTTTCATAAAAAGAGCTGTAAAACTCTATTTCAAAATTTTCATCAAATTATCTTTTGCATACCGTTAATAAATGAAAAAATTATCACTGAATGCCAAGATGTTTGACATTCATCTAATATATGAGCGTTTAAAAGCATGTCAAACTACCATATACCAAAGAGAAGCAAAATCTACGGGTTTTTCTTCATGAAAAGCCTTATTGCGGAATGTTTATATGCTATAGTTGAAAAAAACATTCTTGTACATTATTTTTGTGATTAGAATAAACAGTTACAGAAAGTTATTTAAATAGGTGCTCTGCCAAAGCAATTTAAACTAGGAAAATATACTGGTAACAGTAAGGACTCGGGTAACAGGAAGGACAAAACAGTAACAGGATGGACAAAACAGTGTAACAGGATGGACAATGAAATCTACATTTTAAATAAAAATTGACTTTTTTTAACTTTATTGGTTAGGAAAAGAGAAATAAATGTAGAATAAAAAAATGATTTTGTCAAATCTGGCAAATTTGAGACAATAAAAGACATTTATGTCCATCCTGTTACGAAATTTAATTCTAAAGTGCTATTAAAATATTTATCAGTTCAATTTTTGTTTATTAAAGGTACTCTATGCTGTTGCAAAACTAAGAATTTTTCATAATTCTAAGAAAAACAAATGATGAAACTTAAATAGGTATATAAATACCAGGATAATTTGTCCCTCCTGTTACAATTTTTGTCCATTCTGTTACAAGAGTGAATGTTTAAGTTATAATGGCACAATTTGAAGCACTAACTTATTTCAATATGATTTACGAAGTTTTTTAACATGTGTTATTCAACTTATATTACTTAGAAAAATAAAAGTAATTGTTTTTATTGTTAAAACTCAGGATATGAAGTCCAGTTTTCCTTACTGTTACCATATTAATGGTAACAGGAATGACAGTAACAGGATGGACATTTCTCATATAAATCACCGGTTATTTAGTATAACGTACTCTTTTTGCATCATCAAGACATTGAAACAGTTTCTTTGTAACTTAGTAAATCTGATTGTTTTAGCAGAATAAACAATTTAAAGAGTATTTGCATATTATGAAGGTAACAGATAGGACATATTTTCATTATACTCTACCAATAAGACAAACTTATCGACCTTTGAACCCTTTCTTTACTCACTTTCAAATCATGGCGCTCATAAACTTGAGACAACAGAAAATGATGATATATTGTGGATCATGAAAACAGTTCCTAGGAAAGTGAGATATCTTTTATTTTAACATTTTCTTTCTGATAACAGGAATGACATAAACTGGTGGGACATGTCACTTCCTGAATGTTAAATGCACGATACTAGTATTTAGTGGGCGGCATAAGTAAAACAATCATATTAAATTAATCTGTAAATGAATTCAATTAAAATGAGGTGCAAAATTTGTACATATCTTCACAGGGTAATATTTTCCCTATCATTTAAATAAGCGGGTTATAAAATTTTTGTTAATGTGACATGGTTTTACTGTTAAATTTTACTCGGAATGCAGAGAATATTTTTTATAAAACACCTGGGAGATGATCATAAAATTACTTATAAGCTATATGACCATGTACTGTAAACGTATTACATTTAGCGGTGTATTGTATTTAGCGATTTTGGCGGAAAGCAGAGTTCGCTAATTCAAGTACATCGCTAAATGTCTTGTATATTAACTTTTATAACTAGCAAACTTAGACAGCGCTAAATCAAATCCACGCTAACTTGTTGAAAATTGAATTTCCACCAAATATCGTACACGCCAAATATAATACATTTACAGTATATTAACCAACGGGAAAAAAATTTCACTCTAAAAAATGTTTTCCTATTATTCTGATCAAAAGACAAAAAAGTGGACTTTTTTGAAAATGGCCCATATATTATTTTGATTTATAGTTCTCAATGAAATGTATGGAGATAACACCTGGTATATATATAAGCACAGGAGTCCATTAAACAATACAAAAAAAAGGAGCAGAGCAAACACGAGTCTCCGAAACATCAGAGGTAGGATCAAGTGCCATGGAGAAGTGAGCGTCCCCTGCCGACTTGTCACACCCGGCTTGTACAGTACGTTATTATGATCGGGAAATAACGGGAAAATCCGTCGACAATTCAGTGTGAATGACCTAACAATAAGTATGAAAACTTCAGTCAGCATTTGACTTAATGATAAAATCTAGTAGTATTTTGTGACAAGATCATTGTATCGACCAGATAGAACTAAGGTATGATGACTTTAAACGAGACTGCTGATAATCTAGTATCAGCAACTTCTTTGTCAATAACTTCTCTCGTATCAAAAATTGTTCATACGTAGAGAATGCTCTTGTGTATTGAATCAAATGATATAAACTCGTATGCAGGCGATGAAGGTATATTGCTGAATAACTTATAGAAGCTGACGATTGGAACCTTAAATTCACCTCCTTTGTCATAAAAAATTGGTTGTTACATTACCATTAACGTCTTTTTCAAGTAAATATCCAAATATGAAACAGATGTAGTATCTTTTATCTCAGGCTCATAGGGATATGTCGTATCGACATACGAATGGAAATAACTGTAATTAATTGACAATACGTCGTCGATATATCTAAGACAAAAAAATTCCCCCATTGCTATAACATATATCGAATTTATAAGTTGCGAAATTCTTATTTATCTTTTACATTAAATCATAATATTTTATGATTGAATTGTGTAATTAATTTAGAAAAAATGTCTTCATTTAATAAAAATTAAAGAGTGGCGAAATTTCAGTCGTAGTCGTAAGATTTTTTGGGGGAGAGGGGGTTAAAAAAAAAAGACTTTTACCTTCACGCACTGTAAAGTCTTAAATTTTTAAGCATAGAGTCAAATGTTGTTGAGAGACATTTCTTTGTCAGTCTATTTCCTTTTAATATGAACTTCGTTCATGAAATATATCAATAAATGTTGTACAAACTGTAAATAACTGTAAATAACTTCCTTGTCGCCCAATTAAACGTGTAGGCTGGAGAAAAAAAGCTGATTAACACTGGTATTTCCACCCTAAACTGACGTCATATGTTCTTGCATAACCTATCATTTATATCTTCTAGAGGAATATTTTTCAATAGGGTGTGAAAACTTTTCTTAAATTAAAAAACAAGATGGGCCACATCGCTCACATGAGAAGCTTTGACCATTCCGTTCTTTACCAGATTTCCCACTTGATATACATATTGTGACAACATCCTACACCACTGATCATAATTTAGAAATTTGAAATCTACTCTACCATAGGATGCTTTGATTCCCCATTGTAAAACTTTGATTCCCCATTGTGGCCCTGACCAACCACCGGGGGTAATGATTTTAACAATTTAGAATCTACACTACCCCAGGATGCTTCCACTTAAGTTTCAGCTTTTCTGGCCCAGTGGTTCTTGAGCAGAAGATTTTCAAAGATTTTCCCCATATATTTCTATATTAGACTTTGATTCCCCATTGTGGCCCCGCCCTACCCCCGGGGGTCATGATTTTGACAATTTAGAATCTACGCTACCCCAGGATGCTTCCACATAAGTTTCAGCTTTTCTGGCCCAGTGGTTCTTGAGAAGAAGATTTTTCTTATATATTTCTATGTAAAACTTTGATTCCCCATTGTGGTCCCGCCCAAACTCCGGGGGTCCTGATTTTAACAATTTAGAATTTACACTATCCCAGGATGCTTCCAAATAAGTTTCAGCTCTTCTTGCCCAGTGGTTCTTGAGAAGAAGATTTTCAAAGATTTTTCCTATATATTTCTATGTAAAACTTTAATTCCCCATTGTGGCCCCGCCCAACCCCCAGGGGTCATGATTTTAACAATTTAGAATCTACACTACCCCAGGATGCTTTCACATAAGTTTCAGCTTTTCTGACCCAGTGGTTCTTGAGAAGAAGATTTTTTAATGACCCCATCCTATTTTTATCTTTTCTTGATTATTTCCACTTATGAAGGGACTTGGCCCTTCATTTTAACAATTTAAATTCCCTTTCACCCAAGAATGCTTTGTACCAAGTTTGGTCAAAATTGGCCCAGTGGTTCTAAAGAAGACGTCGAAAATGTGAAAAGTTTACAGACGGACAGACAGATGGACAGCTAGACGGACGGACGGACGGACGACGGACAAAATGTGATCAGAAAAGCTCACTTGAGCCTTTGGCTCAGGTCAGCTAAAAATATACATGTGTTTTTTCATTGATGGATTATTCTTTAAAATAAAATATATGGAGATAAAGAACAGTGTATTCAAGCTCAAAAGTCCATTAAACAAAACAAAATTGGAGCAGAGCAAACACGAACCTCCAAATTAAACATCAAAGGTGGGATCAGGTGCCATAAAGGATTGAGCATCCTCTGTTAACCGATCACACCAAAAAATTGTAATAGGCATAAAATTTCAGTAAAGTTTCTCTCAAGCTGAGTGGACAACAAATACATGTACATCAATTCTAGAATTCAAAAGCCTAAATCTAACTTAAATTCTTTTTCTTGTACAAATTAACATGCTAGGCGAGGATACGGAACAGTAATCGATCTCCAAAAATCTATAAACAAAACAAATATGTGAAGGGTATTAACACAGACCCCTTGAAATCTCAGAGGTGGTATCAGGTGCCTAGACGGAGTAAGCTTCCCCTATAGGCCGGTAAAATTTATTGTTCAGGTTTACGGAACTTCCTGCAGTCAATTCATTTAAAATCAAAAGTCTAGTAATTGGTATATGTATGAAACAAGTCAGCCAAAATACGATCCAAACAAAAGGTTATTTAAGATTTTGCTAACAAGGTAGTTATAAAGAGCGTAAAATTTAGAAAAATGTCGACTTAAAATGGAGTTTTTGAAATCCTTATAAATTCAACTTACCAAGCGAGTAGCTTGCCTCGCTTTAAAAATTGATTGATTAACATATGTTGGGAGACACAAACACCATAACCAGGTGAAGCTAGTGTATCTCTTTAGCTTCCCAAGCCTCTGTTACTTGGTCATTGCTTAATGTTTAATCAAGAAAGTTGAAAAGCTTTACACAATTTAAAAATTTCAATGTTTATTATTTTTGATAAGAATCGTTCCATTTTGATATCTGAATTTTCACTCTTAATTAACCAGGCCTTTCTTTTCTGATAAATGTCATTTTCTTGACATCTAGAGTATGCTGGAATGCAGGAAGATTTTATACTTGTGGTGTAAAATCAGATTGTAAAAAAAATTACAACGAACTGTTTGGAAAATTTGAAATCACATTTTACCAAAATCAACAGCATAAAAACTTAAACGATTTTTCAACTTTATATACAACCATTCCCCGCGATAAATTAAAGTCCAGGGGGCTCATATTACAAAAAAACTAACGACTAAATCCACCATTTACTCTATTTATAACTTTCTTATTTGCATTAAATTGAAAATGACTTTATTCTTTTGAAAAGGAATATGATATTTTTATGATAGCAATTCTTTTTAACTCATTTATTAATTCTGCAAAAGTCTAAGTCGTAAGTTCTTTTGATATCATTGACAGCTGCTATCTCAATAAAAATGGAACTTGTAAAATTACGTACCTTGTCATTGGTCATTTGCAAATTCATTTTATTAAAAAAACATTTATCTCTCAGCTGATTCAATATGCAATACAATACGTCTCTGCATATGAACAATTTCTAAAACGAAGTTACTGACTAAAAAGTTGATGAGACATGAATATCAGCAGCCTCGATTGAAGTTATTTTGTAAGCTCTATGGTCGATACAATGTCCTATCATTAAGCCAAATGCTGACTGATGTTTATCACATTTCAAAATTGTTAGGCCATTATTTACACATTGCATTGTCAACAGACTTTTGTCAATTCCCAATCATGACAAGGAGCAAAAGGCGAATGTGACCGGTTGGCAGGGAAAACTCAATTCTCCATGGCACTTGATCCCTTCTCTGATATTTTGGAGGTCCACGATTGCATTATTTAAAGGACTTTTGAGCTTGAATACTGTTCGTTATCTCAATATATTTCATTGTGTAAAATACATGTACAGTACTGTCAAAGAGATTTCTATTGAAATATAAGATATTCTCTACAAAGCTGTATTCCTTTTTTGTAAAACTAAACAAAATAATCATATTTTGAATCAATTTTATAATTATATCAAACAATTTTAATATGCATTGTACAATAACATTACCATCATGATCAATTATGTGAAATTAACAATATTTTACAAATATTTGACAAATCATTTGTTGTTCACAGCCAATACATTACTAGTACTCAGAATACTACTTGACTACATCTCAGCTGGCAAGAATGTTGTCTTAAAATGTTTTGAAAAAAGAAACAAGAAATAAATATTACTATAAGTATAAGCACTGAATACAAGAATGTCAAGTTTTAAGGGAAATGGTGTCAAAATTAATACCGTATAAGTAGAATTTTTAGCGAGGATTTAATTTTGGCATTATTAGCGAGGGTATTGAGATCGCTAAAATTGAATATCGCTAAAAATGATTGCATTTTATATGTTATAGCTTCTTTGGTGAGAATTTTAAAATCGCTAACATTACATCTCGCTAAAAATTGAATACCATTTTTTGAGGACAAATCGCTAAATTTGCATCTCGCTAAAATTTCCACTTATACGGTATAATTATTTCATTTAAATTCCTTTTCTACATTATTTTGTTGATTTGTACAACTTCAATACAGGTTTGTTGTCAATCTTAATTAAGCAATGTACACAACAGTTTTAACAATCAACAGTCTTAAATTACAACATAGATAAGACTAAAGTGATATTAAATTAAGTTTTATATTACATGTATTCCATTTAAAACATTTTGACAGTATTCAACTGTACCAAACACAACCCCCAAAATAAATTAAAATATGAATAAAATTATCTGTGATGCAAATCTGAATGGACAGCAGAACATGATAAATTATGTGTGCTTTAATCAAAACCATGATTAAAGCCAAGAGGATAATACAGTTATTTATAATGTATGTAGACTAGGATTATGAAGTGAAAAACCAGCTCTCACTTTAAGAAGAAAGATAAGACATGTTAATTGGTTCCAACTATACAGAAACTAATATATGTTTGGTAGAAATCTTGATACATAGGAGAAATTTTCAGTCTGTATTTTCTGAATTGTCTGGTAGGAGCTTGCCACTACTGTAGTTACTTCCGAAGCTGGATGCCTCTGTTCCACTGGTGGAGTTATCCGGTAAGGAGGCGTTACTCTGTAAACACAGAGGATGGTAGCCCGAATTGTCTCTGTTCATGTCATTCATACTTAAACTCAACCCCTTGACATAGGTGACACCATTCTCCTCAAAATCTGTTAAACACGTGTCTTGTGACACATTGGGAGATGATCCTGATATTACTGCTTCTGAAAATCAATTCATAATGTATAATAGTATATACTAACACTTTTTAAACAATGTTTCAATTATTAACACAACAAATTATAATATTATTGTAACACATGTATATACTCTTCAATGCCATGTGACATATTTTTCAGTTACTGTAGTATTTTAGTGAAATAAATAATATTAATAAAAGTTATATCTTATTTTAAAAAAAAAAATTATTCTTAAATTTTTAAAATGAAATTCAAAATATAACATACTTGTATGATCACTTTTTATAATTTTGACAACAGAAAAGTATGCCACAGAGAGAGTGACTATTAACAAAGGAAGCAGAAAGGGAATATAGCTGTGCTGACAGACAAAAAAAAAAACGATTCTGTGTCAGGTCAAAGGTTAAAAGTCAGTTCCAACTGTGAGAAATGTCATGAAAATGCCAAAGTCAAAAGAAAACAAAAATTCGAATATGATATCATTAATAAGAACTAAAAAAAATACATTGTAAACATGTTGATATAAATTATTTTGTGTCATGAAAGTTCACACGAATTATTCTAAATATGTATTCAGCATTGTATTCAAGTTATGACCAGAGACTTTAAATATATATAAGATAGTTCAATTTGGATGTCTTTGGCAAAATTTTAATTGTATTGGTTACTGTAGGGATTAGGGTTCTCAAATATTTCATAAAAATATGTTATTTTTGAAAAACTAAAGCAAAATCAAACATCAATAAAAAAAAATAAAAATCATAAAGTAATCTACTTCTACCTGTGTACCAAGTTTCATTGAAATTGGATGAATACTTTGGGAAGGGGAGTATTTTGAAAGATTTTCTCATAATTGTAAGGTTCAGTTCCGTTACCATAGCAAAAAATTTGTATTTAACTGTAGTGCACTTGTGTAAAAATCTACTGAAACGAAGTTTTCAAAGTAGCATTTTGGATATAAAAAGAGATTCTTTACAGACTGACTATAGTATTAGGCTAAGCTCATCTGGCCTGGGGGCCATATACTGTAAATGTACCAGGTTAGTATATTTGGTGTGTAAAATATTTGGCAGAAATTCATTTTTCAGCAAGTAACATAGATCTGATTTAGTGCTATCTGAATGTGCTAGATATAAATGTATAATATACAAGACATTTGGCAATGTACTAGATTTAGCAGACTCTGCTTTCCGCCAAAATCGCTAAATAGAATACACCGATAAATGTTATATATGTTTACAGTAACTTAGATGAGCTTACTTTTGATCTCCATCTATTATACTAATAATTCCTTTGTTAAAAGTGAGACTGAGATCAAAAGTGTGCTCATTCAAGTTTATGGCCTCCCAGGCTTGGTCTTTGACCATCAAGCTTAAAAAATTTAAATCAAAATTGAAAATTTGAGATCGCTATCAGACCAGAATACCCATATCTCTCCTCCAGTGAAATAAAATAGACATCAATGAAAACAAAAGAAGGCAGTGCTTAAAAATGTTTCTAATAACTTAAAATAAAATAAAATTGGACATCTACTACATGTGTTTTCTACTAAAACTACAACAAGCCTGGTGATTGGTTACTTTTAAAAACAATGGATTCTCGATTCCTCTAATCCAAACTTTGTGATTAACTATCAATAAAGAATTGCAATCAGGAGATCAATATACTTTGTGCAGTAACACAGAAAGTTTGTTTTCAATGAATGAGACAGTATGATCAAAAGAAATAGTTACAATGACATTATGTATAAGTGAGTACCTGATATTTTGTGTATCAAATGTACTGTTAAGAAAATCATGACATGCAGTATGTCATTCAATATGCATAAACATTCCAATTCAGAGAACATTGGAGAAAAAATATATAACAAAATAATTTACCAACACAACAATGGATGTAACACTTCAAAATAGAACAATATTTCATTTTACTTGACTAAACCCTTGCTACTGAGTACCGGTACTACAAACAATTATAAGAATTTTTATGTTATTTGACTTGACCTTTGACCCTTGACCTACCTGCTGACAGGTCGTCCTCATAGTCGGGCTCGGGTTCAGGCTCGGGCTCTGAGCTGTCCTCTCTCTCATCATCGGCCAAGTTCTCTGTGGACAGGTGACCTTGATTCAGTGTCATCGGCTTAATGTCGTAATCACTGTCTGCCTCCGACTCGTAGACTCTCAGTGAGGCAGGCCGCATCCCCTACAACATCAAAAAACAATTCATAGAAAGTCACGTTAATATACACTTACGACAATGCAAGCCACATCCGCTACATCACAAAGTTAAATGGCTCAAAGGAAGCCATATTTATATTATACCTTATGTATTATAAGGAGGTCAATATCCTCATATACATGTATCTATAAATCTTTAAATTAATTTAACCAAAGCTCCAAAGAGGCCATGGCCCATTGCTTCTAAGGACTGGAGAGGCATGTTATGCAAATTTCCCACATTTCCAACTACTAACTAGACAGTGATTCCTTAAATATATTGTCCTTATGAACACAGCTGACAGCTTTTTACAGAATGAACATTTCACCCACCTTACTGTCTAAGCTGTCTGTATTGTAGTCAGATACATTTACAATCTTTGAAGCACTTGATTCATCTGAAATGTCCTTGTTTTCAGAGTATCTAAAAATTATCAAAAAAAAACTTCATTAACGATACCTTAGTTAATATAAAACTGATGACATAATCTTAAATATGAAGGTGATTCCATTCTCACACTTTAGGTCAGAGGTGGAGGTATTTCTACCCAGTACTTCTATACGGTCTACAGTTACTTATTATGTGACAGTATCATTGGCAGAGGACTACCCCTTCTGTTTGTCTTTAAATGTCTGTGTCTGTCTATAGTCTATACATCCTTAATAGAAATGCTTAATACAAGATCTTACTGAGAATTCGTGTTTTTGGTGGGAAACAACCCCTTCCCCCTTTCTGTTTATACAAATATCTGTCAGAGCTTGCTGAGGTTGGCAGTGTCTTTGGTGGAGGAATACCCCTTCTCTCTGACTATGTAGTGGGTGATATCTAACAGAGATTTGGCAGTGTCTTTGGTGGAGAACTAACCTCTCCCCTACCCAGTCTATACATGTCTGTGAGATCTTGCTGAGATTAGCAGCATCTCTGCTGGGGGACTATCCCTCCTGTCTCTCTTTACATGTCTTTCATATCTTACTGAGATTTAATGGGATCTTTCTTGGAGGATTTCCCTTCCTGTCTATAAATACATCTGTGATATCTTACTCAGATTTGGAGGGGATTACCCTCTTGTCTGGAAATACATCAGTAATGTCTGAGATTTTGCTGGATCTTTCTTGGAGGATTTCCACTCTGCCTATATTTACATCTGTGATATCTTACTGAGATTTCGCTGGATATTTCTTGGAGGATTTCCCTTCCTCTCTATAAATACATCTGTGATATCTTACTGAGATTTAGTGGGGATTACCCCTTGTCTGTAAATACATCAGTAGTGTCTTACTGAGATTTAGCTGGATCTTTCTTGGAGGATTTCCTCTCCATTCTGACCACCTCTACAGGGATGTCCTTCTTTCTCTCCTCTTCCTCCTCATCTAACACCTTTTTATCATCAGGTTTGATGCTGGGGCTCACCACCGGCTCCTCGGGTTTCACACTGATGACATGTCTACATTAAATCAACAACTCTCTTGTATTACTTTATATTTTTAAAAGAGTGTGTGTGCATAGGTCAAATCTATAAGAATTTTGCACAACAAATTTCTAAATTTTTTCTTTCCTTTTTAATTATTCCATTCATTTACTTTTGATTCCATGAAAAAATATCGCTCTAAAGATGTTTTAATGGAAATTTTACAAATGTAGCCATCTTCTTTGTACATGGATATATCATATTATTACACAGGAGGTGTTGTAAACAAAATTAACTAGCATGAAAAAAGTTGATAATTTTAACTATCAGAAAAATCCCCCAAAAATTATCTGGAAAGTGATAATTAAGAAAATATATTAAAAACTCTTAACAGAATTCTTTTTTATGACAGGTAATTTTCCACAGAGTGATAATTTATATTAAATTTCCTATAGATGATAAACCTATAGCAATGATGGGGTAAAATGACAAAATTTAGAAAATTTTATCAGAATTCAATAAGCAAGTACTTATGTTCTGAGCACAATTAAATGCAAATTAAAGTGAAATGTGAAGTATTTGTACTAAGGGGGAAATTTTCTTAGAATATTAAGTACTGCTGAAATAATGACCTTTTTGAGAGCCTTTTCTTTTCTCTGTAACTGTTATCAATGTCTCCTGGAGCTACTGTCCTCACTGGAAGCTGCAAGCCTACAGATTTAAAACCGTCATTACAATTATAACATAGTAATCATTACATCTACTGTCCTCACTAGAAGCTGTAGACCTACAGATATAAAACAGTCATTACAGTTAAAACATAGTAATCATTACATCTACAGTCCTCACTGGAAGCTGCAAGCCTACAGATTTAAAATAATTACAGTTTAAAGACTTTAAACAAACAGTTGTTAGATTACATATTAGATAAAGGAGCTGAATTAAGCTATGGATTACAGATAAAGTATAAGTCAGAATTATCATGAGGGTTTTAAATGCATGAGGAGGGTGATTTTTAAACCCTAAGAACAATTCTAAATGACCTTACCATATTTTTCAAAATTTCTTAAATAATTTTCCTTATATCATGCATGAATCCTGATCAACCAAGGATGCTTGTTGGCAGTATAGGTATGAGCCTGTATTTATGTAAGTGGCTCTGGAGAAGTTAAAAATAGGAAAAGTCCTTATAGATAGGAAAAGTCCTTATAGGTAGGAAAATTCCTCATATATATAGGAAAAGTCCATATAGATAGGAAAATTCCTTACAGATAGGAAAAGTCCTTAAAGATAGGAAGAGTCCTTATAGAAAGGAAAAGTCCTTATAAAGAGGAAAAGTCCTTATGGATAGAAAAAGTCCTTATATAGATAGGAAAAATCCATATAGATAGGTAAAGTCCTTATAGATAGGAAGAGTCCTTTCAGATAGGAAATTTCCTTACAGATTGGAAAAGTCTATATAGTTAGGAAAAGTCCTTACAGATTGGAAAAGTCTATATACAGTAGTGTGACATAAATGAGTTCGCAAAATGGCCGCCGTCATCGTAAGTATTTATGAAGGGCGGTGAATCAGTTGCTGAATTAACGTAATCGCTTCTCTTAAAGGAAAAAAATATTTAATTGAAATTTAGGTACGACTTAACTAAATCTGTCATTGTTGTAAATTTGGATTATTCCCCTTTGATAAACAATTTATCGTCTGAGATATGGCTCCCCATGGTCGAGAATTGACGAGTGATCTAAAAGAAATAATCATTCAGATGTCAAATGAAGGTCTGTCAAGCTATAAAATTGAGAATCTAACCGGAATTAACAGTCGTACTATCCAAAAATTTCTCAAACGTGTGAGGGAAAGGGGTAACATAGAAAATTTACCGAGAAGTGGGGTGAAACGAAAAACTTCACAGCGAGATGACAGGGTTCTTTTCCGAAGCATTAAAATCAACCGTCGTCAGACTTTAAAAGATATAACATCCAGATTTAATGCCAGGACAGGATCTAATGTATCTCTCAGAACAGTTCACAGGCGATTATCAGAGGAAGGTTACAAAAGGTGTGTAGTTTCTAAGAAAACAACTGTTTCACGCGTGAATAGAGAGAAGAGAACCCGATTTTGTCGACAGAAATTGCACTGGACAGTCAACAAATTGGTCATCCATAATATTCAGTGATGAGACTAAGATAGTTATTGGAAATAACGATAAAGTTCATGTCTGGAGGAAGAGTGAGGAAGAATACGTCCTGAATGTGTCGGGTTACGTGGTGATTGGGAAACAAACTGTCGGGCCTCCCTCATGTTTTGGGGTTGCATATGTTATAATGGAGTTGGTACCTTAAAAACTGTGGATGGGAACATGAATAGCGAGAAATATATTACAATTCTTGATGAAATCGTTCGTATTTCCCAAACCGGCGCTGGATTTTCCAAGAAGACAATGCCCCGTGTCATGTCTCCGCTTTCTCAAATCGTTGGAAAAAGACAACAACGTTAATATGCCATGGCCCCCACAAAGTCCTGATCTCAATATTATCGAAAACGTCTGGAGAGTGCTCAAAATCCGTGTACAAAGGAGGACACATGAGATCAGAAACGCGAATGATCTGGAGCGAATCGTCCATGAAATATGGAGTAGCCTCCCTTTGCACTATATTCAGAGTTTATATGCAAGCATATCGAAGTGTTCTTCGCTCTAGAGGCTATATAACAAAGTACTAACACAAAAAGGTAAGTGGTAATATTATTTTATTGATAGAAATTAGATTTTGTATACCGCAAGCGCACCGCACGCATGAATGACGGCGGCCATTTTGCGAACTCATTTATGTCACACTACTGTAGTTAGGAAAAGTCCTTATACATAGGAAAAGTCCATAAAGATAGGAAAATTGTTATAGATAGGAAGAATCTTTACAGATAGGAAAAGTCCTTACAGATTGGAAAAGTCTATATAATTAGGAAAAGTCCTTATAGATAGGAAAAGTCTATATAGATAGGAAAAGTCTATATAGATAGGAAAATTCCTCATATATATAGGAAATGTTCAAATAAATAGTAAAAGTCCTTACAGATAGGAAAAGTCCATATAAATATGAAAAGTCCTAACAGGATAGGAAAAAGTCCATATAAATAGGAAAAGTCCTTAAAGATAGGAGTAGTCCTTATAGAAAGGAAAAGGCCCTATAAATAGTCCTTATAGACAGGAAAAGTCCATTTAGATACAAAAAGTCCATTTAGATTAAGGAAAAGTCCATATAAATAGGAAAACTCAATATAAATAGGAAAAATTCATATAGATAGAAAAACTTCATATAGACAGGAAAAGTCCATATAAATAGGAAAACTTCATATAGATCGCAATACAGACTTAAAGATGACCAACAGACAAACCTGGGTGAGCAAACAATGGTGAAATTGTTGTGTGCGTGTGTATTTTTTTTTTTGGGGGGGGGGGGAAGGAGAAGGGGGACAGCTTTCTTCTCCCTATATAGAGCTGTCCTTCACATAAGGGGAATTTTTTATGACTGGAAAGTTACCACCTTGATGAAATTTCACTTCTCAAAGGAACTTTATGTAGATGTGTGTTGAATGTACAATTTATATTCTCTAAACTCTATCTTCAAGCATGACATTAAAAGAATTTTTGAGATGATAGAGGACACAATTTGTAACATAAATCACTACAGGTGTATGTACATGTATAAATAAGCCACGTACAGGGTAATCACATAATTACAATGTACAGGTACACTGAAAGCATGCGTTTAAATAAAATTACCTCCATCAACAGTAAACAGCTGATTACACGGTCCATTGACTGCTTCAATCAGAGACACTGCCTCGTACCCCGTGGGGACCCCCTCCTGGCTCACTGGATTCTCTTCCGTCTCACCCTACAATATAAACATCTCATCTCTGCTAATTTTATTTTATCTACATGTTTTCTTCATTACATATTTTCTAATGAAAAACCTGATACATGTATACAACTGTTGCCTAACACATGCCTAATGTCAAAGAAATAATTGACCTTCTTTTAAGCCCATCTGCATTAAAAAAACAAGATATTCAAATTTGTAGTTCAACAAGGGTAAATGAAGTCATTCACCTCATTAAAAACAGCATAATATTTACCACAAAACTGGTCAGGCATGAACACATCTGTATTCCTTATTATCAATGCAAACGTGCGGCATTACATTAAAGATGACATGCAATTGAACCTTAAAATCTAACCCCATAGCTTAACCAGACAATGAATTAGTATCTACAAACAAGTTTTAAATTTTTAAACCTTTTGAAACCTTACCAAAAAAAAATAATCATTTTGTTTAATAAATTCCCAATAATTTATTTGTTATATATATATATTTTTCAAATAGAAAAAGTGTTAAATTATAATCTGTATTTTATTTAAATTTTCTAAAAAGTGAGCCTTCCTTGTGACCTTTCATTGTGAAGGTCACGGTGTCTGGCTTAGTGCATTCCTCTCTCTTCAGTAATGTTTACACAACCTTACCCAAAACAAGTATCTTCTGCTTTTATGCAGGAGTTTTTACATTGCTTTCAGGAAAGCAGTCATCATTTTGTTTTCATAGTATGCACTCAAGAAGTTCCTTTATTTTCAATGAAAATTACAGCATACAATTATATTTTTGTATCTACAGGTAAACAGTGCATGCATTAATGCAATTGTTAACTTTTTCAACACAAAATTCTATTCTTCTTTCAATCAATCTCCTTCAGAAAAGGAAAATAACATTATGTTATGCCAAGTCCTTCTCAGTGATGAAGTTAATGAGCAATAAAAGCATTTTTTGACAATGTGAACTTTATAGCCCTGCAGTTCTTGGGAAGAAGGATTTTGTTGATTTATTTATTTTCCCTTCTTCAACTTTCATCCCCCACCCTCATACATGCCAACTTTTGAAAATTCCCATGGGGGATTTTGCGCGTGACAACATTTTTCATAGCTTTAAGTCGTGAAATTAATTTTGACATGATCCTTTTTTTAAATTTATTACAATTAATATCACTTATTAATACTACTAAAGGATAAAAATAACACAAAAATGTTATGAAATACAGGTGCCTCTCTCCTAAAGAAGGATGTAACATAAGGACACATATGTGAAAAACTGAAAATTATCAACTTTTGATACTGTAAAGTCCTGAACATTTAAGATTTTTATATTTTGTAAAGATTCCAGATATTAAATTTAAAGAAATTTTATATTCCACTGTAAAACTTTGATACTCTATATTTGGCCCACCCAACTACATATGAACAATTGTACATGTCTTTTATGAACAATTGGACTTCACAATTTATGAGCATCTCATCAATCCAGTAAATGTTAAGACTACAATTATAAACAGTAAGTTAAACATATAAACAGCAATAGGCACAAAGGAAAGTGTAATGTTTGGGTTTGTTTGTTTGCTTTTTTTTTACTGAATCAATGGTGAAGACATTTCTCTTGCCTTCACACTTTGTGAAAACTTTGTATTCAAAATTAATAGATGAATTTCAATGACAGCAAAGAAACCAACCAACAATGAAAAGAAAAACCCAGGTTTTTTTCAAGCCCAAACAAATAAGAAGCAATGGCCTTGAAATAAAGCTGTAATTATATCAAGAAAATTAGGTCACATAATATTGTTTCTAATTGCATCAAATGCAGGAAGAATTGAATACCTCAACCTAATTAACATATAACAGATGACAGAATCTTCTGCCCTGAATAATTTATGGGACAAATTGTTTGCTGCAAAACATCAGACAAGAGAATGACCTTCATTATCTCACAGAAGATCCAGGTGATAAAAGTGAAATAGTCATAAATGTAGTCTATGCCAAAGACATTGGACCCTCGGACCTGACCAATGTGTAGTACGTGCCTCTGGTTCGATCACTTCCATGCTTCATTTTTTACACCAGACAAGAATGTCTGATTTCTCTGTGTCTGGTTTTGAGCTTTACTATTTTAACGTGTTAAAATAAGTAAAAACAAGAGGCCCATGGGCCACATCGCTCACCCGAGTAACTTGGGTGACGCAGTTCTTTACCAGATTTCCCCTCTTGCTATACCTATCATGCCCCCCTACCCCCTTCCTTTTCATGATTTTAACACTTTAGAATCTATACTACCACATGCAGGATGCTTCCACAAAGGTTTAAGCCTTCCTGGCCCAGTGGTTTTTGAGAAGAATTAAGATTCTTAAAAGATTCTTCCTAAATATATCTACGTAAAACTTGGATTCCCTATTGTGGCCCCGCCCTACCCCGGGGTCATGATTTTAACAATTTAATATTTACACTACCCAAGGATGCTTCCATAAAAGTTTCAGCTTTCCTGGCCCAGTAGTTCTTGAGAATATTTTAAAAGATTGGTTCTATACATTTCTATGTAAAACTTGGATTTCCTATTGTGGCCCCGTCCTACCACCGGGGGTCATGATTTTAAGAATTTAATATCTACACTGGCCTTGAAATAAGGATGCTTCCACATAAGTTTCAGCTTTCCTGGCCCAGTGGTTCTTGAGAAGAAGATTTTTAAAGATTTGTTCTATGTATTTCTATGTAAAACTTGGATTCCCTATTGTGGCTCCGCCCTACCCCCGGGGGTCATGATTTTAACAATTAATATCTACAATACCTTAGGATGTTTTCACATAAGTTTCAGCTTTCCTGGCCCAGTGGTTCTTGAGAAGAAGATTTTTAAAGATTTGTTCTATACATTTCTATGTAAAACTTGGATTCCCTATTGTGGCCCCGCCCTACCCCCGGGGGTCATGACTTTAACAATTTAATATAGATCTACACTACCTTAGGATGTTTCCACATAAGTTTCAGCTTTCCTGGCCCAGTGGTTCTTGAGAAGAAGATTTTTTAATGACCCCACCCTATTTTTGTCTTTTCTTGATTATCTCCCCTTGTAAGGGGACTTGGCCCTTTATTTTAACAATTTAAACTCCTCTTCACCCAAGGATGCTTTGTACCAAGTTTGGTTAAAATTGGTCCATTGGTTCTAGAGAAGAAGTCGAAAATGTGGAAAGTTTACTGACGGACAGACGGACGACGGACAAAATATGATCAAAAAAGCTCACTTGAGCCTTCGGCTCAGGTGAGCTAAAAATATAGCAAAAAATCCACTATTTTACATTAAGTTTTTTGGTCTGATAAAATTTGGTTTGGTCCTGTGTGTTCATTGTTTAACAGGACCAAATGTCCTGCATGGTTCAAAAAAACTTTTGCATAGACTGTAAATGTATAGTCCAACCTTTTTATGTCGAACTTGATAGGACAGATAAAACATCTGATAAATATGAGGATTCAAAATATTGACATAGAAAAGAAGTGGGGACTTCCAGTTCACTTTGACATATGCATGGTATTTGAAATAATGGTAAAAGAAACTGAAGTTCAACTACCGGGTATATTAGTACACAATTGATATAAAGGAAACACCATGCAAGGATTTGATGAAACTTTAAAAATTTAACTGTCAGACACAAAGTGAAAACATCTATTTTAGAATTTTTTCTCTGTTAGGTTGGTCCTTGCCTCCTACTTAACAGTTTGTTGTAAAAATTGATAATCTTATGGAAAATGGAATATAGTTATAATCAATAACATATACACATACATAGGGTTTCTAGCTGAAAAATGATGGGTATATCAGCATGGTCTGTAAGATTTGTCTTTCAAATAAATCAATATTCCGATGATTTTCAAATACATTTACTGCACTCAAATTAAATTTTTTATTGTTTCTGATCACATCATGATTTTTCCTTTTCATCTAATTGTTTTAAAACTACCGGTATTTGAGTCTAGACATGAGTTGATAAACAATTACAAGTGCATAAGGTTTTTAGCTGAAAAATGATATCAGCATGGTTAGTAGGATTTGTCATATAATACAACAATTGAAAGACTTACTGTTTGTACAGACAGTGGTTGTTTTTTCCTCATGGCACGGATCTGTAGTAATGCTCTGAATGGTGAGCGACAAATGGGACAACTAGATGCCTGATAGCGGAGGGATTCAGCACAGTTACTACATAAACACAGATGGCGACATGGCAGTATGAGTGTGTCACGCATGTCTGACATACAGATGACACACTCTGCTCCACTGTCCTCCACCTCATCATCAGGATCTTCCAGCTGGAGGAGAAAACAAAGATTTGGCATAATAAAGGCTATAAACAAATACACTGCAATTAAAATCACTTGTCCTCATATATCTTGTTATTTACCTTTGATCTGTCCGTGTGTTTGTTCTCAATTCCATATATTTCCTGCAGAAGATACAGTAGCCCGTCCACAAACTGTTTCTGTTTTAATGCTTTTATCATGTAGCCTCCATCAACTGAGCTCTTTTCCACCACAGCATAGGTTAGGTGACAATGGCATGGATGATCTGATAATAAAGTATCAGCATAAACAAAGATTTATATAACACAGCAGAGGTCACGTGACAATGGCAGGGATGATCTGATTATAAAACATCAGCATAAACAAAGATTTATATAACACAACACAGGTCAAGTGACAATGGCATGGATGATCTGATAATAAAACATCAGCATAAACAAAGATTTATATAACACAACACAGGTCAAGTGACAATGGCATGGATGATCTGATAATAAAACATCAGCATAAACAAAGATTTATATAACACAGCAGAGGTCAAGTGACAATGGCAGGGATGATCTGATTATAAAACATCAGCATAAACAAAGATTTATATAAAACAGCATAGGTCATGTGACAATGGCATGGATGATCTGATAATAAAGCATCAGCATAAACAAAGATTTATAAAACATAGCATAGGTCAAGTGACAATGTCATGGATGATCTGATTATAAAACAAAGAGTCATATAATACAGCAGAGGTCAAATGACATAGATATTGATCTAGACACAAAACATCAGCAAAAACAAAGAGACATATAACACAGCACAGGTCATGTGACAATATGACATGGATTATCATTGCCAAAATCAAATGTATTCATGAGTTCTTCTAAGACAGTGGAAAAACACTATTCTGAATTTATTAATCATTTTCACTATGTCAAACTACATACTAATTAAGTGGCATATTATCTTTTTTAAAATCTCATGTTGAAGAATCACACTGCACATTTAGGCCTGGGGAATAATGTGGTAAATTAAGGGTATAATAAAATTAGCACTTGATATTCATGATTCTCTGTAAATCCATCAGATATACAAGATACCATAAAACTTATAGTTATAAAAGGGCTTTACAAATATGTAAAAGATAAAACTTCCTTGAATTTTTCTATTTGTCCTACTATCTATGAAGAGTTGTTGCTCTGAAGAGAGTGTGTTAACATTCTAAAGTTTGCCCATGTCACACCAAAAGCTCTGTTTGTTACAAACAATACATATAAGGCTATTCAATGACTTTTTGGGGTCAATGATCCAAATGAGGAAATAATTCCAATAATTTCATACAAACTGTATACTGCATAACACAATAATTATTGTTTATTTACACTAAGGCTCACTTCTATATGAAAAACAGGACAAATGCCCTCATATGGCCAAAGTTAACGTTTCTTCATTGCGAGTCCAAATCCAAGGTCATTTGAAAAGGTTAATAGGTCAAAAATCCTGGTAGCCATAAAAAAGTATTGCACAAGTAATATGCATGTAAAATGTGAATGCTCTTGATCCAACCATTTAGAAATTATGACCAAGATTAATATGAAAGGTATTGTAGAAAAAAAATCAGAAGTTATGGACATGGCCAAGGTGAGTTTTTTCAAAAGTAGGTCAAACCCCAGGGTCAAAATCAAGGTCAAATACATGTATGTTGGTATCCAAAGACAGGTGTAGTATCAAGAAATGCAAGCATGAAAAAAGAAAGCCTTACATGTAATGCCAATCAATCAAAAGTTAGGGGCAACTTTAAAGTTTCGGTCAAAAGATGATCATTTTTTATGCTATCAAAAAATGGCTTTACCATCATCTTCCACCACACAGCTGATAATGACTGGGATGGCCTCCTTCATTGGATCATACTGCCACTAATAAAAATAAACAGTCATGTCATTTACATCATCAATAGGTCAAAATGCTCAAGTCTAACTAAGCAATAATAACTAATTGAAATTGACCTATACAAGTAAAATCTCAATAAATACTGTAGATTGGCAAATAATCACGATGGTTTTAATTTCGCTATGTTCACGATTCATCATTTTTCCGCGAAAATAAACCCATCGTGAATGTTATCATTAGCATTAAAAACCTTTAAATGATTGTAAGAAATTTTCTTACAGCGTGAAATTAAAACCATCGCGATTTGAACTTTTTGAGAAATCGTGAAATTTTAACACCGTGGAATTAAAACGATTTACAGTATTAACTTAAGGAATTTTAAAGGTTTTTTTTCTTACAAGTCTAACCTTTTTAATCAGTTAAATGCTCTATGAAAGACAATATTGGTGCAAAATATAAATAGTGTTACCCAGTACTTGAATACTAAAATCAATCACATTCATGTGAGATTTTTTCAGTTGTTGTATTATTTCATAAGAAGAGACCCATTTTCTAGAGCATTTATGCAACATTTCTGCAATTTTAACATACTTTTTTTAATCATTATTATATCATTTCCACATAAATCAATATCATTCATCAATCCATGAAAATCTGACATTTTGCATGTTTTTAAGACAATCATTGGCAACAAAATTTTTTTTTGATGGTCTGAATTTCTATATTACTGAAAGCTTTAACAGCAATTCAAGACCTAAAGGGAACTTCATTCTGACGTGATACTTTTCTTGTATGTGGTGTTGACAGATTTTCTACAGAATAAGTGTGTAAGCAGTTCAAGGATTTAACTTCATTGATAAATTGTCAATAACTGACATTGAGAGAGAAGTACATATAAGATATACTGTCAGTTATTTTACTGCCCCTGGCTTAAGTTGAGTATCTATGTCATGGCTGTCAATAACATACCTCCTCATCGCTGTATTTACTGGGGTCCAGGACATGTGTGGGCTGAGAAAACAGCTGATTAGCACCTCTTTTATAACGATAGGTCTCTGAGTTCAGACACGGCTCCCTTGATTGAAACCTGCTCAAGAATAAGGAAATAAATGTCCATTAAATGAATAGAAATATGTGTCATTTAATCTAGATAAATGTGTCAAAGATCATATATCCTAAACCTCAGTAGTAGTACATGACTTAAACAACATTTATTGATAAAAGAATCTGAAGTTTAGTCTGTTTCCATTCATTCTCTCTTTCCTACCACAGCTCTCGTTCCAGTATTTATGCAAATGTTCACTACACTAACATTAATTAATTTAAGTTTCTGTCACAGAATTTTTTTCCTGGGTAATTTTTTTGATTTGTCCTTTAATTAACCAACAGAAAAAATATATGATAATATAAAGCTTTGTGGTATCCTTACGTGATCTGACCATTGTTGACATCTTCTGTAGCAAAGTAGTAGAGAGTTATTGCACACTTTGAATCTGAATCGAATGTGAACTCAATGTTGTACTTTGTATTAATGGAGTCAGTTTTATCACCTCCAGAACCATCCTCACTGTCATCTACCCTATAAAACAAAGTTCTTATATCATGTCATGATCATCCAGAGCTCTTATATCAGGACTTAAGTCTTATATCATGTCATGATCACCCAGAGCTCTCATATCAGGACTTAAGTCATATCATGTCATGATCACCCAGAGCTCTTACATCAGGACTTAAGTCATATCATGTCATGATCACCAAGAGCTCTCATATCAGGACTTAAGTCATATCATGTCATGATCATCCAGAGCTCTTATATCAGGACTTAAGTCATATCATGTCATGATCATCCAGAGCTCTTATATCAGGACTTAAGTCATATCATGTCATGATCATCCAGAGCTCTTATATCAGGACTTAAGTCTTATATCATCACCCAGAGTATATGACTTAAATCTTATATCATGTCATGATCATCCAGAGCTCTTATATCAGGACTTAAGTCTTATATCATGTCATGATCACCCAGAGCTCTTATATCAGGACTTAAGTCATATCATGTCATGATCATCCAGTCGAGCTCTTATATCATGACTTAAGTCTTATATCATAAGTCATAATCATCCAGAGCTTTTATATCAGGACTTAAGTCTTATATCATGTCATGATCAATTCATCAAGAGCTCTTATATATCAGGACTAAAGTCATATCATGTCATGATCATCCTGAGCTTTTATATCATAACTCATCTACCCTGTAAAATAAATTTCTTTTACGAATAATTTAGCTCTTGTATCTTATTAATAAACCATATTCCATGTAACACAAAGAACTATTACCAATAATTCAGGTCGTCTACCCTTTCAGAGAAAAAAAAGTTTAGTTTAAGATGTTATACATTTGAGAATGTCAGATAGTCAATGTGATCTAACCTGTCATAAAGTCAATATTGTAATAAAAGCAAAGTGAGCAGGAGCATAGAAAATACCATAGTTCAGTCACATAGTCTATAAAGCTCACTGTTCTCACTATACAATCCATATTGTAGAATACCATGACAATATGAAATCTGGGCTATTCCTGACAACTCAGTTTTATGTGACAATCTATACATTAACAATCAATTAACATTATTGATTAAAGTACTCAAGTCTAGCATAAAAAAAACTCAGAAGCAATCCTGCTGAAAAGGTATTCCCTGACCAGTTCTACTGATTATTGGATGGAAATTTATATTTTAATATGCTGTAAAATACCACCTTTTTTTTAACAGTACACATATTTTAATTTGTATTGTAATACATTTCATAACCTTATTTTTTTTTATTCACTACAAGTAACTTCCATTTAATGTGTGTTTAAATGCAAAATTTACACATTTATTATAAATACACGTTGCAAAAAAAAGGAAAGATTTTTAATGATTTATCTATAGATGTGCAATGAATTGCACCCATACATCATCTGCTGGCTTGTTCTTTGGGGCAATATCATTTATCATGTTATGACATCTTTAACTTTATTATTTATTTAAAGAATTTGGAGTTTGTAACTTATTTCGAAGCCTCAAATTTTTTTTTCAATATATTGGTACTGAAAAAATGTATTGCAACATAATATTTTTTTCAACAAATAAGAATAAACTGGAATATTTGTATTATTACACAGCTCTTCTGACAAGATTTATTAAAACTGTATCCCGATAATAAATTTATTCCAAGAATTAATTTTGTGAAAATATGAGAGGACAAAGCCAGTCTGCTACAGTATGAATCATAAAATCAGACAAGTAACAGATGATGATCATTTGAGCAGTCATTACCAGATAAATTAAGTACATGTGACTTTATATCATCTTTATGTAATGCTCTTAATTATTGTAACATAATATTGATTGCATTACAAGTGATGACTTTGTAAGTTGTTCACCAATACTTACTTGACAAATTTCAGAGAGTCTTTACGAATGTTGACCAAACTTTTCAGTGGCTTAGTAGGCTCACTTCCCGAAGAGGAAACTTGGTATGGAAACTAAAACAGATATAAAAAATTCAAACCAATAAATGTAATTATTCTAATACATGTAATCATAAATATTTAATAAAACCTTTCTCATGTACAGTATAGATATTTGTTTAAAGCCTTATGACTGATGTTTGACTTTGTTATTCAACAGATAGGTTAACTAATTCATCCTGACCACTAACTCTGTCTTGTGGGAGGATTTCTGATTTATCTGACCATGTCCTTTACCACAGCAATTAAAATACTACTCTCACAAAGCAATAAAAACACTATCTTACACAAAGTTAACTGTACTATACAGGTCAATATATAAATACCTGTCTGAAGGAACAGAAAGCAGTATCGAAAAAAATCTGGAATGTACATGTATACAACAGGCCAAATATCCATGAGCCTCTCAAAACTTAAGTTTGAGCACATTCTAACTATTCTTAGCCCAAAGTTGATTTAGTATTTTTTTTTGCATTTTTCTCTTTACTTCTGACCTAAATGTTACATAATAGGCAAATGTAAATCACATCCTGTTCATCTTATTTTTCTCTTTTGTATAATTTTCTATATATGACTTTTTCTGTTTTTTTCTATGTTACTTTGTTCATTTTTGTTTGTGTTTTTTTTCTCTCTTCTTTTGTACATTCTTTTATTATCACTATTTGTTTTGTACCTTGACCTAAATGTAGGGAGAGGGCTAAAATAGGCTGCGCCTGCTGCCCAATCCTATTCACAATAACATCAGTGAATAAAATATTGTTTAAATTAAATTAAATGTAAATCACATGTAGGTATTAGATCAGTCTTGGATGACAAAGTTACTATGTATTCTGTAGGTTTTTTGGCTGTCATTTAACAGGGCATTGGAAAAAAATATTTAGTACATTGGAGTAAGACTATAAGTGATATAAAGAACAATTAAATATTCATCAATTCTTAAACTATATATTAAAGGGTGGAACATGTATTGATATTGCTTTCATCACATTCATTCCGTTTTGGTTAGACTTATAAAGGCATTCTTATGTGACATCAAATCTGAAATCATAAAATTTGCAATTGCAAATTATGTTTTCCCTCATATAACACTATTTGAACAAGGTATTCTTTCACCTGGGTAAAAGAAGTTTGTCATGGGATCATAAATTGATTGTTTAGTCATAAACGTTCTATGTAATTTCATAGTGATCAACGTGTTTAACACAATAAATTTATATCATCGAGTTTTGAAAAGAAAAATCATTTATGGGTTTAAAACTGAAGTACCTTACTATTTGTAACAAATCAGTCACAAATGTGATGTGAGTATAAGTAAAAGGTATCATTTTAAAAATTTTATTAGGATGTAAATATATGTTGGCATGTGACCAAAGCTACCATAAAGTCCTTCAGGCCTATGGGAATTGATCACATGACCAACTTGCATTTACATGTACATCCAGATAAAACTTTTAAAAATACCTTATTTCTTAAATAAGCATTCGAACTGTCAAGAATTTATTCTCCACTTTCCTATGAAATCAATCATCTGATTAAATTATTAAATATGCATAAAAACCATAATTATTGTAACAATATACCTGTCACTTCTTAGAATCCAAACAAAATTTCTAAATGCTATAGTATTTTTAATAAGTAGATTAGTTCAGACATGTAAGCAACAACATCTAGTAGATGTCATTTTTAAAACAGTTTCTTTATGTGCATTTCATTTGCATATATGTATTGATTGTATTCAGCTTTAACTACAAGAACCTACTAAAATTATTTTATTTCCAGATATTTAAAAGTACATACTGGAATAGGCTTGTTTCCCAGGAAGTTGAGGTCTGAGTTTTCACCAAATAAATAGGACTCAGGTTGACTCATGTCAAAGCGTTCCCCTCCCATGTAGAAGTGGGTCCCAAAGTAGTTTCCTGCGAAGAAAAATCAACATTGTGTTAGCAACTTAAAGCAATCTTTATTTTAGGAAGCTGTTAAATAGATATACAAATCATCAGTTTGAAATCATCCTCATCAATTCATTCAATATTTTCAACAAGTACTCACATTTTAATAAAGTTTTGAGTCCCAAATCCATGCCCCCTTAACTCATACTTTATTTACTGAACAATTTAGCGATTGAAACTGTGTCTGACGTATCCCCCCCCCTTCATGCCTACACCCCTATACCCCAACCCAGGCTTTTTCCTATTCTCTATTGAGAAGTTGCTGGCTCATATATAAAACAAGCCAGCCACTTGTCAATAGAGAATATACCTTACATTCCTACTTGTCAGTCTATCCCAAAAGCACCTGTCCGTCAGACAAAACAAGTGAAAATCTTATTGGTCTGATGCACTAACTAGTAAAATCAGTCCGATTGTCCGAGGTTTTTTTTTAGTCGGATTCAAATTTTATATGTTCTCTTTCATCATATAGACGCTTTAGCTAACACCAATTAATGCATAACACATTATTAAAAACGTTTTGTTGATCGCAATTGTTCTAAAACCTACTTCCGCCACGATGTTTCTAAAATATTTTGATAGAGCAGTACCAGGGAAGAAAAAGAAAAGGATTTGAACCTGGTGAGGCTGTAATCCTAGATCCCCGATCTGACTCTAACCCCTGCTTTTTACAATGTACATGACACGTGCATGCAGCAGGGTCTCCCCTGCACGTTACCGTATAAAAAGCAGGGTCAGAGTAAGAGTCAGAGGAATATCGGATTAGTGAGTGTCAGACTCCAGGATTAGTGAGGCTAAATATTTGTTCTTCCAAGTTTTAGACATCAAGCTTTATCTTGCTGTAAACACTTATTTATCATCACTTATTTATCATGATTATGTTACGTCTTATAGTAAATACACAGGGGCCGGTAACATATTGTTTTCGATTTTACGTAATCACTATATATTATATACAAAAAAGGAAAGGGAAACAACGTCAGCCCGAATTTACACAGGGTCGATCTCGGAAATATTTCGTATTTCATAGAGAAAAGAATGTAGCCAATTAAATTATAACTAGAATTCATACTACAATAAATATTCTTTAATAAAACAGAAACCTCGTTACTTTTTATAGCGTTTAAGTTGGGTAATACTAACTTGATATCCCGTTGTGCGGGTCGATGTACTTTAAGTCGTCCACTAAAACGAGGCAAAATTCGCACATTTTCTCCAGATTTGAAGTCTTTCTGGAGATGGAAAACACATAGTAAAGATCCAGCGTTCACGAAAATAATATTTTTCTCTTGTTAATTGCAATTAAAAGGTACAACATCTCCGATTTGAATAAATACGGTAGCTTTTTTCGTTCACAGAGAGGCTCAAGCCCAAAACAGACGACATTTTGGAAAACCCATGATTGATAAAAGGCGGAGCGTGATTGGTCAGATCTGTTCTAGAAAAGCACCATTGACCAATCACATCTCGCGTTAAATATTGGATGCAATGTTGAGCGAATTTAGTGGACGACTTAAACTACATCACTTGCATGATAGGATATCGGATCTGCAAAACACGACTTGCACAATTCTTAAATGACCGCGATGGTAGTTCTATTAAAGAGTGATTATTACTGAATGATCCCAGACGTTATTTCACTAACTGCAAGGTATTTCATTGAAAACACGAGTCATTTCCGAGATCGACCCTGTGTAAATTCGAGCTGACGTTGTTTCCCTTTCTCTTTTTGTATACATATAGTGATTACGTAAAATCAAATACAGTATGTTACAGGCCCCTGTGAGTAAATATTACATGCAGATTTGAATTTTGAATTTATAATTAATCAATAAAAGTCATCCCCTGCCAGTCTATAAAACTAGGCCCTGATAATGTGATTATATCCTAATGTGGCCTAATTTATGTGATTGTACCTTTAATAAAATTAATGTGATATTCACGTTTTGTTGTTTTTTGGGAAATCTACATTATCTTTGTTCCCTAAATGATTACAACCACTCTTCAGCTTTGTTTTCCTAATTTATACACTAAAAAATACCCTTTTATTTAGTTTGGTTTAGAATTTGTGAAAAAAAGGGAAAAACCGCGGAAAACAAGCAATCGTGGACTTGTATTTTGTTCAAACACCTTTGGTTAGATAAGTATCCTTACCTATTTTAGGTGGATACCGATAAGCATTCGTTGATGCTATATCAACTTCTTCTTCACCTGTATCACGACTTGCTATGCCCCCCATCTTGATATTGTTTACCAAAATCCAAGATGGCGACTTCCGTATTTATTTCTGACGTCACAAGAACCTGTAAATATTTACGTGGTAATTTTTACGCCAAAATTTTTCACTTTTGTCGACTTAAGTCATTCATTTAGAGGTATCTATCGCATTTTTACAGAAAATAATTTAATACACGAACATGACACGATATTTCCGTGTGTTTTTAATTTATAGCCACACCCCTGTTTCTATGAATGAGCCAATAAAACATTACGATTCCCATGACGTCAGCAATCAATCATTCGTCCATCGAAATAACAACATTGTTTTGGCCTTATCAAGGGACTAAACGGCAGCAGGAAATTTTCGAATAAATCCATGAAAATGGATAACCTCAAAGAACAAGTTATGATAAACCATTTTGTATCGGCCACAGGAGTACATGCAGAACAAGCAAAACAGTTGTTAGCGGCTTCAAATTGGCAATTTCAGGTAATGTTTATGTATTCGTAAATTGTATTTATCATGGCGCATGTTGATTGTGTATATCGCCACCTATAAACGACTGACATTCAAGAAAATTTATGAATTGGTAAAGTTGATTGGGAACTTTTTCTATATTTTTCAGACTGCTCTTAGCATGTTTCTTCAAGAATCATCAATTCCAACGTGTAGAACATGTCACGGCAATCATACAAACGCAAATTACCCGGTAAGTGAGGCCTCCATGATGGATGACATCACAATCTTTATTGTTGCTTTTTGTTGTGTTTACATTAGGACCACGTCAGTGTTTTGGCCTCGGAGCACTTAGTAATGTGTTTTGATTTTAAAATAGATCTTACTGTTAATAAACATTTACAACAGTACCTACAAACATAAATAAAAGTATGTAATGTTTTTTTTTAAGTGTTTTAAAAGCATACTAGTTTATGACCGAAAAATTTGAAGGCCAATCCCATTTTTCTTTTCCCAAAATAAAAAAAAAAATCCATTTAAAACGAAAGTTGAAATGAATACAGCTTCCTGTTAACAAAATGTGAAATATTTTATGATAAAATTGTGTATGTTAGAGTCTGCTTATAAATTATAGAAGTATGTTAGTATGATCAAAAGGTTTCCTGCCTTTGTTGTAAGCATTAAAGCAAACGTTACACTAGTATACAAATAAGAAAAATTGCTTAGTTTAATCCAAATCAATATGATCAAATCTGTACATAAAAACAGAAGGGAACAGAAAAAAAAAATCTGCATTAAAACATTGTTATTGCAGGTGCAGATCCAGAAAAATTTTTTTTGGGGGGGGGGGGGGGGGGGGTAGTCGAGATGACTTCTAATGCTTCAAACCTTTGACTTTTCATACATATTTAGCACAAATTTGCATTTACCAGGGGGATTAAACTCGCACAAACTTCAAAAACTTCAAAAATTTCATAAGGGGGTGAGTGGGTAGTCGATGACTTATGCTTCAAACCTTTGACTTTTCATACTGATTTAGCACAAATTCTCATTTACCGGGGGTGGGGGGGATGGGGGGGGGTCTGTGTTTTCCGAGGGGTGTCCAAAGTAACTTTTTTATTGCTTAAGTATATAAATTTAATATCCTTGCCCCCTGATCCCCGCCCCCCCCCCCCCCACCCTCTAAATTTGCGCATGGTTATTGTACATTTATTTATGTAACTTGATAGTAATTAACATTAAGATATTTTTACAGTATATATGTAGTTTTAAAAGTGTGGTATTATATATAAAAAAATATTTTAAGACTTTTAAGTATAGGTAAACAAATTAATACCGTCTGCATATCAGTGTTAACAACAAGTATATGCATGAATGTAATATTTAAATCTGCATAGCTAGGAGAAATGTTTGTAAACATACAGATTGCTTTACTGTCCTTTAATATTGTTACTGGAAATATCTCCTGTAGGTCGTATAGATCTGCACTTAATCTGTAAATCTGTATTTTTATCTCAGTAGGATAGTCTATTTAATTAAAATGTCAAACATCAGTTTCTTCTCACAGTTTCATCAAGTGAATCATACTGTATTAAAGATCTATAGACATTCAATGTAAGAGAAATCTTGATCAGTTTTTGAATATTTTGAAAAGTATTTGTCTGTTCAAGCATACATATTCATTAACTTAATTATATGTTTATTGATGAAAGTTTTCCTCGGCTAGATTAAACTGCAAACATTGCATGCATTGTCACATGGCTATTTCACCACATTTCATATTAGTATTCATCTGTAAATTGGTGTACAACTACCATATTGATTAATTTTTTTTCTTTGCAACATGAGCAGTTTGCCAATGAGCAGAATTATTGAACACTCAGTATTATACTTGGCACTGTGGCCTGTCTAGGCAGTGCGCACATTACTAGGTAAACAAAGAACACACCACAAACAATGAACAGTCAGGGTTGTATAAAGTAGTGGAGTATTTAGCATATTTAAAGGGTCAGGACGAATAGGTTACACTGTGCAAGGTGCTTGTTTTGAAGACGTGACCTTGAAGACCTCCGGCAGACATAATGTAAACAACAAATTGAAGATGATTGGGCAGTGTTAAGATTAGGTGTAATTAGTAAATTTCTGGCTTTTATATTGAATTTCTTGCAGACTATATGTGTATTATTGTAGGAGCTAGATAAAAATAGATTTCCTAGAATTAGTTAAGAAAGAGAAATATTCACTCTTATCTTGCTTGCGAGTTATGACTTGTTGATCAGTTACCCTACATTTCCCTACATGTGTACTCGTGTAACTATATACATTTATATCTGTAAACATCCTGTGTTCCATGTAGTTTTATATGTAGAGATGTAATTTACATACTTACTTGCTTTGAGGTTTGTGACCTTAAGAGATGACCTAGTTATAGCAGTTCGACAATTTTGATGATCTATCAAACTATCTCATTCTCTGACAATATAAATATATTGAAAATCAATTCAGCCATGGGCCTGTCTATCATCAATGCAAAAAAAAAAAAAACTTCCTTGGTGGGATTATATTATGGAACAATTTTTTTAATGATGATATTGCTTCCTTTCTTATGTTAATTTGATATACATGTATATATGGAAATTTAGATGGTTTATGCAAGCTATTCCCACTTTCTGAAAATCAAGTAGAAAAAGGTGAAATTTCACGTGGGAGTAGGTGGAATTTTGTGTAAACAATTAATTAACTATGTTCTTAAATTTAGGTATTAAGTTGCTATTTCTTGTAAGATCTTTTTATTACTTCAAAAATCCAAAATAAATCATATTTTCTCATAGATGTATTCATTATTTTCTGTCTTTAAATGTACAAAATACAGTTAAATCTAAACATCTATTGTTATTTGCAAGTGGGAATTCAATAGGTGGAATTGAGATTTTTAAAAAGTGGGAATAGCTAAAAGACACCATTTAGACATATTGTTCTTAATTACTGGGAGTGCAGAAAACATCTTTATTTGTTTTGATAGTTAGCAGATTTTTTATGAGGCCCTATTAAATATAGAAAAATTAATATCTTATTCAATCAGACATTTTTTTTAAATCAACCAGGGGTTAAAGGTTAAACAAAATTTAACAGTGTTACAAAAGTAGGAAACAGATGAAGGGCTTTTTAGAGTTTCTTTACAATGATTGTACTAATTTGGCTTGATACTTCAGTTACAAATAGTCAAGTTGAAGTTTATATTCAGACTGAAATAAAATTTTATGAGGATTGGCCTCTTGAAATATATAACAGGCGTATTACATACTGGTATATACATAGCAATTATTGTGAACTTACTGAATGAATCATTTTTACACTGTTATAGTGAGCTATGTGTAAGATGAACATTGTAAATATTACTCCAGCTAGTACTTAAAATATCCTTCAGTGATAGGAAATATTTGAAGGCTTTTGCTTCTTTCCAAAGAAGTGAAACAAAAGGTGAAAGCTAGAAAAGTATTAAACAAGGTGATCATGGTAATGAAAAAATAAGGATTCCAAAATGTTTATAAAAAGTGGCAAAATATGAAAAAAGCTCATTAAAATGGTACTCAATAAAGTTCTGGTGTCCATAAAGGTGGACAGAAACCTTCAGTTTGAAATCTGTCTTGATCTGATAGTTAACAATAGTTATTATTTATAAGAAGAATGAATTATATACACTTAACATAAAAATATTCATTGTAGTACATATTTCACGTTGAACACACAAAAATATACCCGGTATTTATTTTTCTAATTCTTCAAAATATGATAAAAGCAGGAAGCTTCATTGCTGATTTCTTTTTTATTCTTTTTTTCAGTTATGTGCACCAGCAAATACTCCAGCTACACCCCCTAATTTCCCTGATGCATTGTTAGCATTATCAAAACTCTCCACCACAGAAAAATTTAGTTCCTCCCCTTACGCCACCTCACCACAGCAAGTAGCCAATTCTCCCAAAGGCATGGAAATAGAGGCACAGCGATAAAACTGACAAGCTCCAGGGCAAACGAGAGGAGCATGGCATTTGGGACAAGTTTGTTGTTTTTTGGATTGGACCACTGTGTAAGCTGTAGAGATTTGAAGAAGGATGTGAAAAGTGCTTAGATATATATATGTGTACACAGGGACAGAGATATGAAGACTCCTCCTGAAGTTTTACATTACATATTGTCAACCTTGTTGTATTTTCCCTAATGTGTCAGTTTTTTTTTCTCTCCTTCTTTAAATAATGAAATAGTTTGAAGATTGTAATATTCTTTAAAGCTAACTGATTTGTACTTGTAAATGAATTTGTGTGAACATCTCAAGTTATCAGATAAACCAACAAAATGCTAGGATTGCTTGTAGACTTGTGTCATTGATAAGTATCAAATTTTGTTTGTTTCCAGCTTATTTTTGATCTCAGTATTTATTTGTGTTTTATAATCCATGCATGTACACAGTGAATGTCAAGAAATAATACCATATTTGTTCCAGTAATTGACAGTGTTCATAACATCATTTTTATCAACCTTGTTATGTCATAAATATATTCAAAACAATAGATGGATGTTTTATATGGTTTTTGAATGGCATTGCACCATTGTAAAAGACCATACTTTACAATCATTATAAGCAAAAAGAAAAAAATAACTGTATAATGTATACAAAGTGCCTATGGCATTTACTGGGATGAATATGGTAAAGTTTCAGTCGTTGTGAGTCGAAGTGATGGTTTCTAATTTGAATAATTTCCCACTTGTCATCTGAATCAAAAAAACATTCTTTTGTAGTTGTGAAAAATTCTGATTTTTCTTCTGGATGATTAATTAACACTGATTGAATTATGCTTTTGGCAGGCAATACTAGAATGGCTTTCTTTAATAAAAGTCTCCGTCCAGTTAAGCAATATGTAATGACAAGAACATCTGATTGTATTTCCTCAGATTTGTGTTACTTTTATCAAAGAAGGTCAAACTTTTTGTAGGTCATTTTTCTGTATTTATGTACTGCCAATTTTTTTTTGTAACATTTTATAGCTTTTCCCCTCCCCCTGCAATTTTTATGTTTACCCGAGTATTTGTGCTATTAATACAGGTATTTCTAGATGATCTAGACTTACCGAAGGTAAGAATTATGAGTAACTTCATTACATGACCTTGACCTTAGGTCACCTTGATGAGGTTATAAATCAATGTTCCTCATTATTATCATATGTTTGTATTATGAAGGAATATTGTGTATAATTCGGGTAGGATCTACCCTTTATTCTTTTGAACTGTTATTGACTAAACATTTTCTGTACATAGTTATATTTGATGGAATCATGTTTCATTAATTTTTGTATAGTTACATGTACTATGTATGTATGTCATTAACTCCACATGAGATGAAAATAATGTTAAAAAATTCAGTTTTTTTAAGTTCTGTAGTATCCATTGTTCATTAAACTTACTCAGGAACTTAAAAAACATACTCTTTGTTTTGACTGGACAAATTAAAACATATAGGAGGTGGCATTGTCTTAAGTCACGGTTTGGTGTTCGCTTATAGCTATCCCCAGAATGGGAGAGGATCATACATTTTGGCTGCGGCTTGCCACAATGAGGAGGTGGTGTCTAAAGATTTTGGAAGGAAGTTTCTGAAGTGACCTATCACTCAGATTGTATCAACCAGGATGTGTCCCTGTACCGACCTCTGAGTTGGATTAGGTTGCAATACATTTAAATCTGCTGTCTGAAGTACACTAGGTTAGAATATTTATAATGCACTGAAATTTGAAATTGGCTTGCACATAAGAGTGCGTTTTCAGCTATAAAGGAATGATGGTTTTATTTAAAAATGTGTGAACTTAAGGACAGCACCATGTGTTATAAAATGTCCAGATAGGCATAAATTCTAAGTAAAATCAGCAGTCAATAATATGAGGGTTCTCAAGGTCATTTGCAACATTCTGGAAAAGGGCTCTGAGAGGGGCAACCCTCTGATGAAAATAAGTTCAAAAACAATTCTTCCAATAGAGTTTTTGGGGATCAATACCCCCCTACCCCCATGTGAAAAGGAAAATACCTTGTCCTTTCAACTCCTTGGCCTCTATCTTAAGCAAATGTAACAAATCACTGGGTCGTATCTTGGCTGACATATTTCATACCGTTGTCTACGGAATATTCCGTCTACCTGATTAAAATGTACGGCTCACGGTGGGTGTGACTGGTGTACAGGAGATGCTTACTCCTCCATGGTCCCTGATCCCACCTCTGGGATATCCAGGGTTTTGTGTTCAGTCCTTTCCATAGATTCATAAAGTTCGTACTTTTTTATAGACTGATTTCGTTATCTTTACTTATTTCATCTTAAGGATACTAGAATTAGTAGACTGTGCCTAACTCTTTGGCCATAATGGCACCCTCTTGACAGTTGACACTGCTTTTTTTTTATTGTGGTGCAATAGTGATATCAATTCAATTTTCAATTTCTTTATTGATTCACCAAACATGTTGGTATACAACCATGTTACATACAAAGACATTAAACCCCAGTTATCAAGATGCTACATGTACAGTTTTTAAGAAAGGAAAATCATTTAAATTCCTCGGAGTTGAGGGGTCTTTTGATTGACTATCGACTCACTAATTTTGATGATACGTGTAATCTAGAAGGAGGAGATCAATATTAAGAAAATTTTCACAAGCATTAAATTGATTCTCTGCTGCTATATATGTACACGACGTGTATATTATATTATGATATGTGTCAGTCGCAATACTGAGACGCCTCTTCTAAAACTTTGACACACTGACCTAATAACTGTTCCACATAGCTGCACGTTAAATGCCACGCGTTTCTTTATTTACATTACATATGTGGGGTTATTTATATCCGTTTCTTTTGTGTGTCCCGAATCTGTAGTGTTTATATACTTATGTTAATGCAGATCAGAACTTGTACGCAGAGACAGCATCTGCACGTTCCATTCACATACGAGTTGTAGACAAAACAAAACTACCCTTGGGTCAAAGAGAGGAATATGTTAATTAACTTACACTAACTAGAAACTCCAGTCTATGTGATCAGAACATTTTCTGAACTGTACACAAATGTTTTAGGCTTGGTGTAAAATGCGGAGGATGGAGTCTCCACAAAACTCCAAAATGGAGGGTCAGAGAGTGCAAGGGGTGGAGCCGCTTGTGTCAATTTTTATACATTTGCCCGTTTTATTTTTCAATCAAAGCTGGATACAACTGGGTTGCTTGTAGAGCTCTCCATCAGTGATAAAAAGTGCCTGTCAGAATTAATTACTGAGTCTAGATACTGGTATGTCCCAAAACATTTATTGCAGATAATTATGTCATGCATAACATATCGCAGATCACTTTGTCTGCAATTTATCAACAATTAAAAAGTATATTTCATAACTGCTGTAAAAGCTACAAAAGCTTTGTAAATTACAATGATAATGAAATTTAGCACAAAAAAAAAATATATACATGACTTTTTATATCAACAACAAATAACAATTTTTTGTCATCTTTCCCTAGAAGTTTGTAAAAAAGCAATTTTAACATTTGGCCCTTCAGATATTTGATACCTATACTAATAAAATCTGTCAAGACCTCATGGGTTACTGCGAGATAACAGTGTGAATCAGACAGTTTCCATTGCACTTAGCATCTGTGATATTGCAAAACAAAATTTAAATCACAAGCACGGGCTGCATGCCCCTCATTTGTTTCTCATATCTGTAGGTCGTTTCGATTCTCATTTTGTTGTCTCTTTATCATGATGCTTGTTTTTTCTTTTTAGAGCAAAAAAATAAATAAAATAAAAACAGTTTTCAGAGTTCTTTAATAAAACAATCAGTTCATTTACTGAATCTATTATTTAATTATTTTTTAATTTTTCTAAAATGGGATAATATTTCTGAGTGAATAATGACATCACGGCACATTTCCAACATCGGACAGTGTCTTCGACAGCAATCAGATTTCAGATGGTAATAGGTGTTTTGTAATGAGGCCGATATTCCTTGACACCTTTATATACATATCAGTCTATTTTAGTGTTGGCAAATCGGACGATTTTTAGTAACCGGTTACTCGCTTCATCTTCCGATATACCCGGTTACTCGGATGATTTTTGGTAAAAGTATCGATATCTATTATTATCTTATTCTATACTTATGTGTAGTAATGCGCAAATATACTGTATAGGGACAATATATTTACAATACACATATACGATATCGTCAAAGATTTTCGATTTTAAAATAAAGAAAATTAATAGGGAATTCGACACACAAAGACAAATAAATACTTCACTGTCAATCACTATTTTTTACTTTCTTTTTCAGCCCCCGAAACATGTCGCAATCAAGGAGAATAATTATTTACATACTCCATAATTAATAATTAATATGTGGAGTGTCCAGTAAATCGCTGGTTTTCGAATAATTCAAGCTTAGGTGATTTAACAGATTTTGAATCAGCTGTTCTTTTGTTAAACTCCAAACTTATTATGTCTGCGGCGGCATCTCGTTAAATTATCAAATGAGGTAATTCAACTTACCTTCTTTATGTGTATACCCCAGGCAATCGAAGCTGTGAAAACTAATCAAAACAATTTGATTCACTACAACCATGCACTAGATCAAATCTAACAACTGTTTTAGGGAAATGTTTAAGTTTATACATTTATAAATTATAAAACATTCATTTTCTATACCTTTCTATGTGAATTTATTTCATCCGAGTAACCGAATTAAAGTTTTAATATTAATGATACTCGCATATCCTTCAAATTGGTTAACCGGTTAACAAAAGAAATAAACACTTGAATTTATATATATCTGTATATAATATCACCAAAAGATAATAATTTTGATGCTATTCTGTTTCAGTCAGTCTCTGTTATCGTTAAAAATTAAATAATCAGGCTAGCTGTTCCCCTTGTTAAATGTGGTGTTCATTATTTTTTTTTTAACCGTTTCCTGTTTCTTTGTTTCTCATTTTGTATTTTATGGACTTTATAAACAAATTCATCAGATACTGTCAAATGGTTATCACAAAATCAGGTTGGAGATATAACTATATCATTCAAAACTTCAATGAAATTATTTTTTTTAATTGTTTCAAAAGGTTTTTTTTTTACACATATAGGTCACAGTCATTGACCTTGGTGCAGATTTAAAAGAACTGCTAAATTTGGACAAGCACTTTTCCAAATCCTGCATCATCTAACACTATGGCTCCAAAAGTTACTCTCGAAGATCCAAAAAGCAATTTTTAGCATATAGGTCACAGTCATTTTAACAAGGTCAATGTTTTATTACTGTTTTAAAGAACTTAATTAGTGGAGTATGAAAACATTAATATGAAGACATTTCTTTCATGTGCAAAAGAAATTTAGTAAAGGTACTGATAAAGTATATGCTGATCGAACAAAAGAAACACTTAAAGTTGAATATAATTAGGAAGCAGAATAACGTACAACAACAACAACAACAACAAAACAAGATGTGTTTGTGAAACACTGATGCCTCCATAATAGCAGCTTATCCAACGAGGACTCAAAGTTTCTTAATGCAAGTCAAACTAATAAGGTCAAGGTCAAAACTGTTGGTATCCGAAGGAAGGTCTTGTCACAAGGAATACATGTACACCATTGAAATGTGAAAGCCCTAGTGCAGCTAACTGTTCAAAAGTTATTGAATGTTTTTTTTTAAAAGTGGATAAATCTCTGTCAAAAGGTCAAAAATATTTATACCCACTGAAAGGTCTTGTCACAATAATACACATGTGAAGTATAAAAGCCCTGACATCAACTGTTCTAAAGTCATGGCCAAAGATGAAGAAAGGTAATTTTTGGTAAAAAGGGGTCAACTTTAATTGATGGTACCCAAAGAGATGTTTTGTCACAAGGGATGATACACCTGTGAAATATGAAAGCCACCCCCACTCAAAAATTACAGGGAAGGTTAACAACGTTTTGGCAGACAAACAGACAGAGGGACGAAAAGAGCAAAAACTCAATCTATACTCCCCCGAATCTTCGAGGGCATAACAAGACCTGTTTGTGACACACTGACGCCCATGCATAACTGTATCAGCTTTTGGCATAGGTTAAGTTTTAATTTGTAAATGAGACTCCACGTTCAAGGGATAAAAAAACAAGATGTGTTTGTGAAACACTATGCACCCGGCAGCAACAAAGTTTGAAGAAGCTAATTTTCGCTAATAGGTCACTATCAATGTCACAAGGTCATATTGTCTTTGATGTCTTGCAGTCATTTGAAAGAACTTAATTAGTGGAGTAAGCATACCAAATATGAAGTCTCTATCTCTTATGGTTAAAAAATTATGGCGAAGGTCCAAAAAGGCTAATTTTAGCTTAAAGGTCACAATCAAGGTCACAAAGTAATTGAACTTGGTGCCATTTGAAAGAACTTAATTAGTGGAGTAAGCATACCATGAAGTCTCTATCTCTTATGGTTCAAAAGTTATTGCGAAGGTTCAAAAAGGCTATTTTTAGCTTAAAGGTCACAATGGTTCAAAAGTTATGGCATTTGAAAGAACTTAATTAGGAACATGCATACCAAATAAAAGCTATTTCGTTAGCATCAAAAAATAGCATATAGGTCACAGTCAAGGTCAAAAAGTCATTGTCCTTGGTGTCATTTGAAAGATCTTAATTTGTGGAGTAAGCATATACCAAATATTTCTTTCTCTTATGGTTCAAAGTTATGGCGAAGGTTAAAGTTGACAACAGACAGGCAAACAGACAGACAGGACAAAAACAATATGCTCCTTCGATCTGACGATCTGGGCGCATAAAAATTGTTACCCAATTAAGGACTTGTCTCAATGATATACATGTGAAATACAAATGCCAAAACACTAACCATACAAAAGTCATTATCAAGGGCGAGGTTTTTTTTTTATATGGGCCAAACTCCAGGGTTAAGGTAAAGCGGTCAAAATTGTTGGAATCCAAAGGAACTTTTTGTCACAATAAATACACCTGTGAAATATGAAGGCTCTAGTACTAACTGCTTAAAAGTTGTGTCTAAAATTAACGTTTTTAAGATATGGGCCAATCTCTGAGGTCAAAGTCAAAAGGTAAAAAAAATTAAACATCTATGGAAAGGTCTTGTCACAATGGAAAAACTGTGAAGTATGAAAGGCCTAGCACAAACAGTGCAAAAGATATATGACCAAGGATAAAGTTTTGTAAATTATTGCAAAATTAGGTCAAACTCCAAGGTCAAGGTCAAGAAGTCAAATATCTTGGTGTCCAGAGAAATGCCCTGCCACAAAGAAAACATGTATGAAATATGAGATTCATAGCTTCAATGAATCAAAAGTTATGGGCAAAGTTAAACTTTTTTGCGGACAAACAAACAAACAGACGGATGGACAGGATATAAACTATATACACCCATGATTACGGAGGCATAAAAGGATCTGTCCTCTCATCTGTTCTGTACTTCTGTTTACTTGAATTTCATTGCTCATGCGTCAAATTTTCTGACATAATCTAATTTGACCACAAAATTGTTAATTTTTGATGGATCGGGGCGAGTAAAATACATAAAACCTGCAAAGCAGCTTTAAAGCCCTGAACACTTCAGAATTATATTGATGCATAAAGTTGTTGTTGTGTTGTTTTTTTTTCTTAATTTTACGATTTAAAAATCAAGATGTGTTTGTGAAATACTGATGCCCCCGTATGACAGATTTTGACGGAGGTTTAATTTTTTCAAATGAAGATTAAATTAAACTCCCTAGTTCAAGAAAAGAAAGAATGTTGTTACCCAAAGAAAGGACTTTATAGCAATTCATCACAGCTAGTAACCTGTGAAATATGATTGGAAAAGCACTTACCATTAAAAAGTTATGACCAAGGTAAACGTTTTAAAATATAGGTCTAATGTTAAGGTTAAAGGGTCGAGCGTTTTTCAAAAATAGGTCAAACTCAAAGTTCAAGGTCTCAAGTTTAAAAAAATATTTAATCCCCCCTCCACCCGCTTACTGTTTGTTGCAGTAAGGCAGATGTCATAAGCAATAAATAAGTGAAATACCTTTATTTGCTTGTCAGGGTTTTTGCAGGTTAGTTGAATTCCTCCCCCTCCTTTTTTTCAAAAACGATGCTACATGTACGTCCTGAATTTAATTTTCTGATCCAATGACCACGTTTTCTGCTTTCAAATTTTGTTACACAAAATAGGTCAAACTCAGCTCTCCGAAAAAAAATAGTTCAAGGTCAAAAGTTAAAAAAATTTAATGCACAGTCAAATAAGGTCTCGATTTATTTCTCCATGTTTCAAAACTGTCATCTCAAAATATTACTAAATGTGTGTTCCTTACATATTCTTTCACTGTTTCCACAAAAAAAAAATATATATATGGTTTTCCTGGATCTGGAATTGAGTTCTTGAAAATTTGCTTGTCAGGTTTTTTGGTTGCAAGATAATTCGAATCCAACGCCCCTGCCGCTGATGTCAAAAATGGTGGAATTTTTTGAAATCTAGCTTTTTTTGCAATTTAGGTAAGACTTTGGAAGTATTAATCAAGAACCAAGCGAAATTTTTTTGCGCAATAGATATATAGTTTTTTTGGGAGGATTTTGAGCATTTTTTGGAGAGTACAGTTTACACAGTGACACCGTGTTCGATACCTGGTAGGTGTTGTGGTAACTTCAGTGAATAGACAGGATACATATATGATATTATGCACATATTCGTTGTTACGAATTTAAAAAGGGACATGGAATTCTCTTTCTCTCTCTCTAAACTTCATGAAAACTCCAATTTAGCAAAACTCAACTGGGAGACGATCATTTGCAGCTCTAGTAATGATTGTTCTAAAAAAAATTAGGTATTTTTCAAATTCAAAGTCTGTTTTGAAAGTAATATATACATTTGACCTTTGGACGAATCGGCGGTACATTTTTATTTATTTTCATGTCATTGAAGGACAGATTATTCAATTCCAATAAGATCAAAGACTGATTATTTAAAAAAAAACCATATGTGAAATATGAGAGCCATACCTTCAATGGAAAAAATAAAATGTAGACAAATAAACAGACAGACGGACATAGTAAAAATTATGAAGCTCCGAATCCTCGATACCGGGAGCATAAAAACAAGATGCGTTTCTGACGCGTATGGTAATTTTTTTTTCTATAGTGTGGTATTTTTTTGTGGAGCGATTATTTTGGAGTTTTCACGATTTTTTTTCCTATTGTACACATGAGGAATAAGTGTAATAAATATAATTTGTGAAAAAATCCAACAAGTCTCGGGGTTGAATATCGTGGGGAGGGGGGTCCTGTCCACAAGTACCTCTGGCAAAAAAAGTCCAAAATCTCTAATTCATGAGGGTGTGTAGGAGAGATGGGGGGTAATAGTACTGAGCAGCCGCAGGGACAGAATTTTTTCCAAGGACAATTTATTATTTCCAAAATAAATAAACACCTCCCCCGAATCAAAAGGTCATCCCATATATACGTGTCCTGAAGCAAAACGACGAAACTATAAAGAAATGGGCATGCCATTATGTAGCAATTGACGTTCAATTAGAAACACCCAATCTTTCCACTCAAACGAAAAATGTTACCACTTCCATACGCTGAACATTGTACACTTTATATCTTGAGAACTGGCACGAGAAGTCCATTAGCCACAACGCTCACCTGGTTAGTTTGGTTCTGTTGTTTTTCACTAGATTTCCCTCTATTGTGGCCATGCCCTACTCCCAGGGATCATGATTTGAACAATCTAGAATCTACACTACCCCAAGGACGCCACCACATAAGTTTCAGCTTATCTAGCCAGTGGCTCTTAGGAGATTGAAAAAAAAGATCCCTACATATTTTATTGTAAAAAATGGGTTCCCTATTGTAGCCCAGTCCTTCCCCTGATAAATTTATGCTTTTTAGCATTTGCTCAGTTTGTCTAAGAATATTATGAAAAATACCAGCATTACATATTAATTGACCTTGACCTTTGATCTGCTTTGCTAAAAAGCTCTGGAGATTATGATGTTTTTTTGAATTTTTAAAGGTAGGATTTTAATTACTGTATAATATAGCATTTAAATCATATGTTCATTAGCTTATGATTGCAGACTAACAACCGCTGTAAAGACATTCTGCTAAATTTTTTCTTTGGAAGATTGTTGGATTAACACATTACAAAACATAAAACAAGAGGCCTATGAGCCACATCGCTCATCTGAGTTTCTTTGGCCATTCTTTGGCTGGTTGTTCAAAAATTGATTAAATTTAACACAGTGTTAAGTTTAATCAATTTTTGAACAACCGGCCCCTGTTCTTTAACAGATTTTCCCTTTTAATACCTATTATGACCCCATCCTATTCCAGAAGTACTGATTTAGACAATGTAAAATATATATTAAACTGACCCAGGTGGTTCTTGAGAAGAAGATTTTAAAAGTTTTTCCCTAATATTTTAATTAAAAACTTGGATTCCCTTCTGTGGCCTGACCTACCCCTTGGGGTCAAGATTTAAACAATTAAGAATCTATATACACTACCCAAGGATGCTTTCACATAAGTTTCAACTTTTTTTGTCCCAGTGGTTCTTGAGAAGATTTTCTAATGACCCCACCCTATTTTTATCTTTTCTTGATTATCTCCCCTTGGAAGGAGACTTAGTCCTTCATTTTAACAATTTAAACTCCCCTTCATCCAATAATGCTTTGTGCTTAAGATTTGTTAAATTGGCCATGTGGTACTTGAAAATGTGAAAAGTTTACAGACGGAACGACAGACAGCTAGACTGATGGACAGCAGAGAACAAGCAATTAGAAAAACTCACTTGAGCTTTTAGTCCACGTGAGCTAAAAATATTTATGTCTAAATGATTTGAATTTCATTTCAACTTTGAGGGTAGTTGATTATATATCTGAAAATCTATCACAGTGTTACTTTCTGTGGATTTTTTAAAAAAAAATTTTATGTAACAAATAAATAGCTGACTACAATAAGACATGTCTGCATTTTTAATGATGTTACAAAGCAACAGGACAACACGACCATTCTTGGAACACTCCAGTTTAAACAATATAAGTTGAAAGGGTTACTTAATATTCTTCATATTATATTTTGGAAATGTTTTATTTCTAATACTTAATTTGTAATAATTTTATAAAGGCTCTTAACACTGCATAAAAAAAGATAACTTTGATGTAAACAAGAATAAACTTAATTTACTGTATAGATTTTTGTTTATTATATTAGCATAATGTGGGGCCAAGATACAATATTCATGCATTATTTGTAGTACACTGTGTGTTCAACAAGCAAGCATTTCTTTCATTCACATTCAGTTACTTTTAACTTTTTTCCAAAGGAAAAAATCTGTTAACTGCATTGATAATACATGCATATCTTTTATGATTTGATTTCCTCTAACACAGTCCCCTCCCCTTTCCAGTATTTCCCTGGCTTAGAGCTTCCCTGAGTGCAATGATGTCATAATACATGTGTATAAACAAATTCTTCAGACATTTTCACACAGCTAAAACGAATTGTGAGTCAAGGAAATTTAAACTGTTAACATATGAGATATTACAGCTTTATTACAGTTTAACTGTCTCTAACATGTAAAAATAACAGTCACATACAATGTATTTGCTTTATTTAACCAGCTGCATCACTCACAGCTTTGTTGTAGGAATGTTCAATTTCATGCCATACATACTTAATTTCATTCTTGCTATTCTTTCAAAGTATTGACTTTGTACATAGAAATCTTGCAAATGATTGTTAACAGAGAATATATGACTCTCGTACAAGGTGTTTAATGGCTAACAGTACTATACATCACTTTTTATGCCAAAAGACTTTATTTTAGCATGATTAAGCAAGAAGATCTGCTTGCAAAAATGTTATTCTTTCGTATATTTTGAATAGTACATATTATATACAAAAATTATCAAAAATGTTGTCTTCCTTATGAATACAAAATGCCTTTCCTGCTAAAATAAGGTGTTGGAAAATTAAAGTGATCTACAGTATACATGTACATGTATATATAATTCCGATTTATCCCAGTCTATGCCCCCCGCCACCAGCTGCCCTCCTCTGACCTCCTGCCTGGCCAGTGGCCTGACTAGACATTACGACAAGAAACAGAACTGCTCCAAACAAAAGTCCAGGGAGTCCAAACAAGAGAGTAGCAAGAATCATCCCCACTGTAGCAATAGGCTCTACCACATAGGGTCCTACACTGAAACGGGGTATTCCCAGGTCTAGGAGTTTTTGGTTAATTAGTGTGAACACTGAAACTTGTCCGTCACCTTGACCCAGAAATCCTCTTCCTGCTCCAGGCTGCTGATCACTATCATGTTGCACAAAACCCTTTAAGGGAAAAAAAAGAGACATGATAATTAATTTATAAATATTCCTAAAATATCCTTATTTCTATAGGGAGTAGTTTCCCATGGGAGCTCAAGTTATAGACTTATTTTCTCTGTGGGTGTCCCTGATAAAAATCAGTTCAAAACAAGAGGCTCATGGGCCATCATGCTCATCTGATTGTCAGTCCATTGTCCTGCTTTTCTTCAGAGGTTGATTTTTGAAATATCACCCAATTTTTTCAAGTGAAAATGTTTTCCAAATTGTGCTTCTCTCTAAAGGCTTAAGAGTTGTAATTTGACCAGCCTGAATGCAGGCAACATTTAGATGCTTTATTAACCTGCTAATATCAGATATGAATGTGCTGTTCTATAAGAAATTTTCAGATTTCTTTTTTTTATCAATGGTCATTGATTTTCAACATCTCCTAGGTAAGGACTGTAATTTGAAGGAGAAAGTGACACAGACAGACCAGATCAGATCAAATTTGAGTGAATGCAATTCACATGAGTCAATACTGGTTCCACCTTGATGTGACCCCACCCTACCACCAATGGTCATTTGGACAATTAATTTAGAATCTACACTACCCAACATCCCCAATGGTGCTTCCACATAAGTTTCATCTTTTCTGACCCAGTGGTTCTTGAGATGAGGATTTTTGAAAGATTTTTCCTATATATTTCAATGTAAAACTTGGATTCAACAATGATTTCCTATTGTGGCCCCACCCTACCCCAGGAGTCATGATTTCTACAATTCAGCATTAACACTATCCAAGGATGCATTGATCCATATGTTTCAGTTTTTTGGCCTGGTGGTTCTTAATTAAGAATATTTCTAAAGATTTTTTTCTTCAATGTATATATTTCAGGGGTTGATTTTAACAATATAAATCTTGGATTACCCAAAAGGACCCAAAAGGAACCCAAAAGGACCCAAAAGGACCCAAAAGGAACCCAAAAGGACCCAAAAGGAACCCAAAAGGAACCCAAAAGGACTCGAATTAATATATTATAATACATTGAAAATTAATAATTTGAATTAAATTATGAATATTATATTATAAATTTACCTAAAAATTGGCAAAAACATACATTTATATTGTTTCAACTTTTCTTAAAGAAATAACATACGACTTTTATAACACATCAATCATTAAATTTAAACTTTGATTTCTTTTAGCTGAATTTAACAAAGTGCACTGTATTATTCTATTAATCCTTCTGTTTTATTATATCTTATTATATGATATTTGATAAATAAAGAAATAAGTTTATTTAATGAAATGTTCAAGGCATATGGTATCGGGGATGGGTGGGGGTGGGGGATGGGGGGGGGGGCTCCCACCTCAACCCAAACACGCACTTTACCCTAGTTTTAGTTTTAATAAAATATGAAAGTATTCATTATATATCCATTTAATCTCTTTATTTCATGTCCTTTTGGGTCGTTCTTAATTTCCTTTTGGGTCCTTTTGGGTTCCTTTTGGGTCCTTTTGGGTCCTTTTGGGTTCCTTTTGGGTCCTTTTGGGTTCTTTTGGGTCCTTTTGGGTCCTTTTGGGTAAATCGACGCACCGAATCTACACTATCCAAGGATGCTTCCACATAAGTTTAAACTTTTCTGGCTCAATGGTTCTTGAGAAGAAGTTGAAGAAGTGAAAAGTTTACAGACAGACAGATGGACAGCTAGACAGACAGACGACGGACAATGGGTGATCAGAAAAGCTTTCAGCTCAGGTGAGCTAATAATGTGAATAAAACAAAAGTACCTGCCGTGGCCTTGGGGAGTTACTTCCCCTGTTTCCGGCTGCCTGTTGGGCCCTGGGGTCATCATCTGGTACTATGTCTCCATTACTTAGAATTCTGACCATCGCAATCAGTGCTGTATCAGGCAAAGAAAACAATGAAATGCAATCTGATTACAGAATCATCTGCTGGGAATGACGAGTCTGCATATTGTCAGATTGTTGTTACATTATTCATATAAAAATACAGCAATATCACAATATCATATTCATAAGAACTGTGTCCTTAATTGTTATTTAAATCATTGTTATTTTGAATATTAAAAAGGAAATTGCAATTTTAACCATACCTTTGCGTTTTAGTGAAATTTATTGTAGGCTAAATAAATGAGACGTGTATGTTTACAATCCACATACTGATCTTACCTTACTCGCAAAGAAGAGTTCCACATACCTACTGTTTCCTGTTTACTGACTAGCCGCTAGATTGATTACTTTCCCTACATTTATTAAAAGTATGTATTTATGCATGTATAGGTCACCACAGTATAGCAAGGTGTTGTATTTTTTTGAGTTTTGTTTAAATGACATATCTTACGTTTGAAGGAAGAGTTAATACTTTGTTTTGCAGAAGAGGTGTGTCAATATTAGGTGATATCACTACGGCTAAGTGCTACTTTAGACATTGAGCCTCCATTCTCTCTATTGAATTTGATTTTTTTTTAATGAAATTCTATAATAATAATAATAATGATGATGAATGGCTTTTGTCATGACATTCAGAAGCATAAATCTACAACATGGGGAAGCATAAGAAACATAAGCATGGACATCGAAGCAGCAGCAGCAGCAGTAGTAGCAGCAGCTCAAGCTCAGATGAAGAATTTAAACATCTTCCTAAAGCCGAGAGGAAAATGAGGAAGAAAATGAAGAAACAGATGAAAAAGGTTATTACATTTTACTATATGCCATTCCGCTAAAGCTATCTTTGTCCGTTTTTGGGGGGGATAGTCATTAGTGAATTCAATTTACCGGCCAATTTTTACCACTTATGGAAATCCCATATCCTCTGATTTTTGAGGTCGGGATAACAATGATAAAAGTGTTATTTTCAAATATCCTGTCTGTATTGAGTGGAAAAGTGAATGACCATAATTTCTGAACAGATGTACAGTAAAACTCATTTAGTGCAAACATGGATATTGCGAATTCATGGATATAGGGAAATTATCTTGGATCCCCAACTACACAAATTTAACAAATTCCTTATATGGATGTAACGAATTACGGATTAGCGAAGTAAATTTCCAGGTCCCAGTGACTTTGTTATAACCGAGTTTTACTGTTGTACCAATTTAATTAATGACCCTTGTGCGTAGGTAAATAACTATTCCATTATCTGTGATTTTAAGGGATAGGAATTATCCTTCAAGAAAAAGGAGACTATCTAGACCTCTTAGACTAAAAATTCAGTAGATTTGCCATGGGTCAACTTTAAATAATTGTAGCCAGTGGTCAGAACATCAAAAAGGACCACGTCTGGTATACTAGGTTCAATGATTTATTGAACATAGAAAAAAAAACCTGCAATTACACACAACATATAGACAACACATGGACAAACATTTAGACAGATAATTAAAGCATAATAGACTTTTCTTTAGAATATTTACATTTGCAAATGTTTTCCTTTATATAACACTACTGAAAGCATTAATGCGTATCTATAACTGTATATTTACATTTGCAAATATCTTTCTTAGATGAACCTATTGAAGAGAAAATATGTTCAATTCTGTGTGAATTTCATTTGGGGGTCAGAGGTCATAGCGCGACCGGATCACAGAGCGATGTGATATTTTGACCAAACAACTTCTAGGTCATTGCCCGTCACTACATTGCAATAAGTTTGCCCGTTCCTGTAATAAATACAATTTAACTTGAAATGTATTCGTTTCAAATGTAAATATAAGTAATAAACAACAATGTTAAAAAGTTCACTGGGAAATGAACTTTTAGTTGGTACGTGATCAAATCTACTGAGATGCCCTTCGGTCTTCACAGGATTTGATCACGTGACCAACTAAAAGTTCATTTCCCAGAGAACTTTTTAACATTGTTGTTTATTTCTTAAATAAATACAGGTATGGGGTCAAGGGGTCATAGATGTGCCTATAGATAAAGGTTCGACATAATTTCTCTGTGACGTCATAAAGGGTCGACGCACGTTCAGTAGATTACATACATGCCTTTGGGTTTGAAAAATAACGCATTTCACATGTTAAAAGTCACAATCAGGCAAATATAAAGTATGAATAAGTCACAAATGTAAATATAAGTAATAAGGTATCATTTTTAAACATATATTGGGCTATAAATACGGGTTGGTACAAGATTAAATTCATCATTAAGCCCTTTGGGCTTTATGGAATTTAATCTCGTGACCAACCCGTATTTATATCCCGATTGATGTTTAAAAATGATACCTTATTTCTTAAATATATTGCATAAATTTATCTTACCGGGACACACACAAGAATCACAAATATTACTGTCTGTATATTGGTAAACATCTAATCCATTCAACAGCTAGGCTAAGAGTGCCCGATGTTAGTTTGTGCAAGTGGGAATTCAGTGAATAGTATTAAGTCATGTGACCGTCTGTCCTGTGTCTAAAAATAACAACTACCTCATTCACACATACAACATTCTCACATATTCGCAGCGCAACTATATATAGCATTGAATAATACATAAAACTGGTTGCATAATTATATTTTAATACTTATTTTTCCAGTAAGCTACAGTGTCATCACACTTTTTTATTACAATGTTGTTTGATTCTACCTGTTAAATTTGTAGGGAAAGATGCCTCATGGTATGGGAATGCCTTCAACCCATGGCTCTGTAAGTATCAGTTTTATGTGTGTTTATAATATATTTATCACATTAATTAGTGTTTGAAACTCATTTTAAAATTAGCTAGACATGCAGGGCTGACTGCTAGTGAAAGTTGTCAGCCCTGCCAAAAATGTACCAGCCTGAAAAAAAATTGTCTTTACTAAGTTTGTTTTAGCAATGATGTGAATCATGTGATGGGCATCTCACCATATATTTGATCTGGGGTCTATAGGCTAAGGAATTCTACTCGTTTGCTTGTTACACTTTGCAACCAGTAATAATAGTTGATTTGAGAGAGTTTTATCAAATATCTGTCTTTTTTAGGTCACCTGAGTTACTCAGGTGACCTATTGCTATCCGTTTTCGTCCGTCGTCGTGCGTCATGTTTTGTGTGTTGTGTGTTGTGCGTCGTGTGTTAACATTTGAACATTTTCAGCTTCTTCTCTGAAACCGCCGCACCAATTTCAACCAATTTTGGCACAAAGCATCTATGGGTAAAGGGGAACACAAATTTTGAATTTTGTGGTCCCCACCCCCCTGGGGCCTGAGGGGTGGAGCCAAAACCACGAAAATTAGTGCGATGTTTAAAAATCTTCTTCTATACTCCTGGACATCAAGCAGGCAAACTGTTGGCATGAATGTAATGAGCATAGAGTCCTCTACCAAAATTGTGAAATTCATGGCCCCAGGGTCAGGGGTTCTAGTGCTAGGGCAGGGCTATATAGATCATATAGTGAAAATGCATAATTTCTTTGAAAATCTTCTTCTCTGCTCCTGGGTATTAAATAAACTGACCAAGCACATAGTTATGATGAGCAAGATTGCCTCTTCTAAAATTGTGAATTTTATGGCCCCAGGGTCAGGGGTTCTGGTGTTAGGGCGGGGCTCTATTGGTTATATATATAGTGAAAATGCATAATTTCTTTGAAAATCTTCTTCTCTACTTCTAGGTATTAAATAAACTAAGTAAGTACATAGTTATGATGAGCCAGAGTGCCTCTTCTAAAATTGTGAATTTTGTGGCCCCAGGGTCATGGGTTCTGGTGTTAGGGTGGGGCCCTTTTGATTATATGGTGAAAATGCATTAATTCTTTGAAAATCTTCTTCTCTGCTCCTGGGTATTGAATAAACTAACCAAGCACATAGTTATGTTGATCAAAAATCCTCTTTCAAAATTGTGAACTTTATGGCCCCAGGGTTAGGGGTTCTGGTGTTAGGGCGGGGCTCCATTGATCATATAGTGAAAATGCATTAATTCTTTGAAAATCTTCTTCTCTGCTTCTGGGTATTAAATAAACTATGTAAGTAAATTGTTATGTTGATCAAGAGTGCCTCTTCCAAAATTGTGAATTTTATGGCCCCAGGGTCAGGGGTTCTGGATCTTAGGGCGGGGCTCCATTGATCATATAGTGAAAATGCATTAATTCTTTGAAAAAATCTTCTTCTCTGCTTCTGGGTTTTAAATAAACTATGTACCGTAAGTAAATAGTTATGTTGATCATGAGTGCCTCTTCCAAAATTGTGAATTTTATGACCCCAGTGTCAGGGGTGCTGGTGTTAGGGCGGGGCTCTATTGATCATATAGTGAAAATGCATTAATTCTTTTAAAATCTTCTTCTCTGCTCCTGAGTATTAAATAAACTTAGTACATAGTTATGAAAAGCAAGAGTGCCTCTTCCAAAATTGTAAATTTTATGGCCCCAGGGTCAGGGGTTCTGGTGTTAGGGTGGGGCTCTATTGATTGTGTAGTGAAAATACATTAATTCTTTGAAAATCTTTCCTTTGGTCCTGGGTTTTATGCCAGTGATCCAAGTATATATATTTATGATGAAGAAAGGCGCATCTAGCAAAATGCATATTTTTTATTCTCCCCCCATCCTCCCTGGAAAGGGGGTGAGGGGGAGGGGGTACAAAGTCTGAAAATAAATTAATGCTTTGAAATCTGCTCTTTGGTATTAATCAACTATTTTATGATAAAATTTGCAAAATTTTGAAATATGTGGCCCCAGGATCAGTGGTTCCTTTGGGATGAGGTGCACAACTGGTTATAAAGTGGAAGTGCATTTTCTCTTAATGTTACTCTGATCTACCTCTGGGTATTAAGTAAATAGAGTAAGCATGCTAAGTCTACAGTTATGATAAGCAAAGGTGCCTCTTTCAAAATTGTGAATTGCAAATTTCATGGCCTCTGGTTTAAAACACGAACCAAATTTAATTGTTTGAAAGTTGTTGCACAATACTCAGGTGACCTATAAGGCCCGTGGGCCTCTTGTTATTTTAATTAATGGAAAATTTTAGACGTCCAGCCTGGCGTCACTACGTGCAAATCTTATCGTCCGTGACAAAATTTGTGCGTCTCGGGCGGTCGGGCACACGGTTATTTCAAACACTCTTAACAAACAATTTTGCTTTTAAAGTAAAAATAAAGGGAAATAAACATTGGTCACACTCATTGTAGGGTTACCCAGGAGTAGTGGTCTCAGGTGGTGGTGGATACCCAGCAGGAAGTTACCCCCCAGGCCAGGGGGGCATGCCACCAGGTGGCGCTGGGTACCCAGCGGGCGGAGCAGGCTATCCGTCAGGTGGGGCAGGTTATCCAATGGGTGTTGCTCCAGCACCTGGGGTGCCACCACCTGCGGGATATTCAGCTGGTGGATTTGTTCCAGCTGGCGGTGCCCCGGGGTATCCTGCCCCCCCTCAGCCTTCCTACCCCCAGGCACCCGGGGGAAGTTATCCAGGTATTTTTGGTCTTATTAATTTATTTTCAGTTTCATATTACATGATATTTTTATACATGTTTATTTTCTCTAGCACAAATACAGGTATAACAGACATGTATCAAAAAAATCAGCTGGAGGTGGGAGATGGGATTATTCCTGAATGCCTCATAATGTTGACTGCTAAAGCTTTAATTTCTCAGATTTTTTGATTTCTGCAATAGGATATGATAGCATATACATTTACAATGTGAACTTGCATGGAGTATGATACAACAACAAAAAATGTTTATAAAAATAAGTGCTTTTTCGAAATGCAAGATTTGGAGTAATGCATACATATTAGGGATGTCAAATCGGTCAATTTTTATTACTCGGTTACTCGGAATCGAGTAACGGTAAAGTGTAAATAAATAGGAACAAGTTAATTGATATCTGTAAAACATGGTAAAGTCTTGTAGAAATAAAACCGATGGGAGGTTACCTGCAAATGCGTTGTAACAATTATGACCACTTTGTACCCGACAAAATTTTTTTTAAGTTCAATTTATTTATCAGGTAAATATGAGAAATAATATCATAAATTGTTCACAGTGTTTTTGTTTCAAAAATAATCAGTTCTGTTCCGTAATTGTAATATAACTCTTTGATGCCTTTGACGCCCAAGTGAAAAGTTGTCAGAGCTACATGTACGGTATAAACTTGATCAAGTAATCCTATAACAGAGAGGATTTATACGATCTTCGTACACTTTTTGATCCGAGATTTCATAGAATTACGATACGGTATGTTTTAGTTCGGAGCAACTATGGACATAACATTTTTAAAGCATTTGCTTTCAACCATTTGCATTAATTGGCATGAAATCAAACGCATATCAACAATCGCACGTGCAATATCGTGTGTCTTTCCCCGAGAATTTACGGCTTCTTGGAGAATTGACAAAATTATTTAATTTATTTAAATACAATGGACCTTAAATGATGTTCAATGAAAACAAATAATTAAGCAAACTAAGCATAAGGGTAGAAGACAGTCGAAGGTGAGAAAAGCCAGGTAGGTACATCAGGTGTTTGGTCACGGTAATTACTGTATAAACACTGCCACTGGCGATAACGGTCATATAGGAAACCCTAATTACTGTATGTACAAGTGCAATGAACATTTTACGTTTTAAAATCGATGTTATAATGCATTAATAAATATGTAAGCTAAGAAATATTTAAAAGTATACTGTAGACGTCCTTTTTTCCACGGGGTCATAATTCCGCGGATTCTCAATTTCTGTTTTATTCGCTGGTAGAAAATTACGCGGATTTCTTAAACTGTCACTATAAATCTTACATTTATATCAATTTCCGCGGAAAATTTGTGACCGCGTACATAGCGTAAATTAATCCCACGCGGAAAAAAGTACTTCTACAGTACATCCGAGTAATCGAGTACCGATTTTAGTATTCGATACTCGGACGTTTGAACGAGTACGAGGTTAACCGGGTATGAAAGAACATGTTATATATATCAGGAAACTCACTCTGTATTAACAGTGTATATACACTCAAAGCTTGAGGGCCTGTAACATTGAATCAACTGTTTTGAGTTATTTTGTTCATTACTTTGATAAACTTTTAACGTATATTACCCTCAACATATTCCTCTTCTTAATCCATGAATCTGATATTTTTCTCTTTCCAAGGACAAGTACCACCTCCTGCTCAATACCCTGGTGGTAAGTACTAATCTGTACACTAGTGTACAGGCTAGTGTTACTAAAGCTACTATACAGACTAGTGCATGTACAAATATACTGAAAGAAAAAAGAAACGCATAATAGCATAATAGCGAAATATATTTAACTATATAGCCGAAAATTATGAAAATTGGTCAAATGTGTATTTTGATTACTTTGCACTAAAATCGCTGGTCAAAATTACTCAACCATGAAATGTATGGCGTCACGTAGGGGAAATGATAACAAGCCAAAAACACGTGCATGTTGATGATGACAATTTTATGATCACATTTTGTGGTGCTAACGACATTGGAGTTATAGACATCGTTTTATTTGCAATCAGTATAAATTTTGCAATTATGGTAAACTGGTTCCAGCAATTGAATTGCGTAAGTGAATAAAAAGGCAACAAGATGTTGCTGTGCAGTTTGTTTTAAACTTTTCAACAAAAAAAGGTTTTTCAGTTGTCAGAGAGTAAATTAAAAGATTTCCAACCAACCATGGCGGTGACGTTGACGCGTAACAACGTCACATCACGACAGGGCTTTTCATCATGTAACCTCGGTTGTTGTCAAGGTTTTATCACTGAAGCCGATATTTATACAGCAAACTATCATACCAATTTTTTCACCCTAAAATGACAGAAATTCTCTGCTCTTATTTGGTCCTCGGGCTTAGCAACTTTTACGTCGATTTTACTCTCACGCTCGCACGTACGCGTCGTGTGCGTAATGTTTTTAGCATGTTCACACTGGGAAAATGTAGCCAGTGTTTGTCGAGACTTTCTCACAAACATTCACGTGTACCAAACCAGCTAGATTCTGTAAATTCTATCCTAAAATGAAAATTCGTGGCACTCATTTGGCGGGGGGATTTGTTGGCTTTGGAATAATACAGCTTCTATCAATCATTAAGACTATTGTCGGAAGAGTTGAATAATAATCAAATGAGAAAGATAAATGCTCTGGTGAACTCAATGCACAGGAAAATCAAGGCTGTTACCAATGTGCAAGGGAGATGATGAGAATTTTCATTTTAATTATGGGGGGTATCGACATATCAATTTCAATAACTCAGGAATTATCAGTCAAAGTCACACAAGATTTTGGCAACTTGTAGATTAAAATGAATTAAAATGTTTGATAACAATACTGGAAAACATTTTCGAAATAATAGTTTTAATTTAATTTAAAAGTAAAATATGCGTTTCTTTTTCCTTTCAGTATACATCAAAGTCACTAGTGCATGATGTATATAAATTATATATAATTATGTTAACCCACCATACGGTACTAGTGCATGCTCTTACACACACAGTGTATACATGTATTATGTTTAAAAAAGTACATACTAGTGCATGCTTAAAGTACTACACAGTAACATTTTAAACAGTTATTACTGCACTATTACCAGTACTGAAACAGATTAACATAGATTTAGTATACATGTATTACCTTACATGAAACTTTTTTTAGGAAGGGCAGGGGCAAGGGGATTAGTTACATTGCTATAGATGGGTAATTTTTTTAGTTCATAAGATCTAGATAAAGACTTAGGATTTTGAAAACTGTTATAATGTTAAAATTTAGACAAAACTTTTAAAGACATCACATAGAGTCTTTAATACCCAATTGGAGTCACAATGATTTCAGAGCTTATTCTTCTTTTAATATTCTTTTGAACTTAATTGATTATCCTAGAAATTACAAGAGACTTCTAGAGATACATAATATATTACACAAGTTCACATAAGTAATAACTAGAAGCACAGTATAGTAACAAAAATATGTAACCTTGCTCACAGTCCCCTCTGTGTAGTACACAGGCAAACCAAGAAACAGAAACATCCAGTTAACTGATTATTAGTAACAATTTATCTGATGTCAGAAATGTCCTTATTTAAAAATAAAAGGCCAAATTAAATACTGCGGCCCAGTGGTAAAGTATAACTGAGTTTCTGTTTCCATTGCAGGCTACCCGCGGTAGTGACATGCTTTCTGCTATATACATGGAAGGTCTTGATACCGACCTACATATACAATATACCTCATAACATAAAGGTGGAAGTTTAGGATATCGTCCCGCATAATGCTAGTCTTGGGAGTTTAAAGATTAGCTCTTCTGATTTATTTTTCTACAAACTGTGCATGACTGCTGTTTAATGTTGTGATAAGTATCTGTTATACATTTAGTTTTTTTTTAATTTTTGACTTGTTACCAAATGAATGTTAATTTCTTGATAATTTTTAATTAATGGTTAGAATTTAACATTAACCTTTATTGAATGTTATTTTGTTTTTTGTAAAATTCTTTTTATGAAAAGCTATACAATTTTCTATTTTAATGCAATATTTTTATCATACTATTTCTAGAATATGTTCACCGGTACTTATTTGCTAGTCATACTAATATTTGTAGGGGGAAAAAATTGTAATTTTTTTTAAATAAATAAAAATCAGATATGCTAAATTCAATATTCAATTGTATATAATGATTTATTAAATTTCTTTGTCATTTGAAGGTGTGAATAAATTTTCTTTTTTAAAAAGTTAGTTTATGTTATTCTGAGCATATATTAATAAACATGTAAATACAGAATGGCAATTGTTACATTTTGGTAGAGGTTTACTTGTATTTTAAATGATTTAAATAATATTTGTCTCTTAGAAAACTATGCAACAAAGAAAAATTCATAGATTTCATTTAATTCAATCTAAATAGTTCTGCAATAATTTTTATTTATGAATTACCAGTATTCAACTGTGATATTTTATAAACATCATTGTACAAATATGTGTGAAGGTACAAGTCATTTTCAAAATGAAAGAATTTTGCAGTGTATATCTCAAATTCTGCACAACTGTTACCTTAACAATCTACCATTAATTTATACTTGTATTTTCATGGTGAAATTAAAGTTGCATGCTCTTGAAAACTGAACTACAGAATTAAGAAAAATTTACTTGCATTACATAGGATTTTAAATTGATATTATGAAATATAGATTTTGTTTGAATGATTCTAGACAATAAATCCAGCAGAAAGTTTTTTATTTAATCTTTTTTTGAGATTCTTACTGTGGTAAACCAAAGGTGAAAGAAAGTTAATTTATCTTGGCAACTAAATGTATAAACGCAAACAATATGGAATACTTGAGTTTATGGATGTAACAGTGTATAAAGGCCTTGTCAAGAGAAAGGAAAAAATGAGACAGAATTAATAAAAAGTATACTAATTAATACATAAGAACTAGGGATGTAAACCAAAGGCTTTAATCGAACGATAGGTTTAATTTTATTTTTTTTCATATTATTTTCAATTTAGCTAGTTTACAATATACTACGCTATCAATATTATACAACGAATTTCTGAATTGTAAACATGTATGTATAAAAACACAAATCCAATGTATTGGATTTCAAAATTTATATATTATGCACATTTTATCTAAATTATGGATGTCCTTTCTTTACATAACAGTGCCCATAATTGAAGCCAAAAGTCCGTTGTCTTTGAAGTAAACAATTAAAGAAAGGAAAAAAATGAAATTTTGTGCAAACAAACAATAATTGTATGAAATTAATATAAAAAGCATACTGACCCCAATTTATATGTATACGATTTTGTAATAGTTTTTTAATTAATACTTTTTTGAATAGTTGTATTAATGAATTTACAAAACTATATTTTGACAATCATTAACAAACATGTTTGATTTTCTTTAATCCGTTTTTTATTTTTTTGGTCCGGAGAACTTACTTTAGGAAAGATTTATTTAAAGACTGTGTATACATTATGTTTGATTGATTCGGCATATGATACATCATGTTTGATGTTACACTGCAGAATTCAAAATTACTTTGATGAAACACATTTTTAACGAATAACCGACTAAAGAAATTCTAGTCGATAGTCGGTATGATCGAACGATAGTCGAGTACTCGAATATTCGTTGACATCCCTAATAAGAACTGATGCTTATGAATGTTTATATTTTGCACAAAAACTTTAATTATTCCTTACTTTAATTGCCTTAGCCATAATTCCTCATAATTTTGCCTTTTGCAATGTCAAGGATCCAGCTTCATAAAACTACAAGAGGCTTGTAAACACTTGCAAGGGAAAGTAGTATTGACAATTTGTAGGATTGAGAGTGGGAGTCAAATATTTTGGACTTCATATTTCTGGTATTTTGTCTTCAAATTAAAACAAAATTACTTCAAATGAAAACAGGATCTTTTTACTACTTCATTCTGAAATATTCTTTGTAATCTTTGTAAAGTAGAACCTTATTTTAGGACCATGCACCAGTACATAAATGCAAGTTCTAACAAACCCTAAAATATGATGACAAAATAGATAAAGTGCTTATTCATATAGTTTTAAATCTTTAATTTTCAAGGAGCCCAATCAGCTGGTTACCCTGGGCAACAGCCAAGTCAAGGTGGTTACCCTGGGCAACAGCCTACATCCTCCAGTGGTTACCCAACACAGGCCGGTTATCCTACCCAGCCCGGGGGTTACCCAGGGCAGCAACAGGCTGGAGGTTACCCCGGGCAACAACAGCCTGGAGCTTACCCAGGGCAGCAGCCTCCACCTGCACAGGTGGGGGTACCTGGACAGCAGTCATATGCTCCTCAAGGACAACAGGGATATGGACAGGTAAACTGAATTATAAAACTTTTCTTACCTTAGATGATTTATTATGCTCTGCTGGGTAGTTTTGTCATTATGTGGATGATTATATTTTCATTATACATCAGCAGACACCAGGAGGAGTGGCTTCTGCCACAGCAGGAATGGGTAACATGCAGATAGGAGGGGGAGCCATGGGAGATATTCCACGCCCGACGATTCGACCAGCCAATCCATTCAACTGTGAGAGAGACACTCAGGTCCTCCGAACTGCCATGAAAGGATTAGGTACTGTATAATAAAAAAAGTATAATTTAATTAAAAAAACATGCAAAGTTAAATATGATTTTTAGTTTTTTCCTAATCGATTTTTCAGTTGTTGAAATTTATACACCAAGTAAATCAAATGTCAACAAATTTATTTTAGATAAATTATCATGGGAAATATCTGATTATATTAAAATAAAAATTATTCATAAATTGGTGTGTCTTCCCTGATAGATTAAGGTTTATCATTGTTCAGCATTAAAATTAGGATACTTGAATGATGAGTCAAAGATACAGCATTAAAATTAGGTACGATATTATTACTTTTGGCCAGCTAGATTATGAATCGGTAATGTTTTGTAGGCACTGATGAGAAGGCCATTATAGATGTAATCAGCCATACATCTAACAAACAAAGACAGGAAATTCTCATCATGTTCAAAACCATGTATGGAAAGGTTTGTAAAATGTCCCCATTTTTAGTTCACCTGAGCCGAAGGCTCAAGTGAGCTTTTCTGATCAAAATTTGTCCGTTGTCTGTCGTTGAAGTCGTTGTCGTTGTCGTCGTAGTCGTCGTAAACTTTTCACATTTTCATCTTCTTCTCAAGAACCACTGGGCCAATTTCAACCAAACTTGTCACAAAGTATCCTTGGGTGAAGGGGATTCAAGTAACGCCCTTTTGTCATGAATTAGAGAAAAATTAATGGCAGTTTTAAAAAACTGAACCATGAGAAGGCCATGACCCCCGGGGGTAGGGTGGGGCCAAAATGGCCAATTAAGGTTTTACATAGGAATATATAGAAAAAATCTTTAAAAAGCCAGGAAAGATGAAACTCATGTGGAATCATCCTCAGGTAGTGTAGATTCAAATTTGTGGGGCCAAAATGGCTGATCAAAGTTTTACATATGAATATATATAAAATTTTTTTAAAAATCTTCTTCTCAAGAACCACTGGGCCAGGAAAGATGAAACTCATGTGGAATCATCCTCAGGTAGTGTAGATTCAATCAAATCAAACAAAGACAGGAAATTTACATAGGAATATATCAAAAAATCTTTAAAAGGTTTCTCAAGAACCACTAAAATGTCCCCAGTTTGTTTTAAAATGAAAAGTTTTACATAGGAATATGTTGATTTCAGAGGTATAACGTTATTTTTGTTTTTCAGTAAACTTTCAGTTCTGATCTGATATGTGCTTTTTCCTAGCCAATTGCTCTGGACCTTTTGTTTTAAATGAAAGTTCACCTGTTGATTTCAGAGGTATAATGTTATTTATGTTTTTCAGGATTTGATTTCGGATTTGAAGTCTGAATTGTCAGGGGATTTGGAGGAATTGATTCTTGCTTTGTTTAAGTCCACTGACTACTATGATGCATGGTGCCTGAATAAAGCTATGAAGGTACATGTACATACAACACCATGAAATTAATTTATATCCAGAATTAAAAATTACAAACAGATACATGGATAGGTACATGTATTACAGTGTAGCTGGTATGAACATGTAGATGCAGATATGTTTATATGTATGTGTATGTATGTATGAGGTTAATTTCATACAATTAATTCCATATGTTGAACTAAATATACAGATGTTTGCATGGTACTTGTAATATTATTTAAAAGTATGACAACAATTTCATTTTGATGTTATGTTTTTCAGTCAGAGGTCAATTTTATTTTTTTTTTTTTTTAATTTGTAGGGAGTTGGAACCAGGGAATCAATTCTGATAGAAATTTTGTGCACAAGAACAAATGCTGAGATCAGAGGCATCAAAGCCGCATACAAACAACGTAATGTATTCACATGAAACACACTTTAAAATAACTACATAATATGTAGTCAATTTATTAACTTTTTGATGTATATTCTTAAAAATATACTTTAATCAAAGAAATGAGAGGTGATTAAAATTATGAATTGTGATGGTTTTATAATATAGTTTTCTATGGTGAAGCAGTTATCAAAATATTCTGTACAAACCAGGTCAAAGTTGCTAACAAATAATTCAGTGCTTTTACAATCTACTGCTAAGCACTCTATATTGTGTCTGTTATAGTCCAGCTGGTAAAAGGACTTGTGATTTGATTTTGGATTATGTTCGTGTTTTCAGACTTTGGTCGAGAGCTGGAGGCAGACTGTGTAAATGAAACAAGCGGACATTTCAAAAGGCTGCTAGTGTCGTGTTGCCAGGTAACCAAAGAAATTTTTAGTATTATATTTTTAACACTGTATTTTAGATTTTCTTATTAATAACCATTATTCTGACAGAGTAACTAGTTTACCAATTGCAGATTTCCATCCCTAGGACATATATTTCTCCTTATTGTTTTATCCTGAAATTTATTCAATCAGGTACTTTCACTGATTTAATTAAAAGACCTTTTTCATCAATGCATTGCTATTCTTTACAAAAAAATCTGCTTTGTTGAATTGCAGGCAAACAGGTCGGAGTTGACAGACAGTCAAAGGCAGATGTTGATGCAGCGTGGGCCAGAAGCTGTGGTAGACCGGGCACAAGCCCAGCAAGATGCCCAGAAACTGTATGAGGCTGGCGTCAAAAAGTTTGGAACTGACGAGTCTGCTTTCTTGGCTGTTCTTTCAATCAGACATGAATTTCAACTGAGAGCCACATTTGAGGAGTACCAGAAAGTAAGAAGGGGGAAAAATGTTCTTTTTTGTATTTTGGTGTGCTTTACATGTGCTTATCCATAAAATGATTGCTAGTGTTTCAAAACTAGGCCAAAGTAAGTATCGAATATGAAACTGAATCTGGATTAAATACTAGTAAACGATAGTTTTGAAATTTCATTAACTTTTACATTTTATGTATTAATTTATGCTAACTAAAAGATATTCTAATAAATAAAAAAAAATAGTATAAAATTTCAAGGACCAACCAGAGGCTAAAAAGTACATTCACTGTAACTGTGTGTGTTTACTGTGTATTGTTTAAATAGTTAGGCTAGTTATGTTCCCCAAACGAAGTTGGGGAACATATTGTTTTTACTCTGTTTCTTATTATTATTATTATTTTTCTTCTTCCTGGGTACTTTTTTGTCTGGGAGTGATCTTGTAAACTACACATCCGACTTAGGTAAAACCTTTTTAGGGTCAGTAGGCATGTTATGTAGATTTGCGGACGAAGGTCATTTTGCGCGCACGTGCTTGCAAGAGCGTGCACGTGCAACACGTGAAATGACCGATTTAATTGATATAGGCGTAACTTTTCAAATTTTTGAGGAAATGCTTTGAAACTCATAATATAAGGATATATTAGTAGCACAGACAATATGACATGGTCAAAATAGCAAGCTCTCACGCGCATGCACGTGCGCTTCGCTCTGATTGGCTGAAACTAAAGTCTCAATATCTTTCTTGTTTTTTGACGAAATCCTTTGAAATTTCGAACATAGCCATACATTATAATATCCTACAACATGATATATAGCAATTATCATGAAAACACGTGCATGCACGTGCACTGCAATCTGATTGGCTTAAACTTTAAATAGCTATAACTCCCTTGATTTTCAACCAAACAGGACGGAATTTGGAACATAGATAGATATAATGGACTTCTACAAAAAGGTATGGTCACCATGCACATGCATCCACGTGCGTGTACATGCGCTGCAATCTGATTGGCTGAATTTTTAACAGGTATAACTCCCTTGGTTTTCAACTAAACAGGATGGGATTTAGAACATAGATAGATGTAATGGACTTCTACAAGAAGGTATTGGCACGTGCGTGCACGTGAAAAAAGTAAAATAAAAAATACACTTGAATGAGCGTATTTTTTAATACTTTTGGATTAGATACTTTAATATTTAGTATATCAAAATATATTGATTGTGTAGACAAGATGATATGGTCATTACGCACATGCATTCACATGCGCAAGCGTGCAATGCTTAAATATGAATGAACTTGGTACACTTCTGGGTAAACGTTGTTAAAGTCTTAAATGCAAAGAGTTTGTCCTATTTAATGAAGCCTCCAGGGAACATGGCACCAAAAGGGAGTTGTGGAGCGTTTGGGGAACATCTGTAACGGTCCCCGTTACAATTAGCACTAGTTTCTGCGTAATATATATTTTGCATGTTATTTCAAAAAACAGAGTTCCAGGCAAGATATTATTTAAGTGTCCTTGTACTGGCTTGCATTTTCAATACAGTACTATAAAATATAATTTTTATATTTTTAGCTCTCTGGAAAGGATATCTTGAGTTCAATAAGTTCAGAGATGTCAGGAGATCTTGAAGATGGATTTAAAGCAATAGGTATGCTAGATATGTTACTACATTTACTTATCTCATAATTCCCATGAAGCATTTAACATAGAACTTCGTGAATATATTGCATATTTGATGTTGGGAGTTGGTTTAACTCTATTTGAATGTATACATTCAATTTGTTTCTCCTCAGTCATGAGTGCAAAGAACAGGCCAAAGTTCTTCTCGGACAAGCTTCACAAGGCAATGAATAGGATAGGAACTGATGACTCCACCCTGATCAGGATCATTGTATCTCGCTCAGAGGTTAGACACCAATACTTAAGTAGCTGATAGACTCAGCAGTTATTATAGATGTTTCTCTTTTTCTTCTGTCTCAAAGAACAGAGAACTAATGTACATATTATATTCTCCATTCCATAGGATTAAAGTTCATTTGACAGTCTACTTTGTGTAGAGATTTCTATACAAGATGGAATCATTATAAAATTCTTTTTTTCTTTTCAGATTGATTTACAGAACATCAAGGATCAGTATATGAGGGATCATGGGAAGACCCTCCATGCCGCTGTATCCTCAGAGACCAGTGGGGACTACAAGAAACTATTGCTGGCTCTGATTGGCCAATAGACATCATACTTCTGATTGGCCAATAGATAAATTTATTGTTAACCTCTTACTTCTGCTAGGCCAATAGACAACACTTATAACCTCTTCCTTATCAAATTGACTGACATACGTTTCTTAACTTTTGAGAATGTATTGTTATGAAATTGAAAATTGTAAAGTAACTGTAAAACCTTGAAGTTTAATGCTAGCTTAAATAGGATATAGACTTATAGTTTATATACATATCTTTGTAACTTTTTATAATACCCTTGTTGTGCATTTATATATAATATGGAAGTTGTGAGGATTTTAATTCCATCCTTTTTCTTGTTTTTTTTTTATTAATTGGTTTCAAATTATTTACTGTAGTATACATTGATATTCATTAAAGGTACTTGGACACAGATTTGAAGTCAATATTTTCTCTATAATATTACAACTTATATATATTTTAATAGCATTTCACACAAAAATTAATTAAAAATCTTATTTCATTTAAAAGTTCTTATAACTTCAAATTTTTTGGCGGGTTTGATTGACACATCCTTGCACTTTCACAAATTTTAACCTTATTCTTAATCCTTAGGAAAAGTGGCAATCTTGTTGTGTATTTATGAGAAATATTAAAACTTTTATCCAGAAAAATAATTTTATTCAGAGTAAAATATTAGAAAGCAAAACTCTTTCACAAGTATCGTCATTCCGAACTAAGAGTTGTGTACAGAGTTTAGCAAATGGAGCACACTCGTGTTATGTACACAGTTTTTGTAAACAGGGCAGGAGTTCTGTTATTGTTTATGTTTACAATTCAATGGGTGCGTTCAAGCGTCACAGTCTGCTTACTTCAACTGCACCGACTGACAATATATTGTGTGTTTGTTTTGCTTTCGAACATGTCTACTCTGAATTTTCTGGATTGTAGTATTAATATTTTTCATTTATTCAAAACGAGATTGCCACTTTTCCTAAGGATTAAGAATAAAATCAATTTGTGAAAGTGCAAGGATGTGTCAATCAAACCCACCAAAAATTTTAAATTTTAATATCTTGAAATAAGATTTTTAATTATTTTTTGTGTGAAATGCTATTATATAAATATTGCATGTAGTTGAGTGTAACATTGAAAATTTTTACCCCAAGAAAACCATTGTCAACAGAGGTGCAGCTGAGGTTGACAATGGTTTTCGAGGGGTGAAAATGTTCAATGTTACACTCAACTATATGCTATATTTATTATATTATACTGAATGTTTTATATAAATACATATAACAGTGAACCGTGCGCGCATAAATTCTGCGCAGTCGGTATTTTTTGTAATACCACCTGTCGTTAAGCAATGTTGACTGTTGCTACGCAGGAGGGCGTGGCCTCATTATTCAGTGGGTAATAGTGTTTTTCAACAAATGTTTCTGGACGAATCAGATTCAAGTAATTTACATGAAAGTATAATATTAAAATATATAAGTCGTAATATTGTGGAGAAAATAATAACTTCAAATCTGTGTCCAAGTACCTTTAAATAAATTTCAAGACAGTTCAAGTGTATGAAATTTTTAGCTCTACTGGTCAGAGACCAGAAGAGCTTATGCAATAGTAATGCGTCCGTCGTCCGTCCGTCTGTCTAGCTGCATGTCCATCTGTCTGTCTGTCTGTAAACAATTTTTCAAAATGCTACTCCTCCTACAGTATTGGTCCAATTTCAATATACCTTGGCACACTAGTAGACTACAGTAAGATACATAAGTCTGTGCATCGGTTTTTGATTTCGATGAACGATGTTGCTGTGGTTACTAAAAATAGAAATTTCTGTAAAATTCTTTCAAAATGCTACTTCTCCTACAGTTTTGGTCCGATTTCAATATAACTTGGCACACAAGTAGACTATACTAAGATACATAATTCTGTACATCGGTTTTAGATTTCGATGAACGGTGTTGCCATGGTTACTAAAAATAGAAATTTCTTTGAATTTTATTCAAATGCTACTTCTCCTACAGTTTTGTCCAATTTCAAAATAACATGGCACACTAGTAGACTACACTAAGATACATAATTCTGTGCATCGGTTTTTTGATTTCCATGAACGATGTTGCCGTCAGGTTACTAGAAACAGAGAAAAAAAAAAGAAAGAAATTCTTTCAAAATGCTACTCCTCCTACAGTTTTGTCCAATTTCAAAATAACATGGCACACTAGTAGACTACACTAAGATACATAATTCTGTGCATCGGTTTTTGATTTCCATGAACGATGTTGCCGTGGTTACTAGAAATAGAGAAAAAAAATAGAAATTCTTTCAAAATGCTACGCCTCCTACAGTTTTGGTCCAATTTCAATATAACTTCGCACACAAGTATACTACACTAAGATACATAATTCTGTGCATCGGTTTTTGATTTTGATAAACGGTGTAGCCCTGGTGTTACTGAAAATAGAAATTTCTGTGAAATTCTTTCAAAATGCTACTTCTCCTACATTTTTGGTCCGATTTAAATATAACATGGCACACTAGTAGACTATACTAAGATACATAATTCTGTGCATCGGTTTTTGATATCGATGAACGGTGTTGCCCTGGTTGCTAAAAATAGAAATTTCTGTGAAATTCTTTCAAACTGCTACCCCTCCTACAGTTTTGGTCCAATTTCAATATAACTTGGCACACGAGTAGACTACACTAAGATACATAATTCTGTGCATCGGTTTTTGATTTTGATGAACGGTGTTGCCGTGGTTACTAAAAATAGAAATTTCTGTGAATTCTTTCAAAATGCTACTCCTCCTACAGTTTTGGTCCAATTTCAATATAACTTGGCACACAAGTAGACTACACTATGATACATAATTCTGTGCATCGGTTTTTGATTTCGATGAACGGTGTTGCCGTGGTTACTAAAAATAGAAATTTCTGTGAAATTCTTTCAAAATGCTACTCCTCCTACAGTTTTGGTCCAATTTCAATATAACTTGGCACACAAGTAGACTACACTAAGATACATAATTCTGTGCATCGGTTTTTGATTTCGATGAACGGTGTTTCCGTGGTTACTAAAAATAGAAATTTCTGTGATATTTTTTCAAAATGCTACTCCTCCTACAGTTTTGGTCCAATTTCAGTATAACTTGGCACAGAAGTAGACTACACTAAGATACATAATTCTATGCATCGGTTTTTGATTTCGATGAACGGTGTTGCCGTGGTTACTAAAAATAGAAATTTCTGTGATATTCTTTCAAAATGCTACTCCTCCTACAGTTTTGGTCCAATTTCAATATAACTTGGCACACTAGTAGACTACACTAAGATGCATAATTCTGTGCATCGGTTTTTGTTTTTAGCTCTACTGGTCAGAGACCAGAAGAGCTTATGCGATAGTAATGCGTCCGGCGTCCGTCCGTCTGTCTGTCTGTCTGTCTGTCTGTCTGTCTGTCCGTCTGTCTGTCCGTCTGTCTGTAAACAATTTTTCAAAACGCTACTCCTCCTACAATTTTAGTCTGATTTCAATATAACTTGGCACACAAGTAGACTACACTAAGATACACAGAATAGTGCATGGGTTTTTGATTTCAATGAACGGTGTTGCCATGGTTACTAAAAATAGAATTTTCTGTGAAATTCCTTTAAAACGCTACTCCTTCCACAGTTTTGGTCTGATTTCAATATACTTTGGCACACAAGTAGACTACACTAAGATACATAGAATAGTGCATCGGTTTTTGATTTCAATGAACGGTGTTGCCATGGTTACTAAAAATAGAATTTTCTGTGAAATTCCTTTAAAACGCTACTCCTTCCACAGTTTTGGTCTGATTTCAAGATAACTTGGCACACTAGTAGACTACACTTAGATACATAGAATAGTGCATCGGTTTTTGATTTCGATGAACGGTGTTGCCATGGTTACTAAAAATAGAATTTTCTGTGAAATTCCTTTAAAACGCTACTCCTTCTACAGTTTTGGTCTGATTTCAATATAACTTGGCACACAAGTAGGCTACACTAAGATACATAGAATAGTGCATCGGTTTTTAATTTCGATGAACGGTGTTGCCATGGTTACTATAAATAGAATTTTCTGTGAAATTCCTTAAAAACGCTACTCCTTCTACAGTTCTAGTTTGATTTCAAAATAAGTTGGCACACAAGTAGACTACACAAAGATACATAGAATAGTGCATCGGTTTTTAATTTCGATGAACGATATTGCCATGGTTACTAAAAATAGAATTTTCTGTGAAATTCCTTAAAAACGCTACTTCTTCTACAGATTTTCTGATTTCAATATAACTTGGCACACAAGTAGACTACACTAAGATACATAGAATAGTGCATCGGTTTTTGATTTTGATGAACGGTGTTGCCATGGTTACTAAAAATAGAATTTTCTGTGAAATTCTTTAAAAACGCTACTCCTTCTACAGTTTTGGTCTGATTTCAGTATAACTTGGCACACAAGTAGACTACCCTAAGATACATAGAATAGTGCATCGGTTTCTGATTTCGATGAACGGTGTTACCATGGTTACTAAAAATAGAATTTTCTGTGAAATTCCTTTAAAACGCTACTCCTCCTACAATTTTGATCTGATTTCAATATAACTTGGCACACAAGTAGACTACACTAAGATACATAAAATAGTGCATTGGTTTTTGATTTCGATGAACGGTGTTGCCATGGTTACTAAAAATAGAATTTTCTGTGAAATTCCTTTAAAACGCTACTCCTCCTACAATTTTGATCTGATTTCAATATAACTTGGCACACAAGTAGACTACACAAAGATACATAAAATAGTGCAATGGTTTTTGATAAGTACATACCAGTAGAGCTACAGTCTCGACAGAGACTTCTGGTTTGTGAACGGTGTTGCCTTGGTTACTAAAAATAGAAATTTCTGTGAAATTCTTTCAAAATGCTACTCCTCCTACAGTTTTGGTCCAATTTCAATATAACTTGGCACACAAGTAGACTATACTAAGATACATAATTCTGTGCATCGGTTTTTCTTTTGATGAGTGGCAAGAATCATTTTTCTATTTATTGCTGTTTTAAGTCCCAACTGCTACTTTTCGCTTCCTTTGTTTTAAGTATAAACCAGTAGAGCTACAGTCTCGACAGAGACTTCTGGTTATCATTTGCCAAAAGTATCCACATATTTACATTCCCATGAATGTTTTTATTTTGTGAATATATTGATTCGATCATTGAACTTACAGTATAAAGAAGTAACCCACGAAATTACGTCTCCATGAACAAGTAAAAAGTCGCTTGCCCAAACACATTAATCCCCATCAACTAAAATGATTCCACAGTAACTTTTGAGTGGTTGGTGCTAAGGATTTCATAAAATATATTTCTCTTATATGTTTTCTGACCATATCATTGTTATGGTACATATGTTTTGGCCTTATGACCTTGACCTTTGAGCATGACATACTTTTGATATACATTTGTAATTTAAAACTTTGGTATTTTTTCTGAATTGTAGGTTCTAGAGCTCACATATTTCACACAGATATTCATTGTAAATCCTTTCATTTGGGTGCCAAATATTATATTTGAACTCTTGACCTTTGTATTAAGCTACATTTGAAAAACTTTAACCTTGACCTTAAGCTGCCAATTTGTTGGAGAAAGACGTCTTTGAATACAGACATATTTGACCTTGACCTTCCAGGTGGCCAACTTTGCAAAATTTTACCAAATTAACTCATACATCCTTGGCTATAACTTCTGAATGATTGGTACTAGGACTATCATACTTCACAGATTCCTTGTAATAAGACCTTTCTCGGGTACAAAATGTTTGACCTTGTTGGACAATACTGCAACCAAGAGGGGGATCTGAGGGGGTGGGGGTGGGGGCGGACTTTCAATGAACATTTTCTATAGTAAAACTTGTGTCTGGAAAAAAGGGGTCAGGGGACGATACTACGTGCCTAGTTAGGGCTGTCGTATTTCAATGGTGTGTACCTTGTGACAGGACGATCCCTAGGGTACAAACTATTTTGACCTTTTGGATTTAAACCACAGAGATTGATCTACATATCTTTTAAATACTTTAATCTTAAAATTATTTATTTTTGATATATTGGAACTTAGGGCTTTTATATTTCACAAGTGTATCCCTTATGACAAGACTTTCCCCTGGATACCAAGAATTTTGACCCTTGACCTTCATTTGAAAACTGAGTTAATTCTTGGCCATTCTTTTTTCTCATTTCACGGGTATTTTTAATTCCTTGTGACAGTGGCGGATCCAGAAGGGGGGGGGGGGTATCGGGGTTGCCCCCACCCCCTTTGGATTTGCAAAAAAGAGAGAGAAAGAAGAAAGTCCCAAATTTTTGTTGTGTTTTACTATAGAAAATGTTCACTGAAAAGCTCAAGTTGTGACATATAAAGAAATTTGGTTGTGAAAACAATACGAAACCTCAAAAAATGAAACCTCACCCCCTTTACAAAGTATAGGAGTTTGGGGTTCGGAGATTTATTTTCCTTTCCTTTTCGAAAACTTTCAGGTAATCCATACAAGTATTTTTTCTCCAGTTTGATAAACCTCCCACTTTAAAAAACCGTACTCCAACCTGTATCCTATTGATTTATTTAACTATATGTATATAACTCATTCTTCAGTACTGAGTTCAGAAGTGTGACCAAAGGGTTATTTTTTAAAAATAATCAATTTCATAATTTATGTATATTAATTAAGTCAGTACCCTTCCTGCTTCTGAAAAAAATTGAAGGGAAGATAATCTGAAGTCTTAAAGAGGAGATAGGTGCCCAAATGTACAAGCATGTCTGAAATTTTATGTACGTAACTTGGTGTCCACAGTGACTGTTTTTTAGAACAATAAGTTATTCTTTTCTGGTGAATCCTTTTTGAAGTATATAAACACTAGTTTGCATGTTTTATTGCATGTCGTATTTCTGCCTTATTCCATTACAATTAGAAAATATATCCAAGACTACCAATGGACACCGTTACTTACATAAGCACTAAACAAGTAACATGTTACTAGAATTTAACAAGTTGTTAAAATATGAAAATAATGTAATCAATAAGGTATGATGAAATCATGACTAATGTTATATTAAATGGAATTTATTTAAAAAGTCACAATTTTTATTTCTAGTTTAAAAAAAGGAGAAATTATGTAAGTAACATGGACACCTAACTCCGAATCAGGCTTTAAAAAGGAACAAAAAAATAACAAGACAATCGAACACTTGTCTTTAATACTTTTAATATTTCATTTCAAACCTTAATAAAAGACAAGCTTTCAAAGAGAATTAATGCAGACAAGTAAATTGTCAGATGAATGACTAAATATCCTAGGTCTTCTATTTTGAGTCTTGGATCTTTGTGTCATTGTTACGAACACAATTCAGTCATTTCTTGTAAATCTGAAAGAAAAAAATATATATAAAACAAAATACAACATTATGTAATCAACACATATGCTGTTTAATTATATTTATTATATATCTTTGATAAAATCAGAAAGAAGGCAATTAAAGTACAAATTATGTCACTACTTCAAGTTTTCGTGTCTCTGTTACGAACATAATTGCGTAAATGATATGGCAATATTAAAACAAACATTCAATAAGTATTCATCCTTTGATAAGAGCAGAACAAAACTAACAAATATAGAATAAAATATAGTACAATATAACTTTATCATTAATATATTATACAAATAATGTAAAAACACATGTTCGTAACAAAAGACGCGAATCAAAAGTCAAATGTTAAACCGAAAGTTCTCGACTCGGACAGATTTATGCATTTTGTATGGTCATAAGAGACATATTTCAGTTTCTGATTAATAGCTACATGGTATAAAGATACAATGACTGTATTTATGTGTTAAACATTCACTAAAATTGATACAATATGAAAATACTTACCGAATCTATTATGTTCGTAACTTCTTTTTTTCCACATGGACACAATGAGCATCGCCATGTTTTTTAGCAGACAGCTGCGCAACCTTTCTACTTTCGTTTTTAATTTATAATTACACCACTGCTACGGACTTTTTGAGCCAAACTTATGATTCATTGGCTGTTATTTTGGCAATCATACTGAAAGCTATTATGTTCGTAACGGTCAAGACACCAAACATTTTACAATCAGAGATCATTTTAAAATTACAAAAAGAACTGAGTTATGTTCATGAAGCATATTGTTAAAAATAATTTATCACACATACTCATTAATTTAACACAGAAACTGAACTTGACAAATTATTTAATGTTTGTAGAGAGGTGTTAAAAAGTTCAATGCATATGGACACCATGCGTTACGAACATAAACCACAAATTTTTAAGTTCAGAAAAAAATAATTAAGATAATTTTAGCATGTTTGACAAAATAAATATATTATTTCATTTATATGCTAAGATAATGTACACAAATATCATGCCAAATGATTTTATTTTTAAATAAAACAACATCTTTATGCCTATTCGAAAATTATGTCACATTTTCTGCATCTGAAATCCCCTAAATGCAATACAACAATGATCAATAATTTTTTTATTCCTCAACTCATATCCATAAAACTACTTATACTATATCCTTACACAAGTATCAAATCATATCAATATCAATCTATCTGCTTACACTTTATTTATTGGAAAATAAAGGAGAAAAGAAATACATTTTAAAAATTCACCGGTATTGAAGAATGAGTTATATGTAAAATCCGTCTTCTTCTTTTCACCCCCCCCCCCTTAGAAAAAATTCTAGATCCATGCTTGTGTGACCATTTTCTTTGGATACTCCTAGTATTACTGAGCTCCTGACATTGACCACGGAGTTTGATTTTCATTGGAGAAACTTTAACTTTGCCGTGAGTACCATGCGCAGATGCATCAACTCAGTATAGTGTTTCACAAACACAGCTTACGTTTTGTTTGTTTGTTTTTTTGCCCCTGAATTAAGGATTCGAGAGTATATATGATATATCTTTCTGTCCGTTTTTCAGGAAAAAGTTTACCATACCCAAAACTTTTGATTTGTTGTTCAAAGCTACATATCGTTTTCATATTATTTCTTGTGAAAAGTCTAAGTACCAGAGTATTTGACCTTTTGATTTGGAGTTTGCTCCACCTGTGCAAAAACTACTAAATTTTTGGCCACAACTTTCTACTGTTTGGAGCTTGCCTAGGGCTTTCCTGTTTAATTCACGGTGATTTTTAGTTATCCGAGTTTTTCTCTCTCCCCCCCCCCCCCCCATTCACAACACACATCATACGTGTCTAATGCTTCATTTAATTTACTTCCCTCAATGCCTATTTTCTAAAAGGAGTTCTTTCCGTAATAATGATAATTTTATTGAATTAGAGTTTATTTGTGCTTTAGGGCCTGTACTAAAGTAAAATACGTTTGTGTGATTGTGAAATAAAAGTGCTGTTCATACTTTTCCCGCGAAAATTGTGTTTTTCGAAGTGCATTCTGGGAGATACGGAAAATGTGCCAAGATGGCTGAAAACTTCAAGGATTTACGTCTGAAGCTCCAGTCTCCACACAACCACAGCTCGTCAAAGTACAGCAAGGACAGAAAGTCTGACAGATCAAGAAGAGATTCAAATGGAACTTACAAGTCAAAGTCACGCCACCACGATTATGACAGCAGCTGGCACAATGCCGACGAGTTAAGTAAGGTACACGCCGGAATCAAGCAACGTCGATTGTTTACCGATGATCAGTGCGAGGCAATCGAGAAGAAAATAAACGAAACAGTCAAAATAGCAGAGAAAGGAACCTATAAGCATCATACAGTCGACAGAGCACCACTGAGAAACAAGTATTTCTTTGGCGAGGGTTATACGTATGGGTCTCAGTTGGAGAAGAAAGGTCCTGGGATGGAACGACTGTATCCCAAAGGTGAAGTGGACGAAATCCCCGACTGGATACATGAACTGGTCATCAAGCCTCTGTATGACGCTAAAATCGTACCAGAAGGCTTTGTTAATAGTGCTGTTATAAACGATTACATGCCTGGCGGTTGCATTGTGTCCCACATAGATCCACCCCATATCTTTGACCGCCCTATTGTTTCAGTGTCTTTTTTCAGTGACAGTGCTCTCTGCTTTGGTTGTAAGTTTTCTTTCAGGCCAATTAGAGTTTCTCCACCTGTTCTGTGTTTGCCAATTGACAGAGGATGTGTCACAATGATCAGGTAATTGTGAAAAAGAACAGTACAGTGGGAAATGTCCAACATGTATAAAGAATGTATTTAGTTTTGAATTAAATTTTGACAGTTATTAGGAGAAAACTTTGTTGTGATATACATTAGTTTTATTCGCACTGTAGCTAACTGTCAATATGTTCAATTTTGTACAGTGGATATGCAGCAGATGAAATCACACACTGTATTCGTCCACAAGATGTTGTGCAAAGAAGAGCAGTCATTATTTTGCGAAGGTAATTTACTGGGTAAAATGTGATATAAGCTAGAATGATAAAATCGATATATCTCAATTGTAAGATCCTTTGTAAGATAAAGTATTAACTATTATAAAATAGAGAAAAAAAATTATTTTGTATATTTATAAGTAAGGTTAATGATTTCAGGTACATGTATTGATTAATCAATACATGTATTTATGGTATAAAGAATAGTTTTGTCAATCTATGGGTCTATTTTTAGAGTTTTCCCAGATGCCCCTAGACTAGGGACACCATCAGAAAAACCAGTCTCTCGGAAACGTAAGCGCAGCAGCTCCGAATCTGTATCTGATCTGGAAGATGACCATCACAAAAAAAGTAGGAGAACGGTCTCCATACAGAGAAGTAAACATCACTCAAACAGTCAGCATTCTAATGGTCATCAGTCGTCAAAAACGCGGAAAAAAGAGAGTCACGCGGCCAGTAAAACCAGCGACAGCCAGGAGAGCAGTGAGGAGGATGAGCCAGTGTTAACCCCGAAAAAGAGCATTCGACAGGTGCGAGTGTCACGGATGTCCCGCCACAGGAAACTCTGCTGGTAGACTGACATCTCATGATAAAACTTGTTGTTTTTGGTTGCCAAAGTATACACATTGCACATGTGTTTCTGATTTTTTGTCTCGCCTGCGACGAATGTCGCGAAGCGAGACATAGCGACCATAGATTCCGTCGTCGTCGTCGTCGTCGTCGGCGTCCAACTTTTGGTTAACCCAAATGTCAAAGTTTTATAAACTGCAATAACTTTCTCAAATTTTATTCAGTCTTCTTGAAATTTGGACACAATATTCAGTATGGATAAAAATTTATATCCCAAGTATGATTTTGAAAAAAAAAATTCAAATTTTTCCGTATTTTTTCCTTAAGTTGGACTTAGTTTTTTCATGATAATTTATGGTGAAGACCTATATTCCAGCAACTATAAGTTATAGGGATATGATAATTAGTCAGTGGATACATCATGGGTAACCACAAACGTCAGTACCAGAATTAGGTCATCTTGACCTACATTTTTCTGCATGAGTGACTTTGGTTAAATTTTTGGTGGAGGTCCATATCTCAGCATCTATAACTTATAATGGCATGATGATTTGTCATTGTACAGGTTATAAGTAACCAACAACATTTTACCAGAATTAGGTGAATTTTGACCTACATTTTTCTGCATGAATGACTTTGTTTGAATTGATAATGGAGGTTTAATTTGCAACTTATAACTTATAGTGGCATGAAGTTTCAGTGCATATTGTGTTACAAGCGCTTCAGAATAAAATTTATTAAGTGAGAAAAATTATTTTGCTACTTTATTATCCTGTATACTTATTAAATTATACTGTTTAAATAATTCAATATAAGAGCGGTGTAAAGCAAAACTTGCCTTGGGACTTAGAAATTTTGACTAGTATATTTATGGTATAAATGATATCTTTCAATCCATGCATGATAATTTGTAGAGTCTACACATCATGGGTAACCAACAAAACCAGTCTCTAAACGTAAGCGCAGCAGCTCGGACATTTTCTGATCTGGAAGATGACCATCACAAAAAAAGTGGATTTGATTTCAAAGAGAAGTTAAACATCACTCAAACACGTTCAATGGTCGCAATAATAAAAACATCACAATAGAGAGTAAAACAGCGACAGTATATATATATAAATGCCAATATAACGCCAAAAAGAGCATATTACAGGTGCAGCTGTTCCATTTCTTTACAGGAAACTTTTGGTAGACTTCTGAAATTTCATGATAAAACTTGTTGTTTTTGGTTGCCAAAGTATACACATTGCACATGTGTTTCTGATTTTTCTTGTTTATGTAGTTTTAATGGAGAAGATTGTATTGGATGGAATTATGTACTCTGTCAGAGTTACACATATTGTACAGTTTACATCTCTGGCATGGTTATTTTTTGAGTTGAAATAGAAATTCAAATTACAGAGATGGTTGAAAAGAATTTTACTGTCATTAGTAATGGTATATAGATTTATATACATGTATACATCAAAGAAATTGTCATTTTTCATTTATATTTAAAAGATGTTTTTGTATCACTTTCCAAGATCTGAGTGATCATTATAGTAAAATCTCATGCAAAATATGCAATTCCTACTGGCATTTAAAATGGATACATGTACACACACATAATTCAAATCATTTTATACATTTCACTTCACAGTGTAGATTTATTTTCGTGGCAAAATGCACTGCAAGGATTTGAGATTCAAAAGATAAAATTAAGTTACGTTTGAAGATACCGCCTAATAGGCATTTGAAATCATGATAAAGTAATGATTTTTTTGCATTTTATATTTTATGTTATATATATTAAGAAAGTTAAAGAATAACATCTCCTTTTGGAATATGAATAAGTGTTTGTAACTTGGATTTAAGTTGTTAAAATTCTTAGTTGTGCTTATCATTGTAGAAGTCTTTATACTAAGTAATGAGTTCACACACATCTTGTAAATATTTATGGATCAGATCACCAAATTTAATGTGCTTGTCCTGCTTTCCATTCGATATTGAGCATACTTAACCTATAATTCATTTTTATATATTTTCTCAATTTTGTAGGCATCTGTGACATGAGTTTTGTTTGAAATGCTATATTTCTGTTGTATAGTTTTTATTTACATGGTTAATTTTATTTAATATAAGGTTGTTTTTAATGTTAAACAGTCGAAAAAGAGAGAGAGAAAAAAATTAATATTGATTGATATGAAAGGAATCGCTATGATTGATATGAAAAGAATCGCTATGTTATGAATGATCTGGGTTAAGGGATTGTACAAGGCCACTTCTATATCAGTAGCCTGATTGTGTTCATAGAAAAGTACTCAAGGGGTCCATCTTATAGTAACTTACCCATCAAGTGTAGTTAAAGTACTGACATGTTGAATTAATGGTTCATTTTAAGAACATTTAAACTACATTGTAATGCAACTGTTGGTCTTATCAGAATCAGCTAGATTTACTTCCAAGATTGAATTCTCCAACAAGTACATGTTCATAAAATGGAATGTGTATTTTCCTCCAAAACACAAAAGTCAATTCATAAATACTTTTATACATCATTGCTCTCTGATCACTGCATAAAAAAACCAAACATTACAAATAGTATTTTATCAATTGCTCTGTTAAGATACACTGGTGTGTGATTTAGCATTATATCACTAAAGAACTGAGAAACCCTAGGGTTTGAAACTGTGTCATATGTGTCCATGCTTACAAATTCTTGTGTCCCAGTCTAGATGATGAAACTGAAGACTTGTGACAAAGATCTTCAGTGCCTTTGTATGTTTTGTATTCAATAAGAACTGCATTGTAAATTCATGTTGTGAGAAAATTGGGTAAAGGGAGACTACAACATGGAATTTTTCATTTGTTAAATTTTTTGGTGCATTTGTAGGAGAAAAAAAAATGGAAACATATAATGCTATACCTCAATCTGATCTTGCCCTAGTCATTACACTTACTTTTGTTAAATTGATTCAATTTAGAGTTAATCATTCATTCTCTATTTGTAATTAGAAAATTTCTGCAAAGAGAAGAATTCAAATTTAATCAACAGACCCATGAATAGATGATAGTGTTACTGAATATTTATGCTTTGAAGTATTTGTTTTCATAATCCATTGTTAGTTACTTAGTTTCATTTTTTTATTATGATGATATTGAAGTTTTTGTTCCAGTGTAATCAGATTGAAGTACATAAAAAACAAAAAAATTTCATAAAATGTAAACAATGAAACTTATAAATAATGTACATTGTAAATAATACTAGTAATTACTCAAATCTTTGATGTTGAAAAAGTCATACATTGTAATAGTCATGTTGATTAAAATTTTTGATTTTCTTTGTTGACCATGCTAAATATGTTTTAATTTGTACGGTGATTCAAATTTCTGTTGTCGTTTGTGAAGTATTATTGCAGAATTAAAGCGTTTTGGACCTCATTGTCTTGAAGCAAATTAATTTCTTAAACTACTGATACTTTTGCAACACTTCCAGTAGTTAGTTTAAAACTTTCATTATGGTGAATAGCCTTACTTTAAAGGATGCTAAATTATTGTGCATACATCATAGGAGAAATATTTTTTTGAAAATTTGTTTTAAAGAATGTGTGCAATGCCCAATATAGTATAATTAAAGACACAGAGCTCAAATTTAAAAAACAACAGAGGTGGGATCAGGATTTTGCACTTCCTATTGACTGGTCGCTTGCCCCAGGCAACTGGAATGATCTTTTAACAATTCTGTGTTATAAAAAAGAAAGGCCCAAGAATTTTTATGGAAAATGACATTCAATATTAGTCCTAAGGAAAGATTACTGTAAATCACTTTTTATTAGCGAGAATTTTATTTTCGCGTAATTATGTGAGACATTGTGCTTGCAAAAATTTAATTATTCGCTTATAATAGTATTAATTGAGATTAAATAGAGCAATAACCACAATTTGTGTAAATTTTGTCTCGCTATAATCAAGAGTCAGTGATTATCTCGTGAAAGTAACGTGTTGTGAAAATTTAGTGATCTACTGTATATTTGCTAACAAGCTTATTGTATGGTCTGATATAGAATTTGAAAAATGTTGACATTGAACAGGACAGTTGATATCATTGTATCATCAACTTATTTACCAAGAGCTTGTTTCATTGTAGAATCAACTGGGAGACATAAACTGTATATGCATTTGATATTAAATGGTTTATATTGCATATGAATATTAAGGGAAGTTGAAGATAGAAAAATTGAGGTCATCACTTTTATCCTTAAGTTTTGTGTTAGCTTTCTGGAAAATATTCATATATATTGCAATGTAAATAAGGGAAGTTTATGATAGAAAAATTAAGGAAGTTACTTTTATTCTAAAGTTTTGTTGTGTTAACATTCTAGTAAAATATTCAAATATGAAAAAAAAGTGACAGAACATGTGATGTTGTTTATTTCAAGTACAGAGGTATATATAGCGATTTTATTGTTAATTGATATATCCTAAATGTCGAATTAACAGCCACAGCAAAAGATATTAACATGCAAAAGTTTTTGAATCATTTAAGCTTCATTTAAACTCAAAAGTAGGTCTGCTAAGAAGGGGGCACAATTAGTACCCATGGGAATGCCAACAGGATGTTGAAAAACTTGATCTCCAAGTATTAAAACCAGATATGATGTAATCTAAAAGCCATATACTGATTAGTTTGGAAAGTTAAAAGACCATGCAAGCATAGAAGTGGAAAATATTAATTTTACACGTATTTGTTTTGTTAAAACGAATTAAGGTATCTGACTCATAAAAGGACATAATTTTCTAACCTTAAATATCCATCCTGTATTAAATATTGTTTAATTAGGAAATAGGAATGCATTGAGGTCTATGGGATTATAAATTATTAGCTCACCTGAGCCGAAGGCTCAAGTGAGCTTTTCTGATCACATTTTGTCCGGCGTCCGTCTGTCCGTCTCTCCGTCTGTCTGTCCGTCTGTCTGTCTGTCCGTAAACTTTTCACATTTTCGACTTCTTCTCAAGAACCGCTGGGCCAATTTCAACCAAACTTGCCACAAAGCATCCTTGGGTAAAGGGGATTCAAGTTTGTTCAAATGAAGGG